GATTACACCTGTATTGTACCGTGTATTATTGCCGAGCCCATACGAATGAATACAGAATTGTCGCCAATGCTATCCAATGGCGTGCCTGCTGTGGATGCCGCCCTAATTGACAAGCCCGAATATGGCCGACTGTAAATGATCGCTTTCGACCCAAATCGACAGCATTAGTATTCTATCGGATCCTCCACACTACCTGATACCGCTGAATACGACGGCCGTCGTATATAGTCCGGATGGTCGTAAAATGTCGGGTTGCACGAGTACATACGATCGAATTCGACCGAAAGCGACCCGAATCGGGCACGTTTTCACTGGGAGTGAAGGGGCAGGTTCAGCAACATGTGTGCGCACCGAGACCGATCTCCGGGGCAGGACTGCAGACACGCGCCTGCGGCTACAGGACTTGCACATACGATGTAGAAGTTCGAGGGCAAGCGGGCACAAATGGGATTCGCGTTTGGCCGGTGCAAACGCGTGCCGTACATAGTACATACAATAAGGCTTATATACGTAGCTAAATAGGGGTAGATAAGGGCGCGGGTATCCGTCGGGGGGCAGGACCTGTGGCGCTCGTTCCGCAAGCTCGCCATCTTGACGCCAGGATTCCAACACATCCCCTCGAGCGAGCGCGGGCAACGAGCGAAGGATAACAAACAAATGGAACGGGGCGGGGATAAGGGAAACAGCGAGCAAGGAAGGAGGGGTTGTGTCCGCACAAATAAGGGATAACGTACGATAAGTCTAATACATCCCCTTAATCGGGGCGTTTACCACGCTTCCGTCTCCTTCTCGGCAAGAAGCCGATCGGCGCTAACGGTTGCCGAAAACGCGTAATGGGCCTCTTCAGTCTTAAGCTCGGGGCAGTCGCGCTGATAGTGGCCCTTCTTCGAGCACTTGAAGCAGGTGATGCGCTCGAGCGGGGTGCGGGGCTTCGTGTAAGCAGCGAGGGCGACTTCGGAGTCATGATGAGGCGGGTTGAGGGACAATTGGCGCGACTCTTCGTTAAGTAAGCGGGTGATGACATAATCGATGGTAAGCTCGCTAGGCGGGGTGGAGTCGAGATTGACGACCAGCTGGGAATACGAATCGGGGAGGCCATTCGTGAGAACGAGGATGCGGTCTTCATCGGAGATAGAGGCGTCAATCTCCTCGAGGCGGAAGGCGGCCCGGCGGACGTCAGCAATCCACGATGTCATCGTTTGATCCGGGCGCTTAGACAAGCGCCAGAAAGCGCGCCGGTGTGCGACCCGGGTACCAAAGCCGCGGGCGCGGTGGACTCGACGGAGCTCGGTCCAGACTTCGTGAACGTCCTGTGATTGGATGTGGGCGTACTGGGTGGGCTCGATATTCAAGATAATCTCGGCGCGCGCTTCTGCGATCTTCGCACGCCAGGCACGCACAGCCTTCGTGTTATCAGAGCCGGAGGGGCGGGTTTCATCAGCAGGGGCGCTCGTAACCTCCCAGAGACCCTTGCGAACAAGGAGGGCCTCCATGCCGATAACCCATTCGGCGTAGTTGTCATCGGCGAGCTTCGCAATTGTGGGCGGTGCCATCGGGGCGGGAGCAGCGGGGAGTGCGGGGCGGTCACGGTTACGGGGTCGTCGGGGTGCACGGGGTCGTCGTCGGGTCGGTCGTCGTCAGGTCGGTCATCGTCGGGTCGGTCGTCGTCACGGGTCGTCGGTTCACAGGATCGTCGAGTGGCTTCGGCCCCACTAGGCAGTGCCTCGAATTATCCTTCGGGCAGAGGAGACGCGTTTGTGTAGAAGTTCGAGGGCAAGCGGGCACAAATGGGATTCGCGTTTGGCCGGTGCAAACGCGTGCCGTACATAGTACATACAATAAGGCTTATATACGTAGCTAAATAGGGGTAGATAAGGGCGCGGGTATCCGTCGGGGGGCAGGACCTGTGGCGCTCGTTCCGCGAGCTCGCCATCTTGACGCCAGGATTCCAACATACGAGTGGCGAACAGCAGCCCCGCGCCGATGTATCTGGTAAAGCCAACCCGAGTATAGCACCACTCTTCTTCCCCTTCCATGGCACTACGCGCGGACGTCCGGAGGCCGCGGGCTTCATAATGTACCTTCCGCAACCTCTTCAGAATCGACCCGAAGGCATCATCAGCAGGCCCGAGTTGGTCCTTCTCTCCCTGTCTTCCACCTTCACCCCCTTCCCGTCTCCCGCACCTTCGCCCGTCGTTCCCGCATCCAACTTGAGGGCAGCAGCGCATCGCTTCGGACCTGAGGCGCACCTGAACTCGGAAACCTTGCCTGAGAGCGCTCACTCTTCGCGATCGGTTCCAGAGCGATGGAGTCAACGTGAACACGCCGTGATCACACTACGCGACAGCAACGCCCGACGGGCGAGCTACCGTGAACAATCTCTCCGCGCGCTGCCCCGTCTAAGGGATCACTCGCCTCGCCTCGGCCCTTGGACGGACGGGGGCTCGGTGCGCCTGCGCGCATTTGAACGGGACGGAGCGTGGCGAGAAACCACGTACGTTTGCGTGGACGAGAAGAAGATATGCAGATCCGTCGGTGCGCTTGTTTTTCTCATCCCCATGGGTAGCGGTCACCTCGCCCTCGACGGACGGGGGGGGGGAGTACTCGAGCGATGCGTTGGGATAGACCTTCTTCAGGCCGCTGGCCTTGGTCCAGCTCGTGGGTCAGATCTCTCCGTGCCCGCTATGGAGGTCGAGTCCTCGTTAGACACCCTGCACGGCGAAAGACATAGGTGTGGGGAGCGACGTACGGTGGGCCGGATACATCCTTTCGCTCCCTCATGCGGCTCTTATGATCGCGAGGCATGTAATAGGAGGGCCAGAACGTTCGCCGAGACCTTCCGGGCCGTGTGTGTGTGCCTTCCCTTATACCTTCTCATCAAGTGCCCGCCCAATGTGGAGTAACGTCCGTTCATGACTTACACGACAACGGTAGAGCTAGATCGTCAGAGTGTCGCTGCAGGTCTCTCCTGAATAGACGCATATGGATACGAGGTGAACGAGAGGCAGACAGCACACTACGCTCGTTCATAGTAGATCTTTCATTCGCCTCTAGAGTAACGCCCGCTCACAGCTCCCAGGGTGTGGCTGGTGTAAGAGATGTAGTAGGGGAAGCGAGCTGGATTGCACGGCAGGAAGGAAGATGGGGCGAGTAGTGCTGTGGATTCAGATCGATGCTAAGACCACCATCGCTGTTGCTATCCAATGTCCACGCCGACCTGGGTCTGCCAACCAACGTCTGGCCCACGTCCATCCATATCCCCGTCCGATTCCGTCGCTTCTGGGGCGATCAAAGCGGCAGTTGAATCGACAGACATTTTTGAGGCTCGCTGCGCGATTGGAGATCAAGGCGCTACGACGAGGTTTTCGCCTCTTGTTTTCGCGAACCCTCGACCACCTCGTCACTGACCTCAACCTATTTCGTGTTCGGCGAGGAGCTGCGTGTGATGATACGATGTTAGTAAGGCCAGGCCGATGGACGAGACGCAGGAGGGATATGCAGAGAGCGAGAGCGCACCATGTTTGGGATACCGTTCGAGATCGGGTAGACGTGCTTACAGTTCGGGCACACCATCGCGCCTTCCTCTACATGTATCTACGCAAGTAGAAGTAAGCACAGGGGAGGCAGGTGGAGGGCGGGAGGGAGAGTAGAGCAAAGAGTGGGACAGAGGGCACGAAAAAAGGGACGTGACAGGACACGCACCTCGAGCAGAACGTGGTGTAGCTTCTGCAGGAACTCGTCGTCGATCATGTCCGGTTGTTCGGCGGGGAGCGAGGTGTCTCCCAGCTATAGCCGGTCCCGCAAGATTGTATCCCAAGCAGCAGCAGGGCGAGTACCCGACGATAATGCGGAGCAAAGCAAAGCGTGCGGGGCGCGTCAATCGCAGTCACAATCAGCACACAGAATGGAGAGAGGCAATAGCTGGAGACAGGACTTACCTGGCGCGCGGCGCCGACAAGGGCGGGCCACTCGAGGCGGGGTAGGAAGCCGCGTAGGAAGTCGGCGTTGAAATCGGCGTCGCGAAGCTCGATGGAGACGTCCTGGAACTGAAGGGGAAAGTTGTTGGATGTGCAGCCCTTGGCATGGCAAGCGAGGAGATTGTGTGTTATCAGACGGACCATAATGCAGCAGGAGGAGGTAAGTTGCACCTCCTCCAGGTCAAGAAGCCTCATACCGAGCGTGTTATGCTAAAACTCGCGAGGTGATGTTACTGTTGGCTTGCTGAGAGACTGATCCGATATGGTGTAGTGGCTAACATTATCGCCTCTCACGCGATAGCCCGGGGTTCGATTCCCCGTGTCGGAATGAATCTGTACATGGTTGTGTTTTTGCGCACATGCGCTATCATTACTACAGCCCGACGCCCATCTCACATTTGAAGACGAGTACGTTTTGCAGTGATCTTCGATTGCACATGTCGTCGAAATGACGGCCCACCGTACCGTACAATTTATTTATCCTCCTTTCTAAATGTCGAGCCATCGGGTGATTGACTAAAACCAAGGCTGTTTGCGGCGATTCTCCTACTCTGCAGCCACAGAAAAGCCCACATCGATGGCGTGGTCCATGAGCTCAGCAACCGGCGGGGACAGTGGAATCGTCTTGGTGAGCGGCGGCATTCACGCCCAGCCCGCGGGACGCAAACTCCGTCCACAGCGTGCAAAAGTTCTCGCCACCGAACCTGTTCGCATCCGCCTGGATCCAAGCGTCCCGGGCCGTCAGGACTACAAGGAGAGGGCACAAGCGTAAGCGATCGCGATAAAGCGTCAATGAGCTCAGGCGCTGGCATACGTACATGTCGGGTTGCAAGGCTGCAGGGTGAACGCGTCCAGGAAGAGGTGCAAGAACACAGTGTTGCCACCGGTTGTCCTGGGGTCGGTATGCATGTCATCAAGTAAAGGTACAATCAGTGAGAGTGGTACAACGGAACGTACGTTGGGTCCGTGTGCGCTGTGTCCGAGAAGCCGTGGACGCCTACGAGGCCAGCATAAACGTTGTGGAGCATGTTAGCCCATACCTCGCCGATATCTTCATTTCCAAATGTATGAGGCGGCTGAGGGTGGAAACATCTCAATACAAAACACACCATGGACCTCGGTTAAGTTCTGCAGGCTCGAGTACCTCAGGGGATTCGTGGTCCTAGCCAGTGATCGCCTCAGAACGAGGCAACAGTATCTTAGCTAGCGTTTGTACTCACGCACTCGTCGAGTACGGGTGGCTGCGGATGCCCGCAGAGTCGTTGGTGACGTACTGTCCTAGCACGAAGTCGACCACCGTCGCGTTCTTGTGCTCGGTCCATCTGGCCACGCATTATAAGCCTTGCAAGTCCTGTTCGGTTCTTGAGAAAGCCATCTCGCGCGACTCACTCGGCCATCGCGTCCGACCACCCCTCGCCCATGCCTCCCGCTTCGTTCGTTTGGAGACAGCTGCCAATATTAAGCATGTTAAGATCGCCCTTCCGTGCAAGATGCAGGTGGAAACGTGCCGCCCGGTGCCACCGCCCGTCATCCGGTTGCTGATTCCGTGCGTGTTCTCGTGGGTGACGATGTCGTTCTCCAGTGCGCCGTCGCGCTCCGGGTTTGTGAGGTCCCAGAGGAACATCCTCATGCGCCCGGATTGGCCACTTCAAACGAAGCATCTGATCAGCCAGCTCCAGCAGCACCTAGGCGCGAATGATGTGCTTACTCTGGCGGCGTAGCGAAATCGGCTGATTTATACCACGATTAGCCACCCTGCGCACATATAGTCCCCATGCACGACATCGCACTCACCATTGTCGATCCCAGCAGAATCCTGCACGGATATCGTGACGCGGTCGTTTCCGGCCCCACCCTTGCCGAAGTTGTTGTTCTGGAAGTTGAACCCGGCCTCCGTGAAGCCGTACACGTACGAGATGTCGTGCACGGTATTGACGATGTAGAACGCGTTCGTGCGTGCGGCGTCAATGTTCGCCTGTGTCGTCGGAGCAGCGTTGGGGTCCTGGGTGAAGATGAAGTTCAAGCCCACGGACGACTCTGTGGTCGTGTTCGTTTGCGCGCCCTTGAACGCGACGGCGTTGTTGCCTCTGGAAACAGACGAGCGAGCTCATGTCAGACGGGAAGGGCGGCAGAGAAACTCCAGCGTACGCAGTAGAAGTTGTGTTCGTAGTGCCATCGCTGTGCCAGCCATCAGGAGACGCGGCGGGGTTCTGAGGGTCGGTCAGGACCTCGAAACCCTCGAGTAACGTCTCCTTGGTGATAGGGAGTACGAGGTACTACGTACAATGCACCCTTCAGCAACCAGTGTTTCTTCTTCGAAGGCATGGAGAAAGCACACTGACCGATGCCTTGGCGACGAAATCTGTCAGCTGCACGAGCGCCCCCGAGTGCGCGTCCACAAAGGCCTCGAACCATGCGCCAGTCGTGTCGTTCTGGATTTGCACGACGTGCGTCAGGGCAAGCGAGCCGTCTTTCTTCGCGACGAACTCGACCGTCGGCGGGTGCTCGTTGAACTTGCCAGACAGCGCGCTCTCGGCATTGGTGATCGCATCTTCGACAGAAATAGACGGGCTCGTGGAGGGCACGTTTGCTACGGTGGCTAGACTTCAGACGCGTGAGGGCACAGAAAGCGGAATAGCGTCGACTTACGAGGGGTGGTCACGAAGGAGGAGCCGAATGAGACGACCTTGTTGGCCATGTTGAACGCGACGTTCGCGACCGCATTTGCAACCGGGATGCCGTTCTGGGCCCAGTCAATAGCGCGATCAGTTCTCGGGAGGCGCATTAACTTCGTAGAACGTTCTTACAATCTGCTGGCGGATGAACGCGTGCTGGGCCACGTCACTCGAGAAGCCCGTCCTGAAGCCGATGCTGTCCGCATCGATGTTCAGACGGGATTGGATGAAGGACACCGTCGCGTCCTTCAGGTCGAACTCGTCCCGCGCCGACAGCAGGTGGTCAATCCCGTTCACGCCGAATGTCTAGCCAGAAAAGAGTCAGTGCTCTGTACTAGCTGCACAAGGGAAGCTGATGCGTACCTCAAAAGACGACTCAGGATGGAAGCTCTCTACGACCACACCCGGGCTGATCTCGCGGACCTGTAGAATTGTGTGCCTCAGACTGGCCGGGAATGGGGAGGCAGTAGCTGAAGTGGCGAGCACAACTGCTAGGAAGATAGACCGCAAGATGTTACTCCAGAACTTCATGGCTGATTGCGGACACCGGGCGCGTGCGGGTCGACTCAGTCCTGCTAGGGGATAAGTGCCTGCTGCTCCGCTATGCGCATACCGGCCATTTGTATGGCTGAACTGAGGTATTTTAGGAAACCCCTGGGAGCAGACTGTGCCCTATGACTAGCATAGGTCTGGTATCTGCGGAGTGCGCGTGGCGTTGAAGTCTTCATGAGAATGTAGCACGTCGTGCTCGAAGGACTGGATTGTGATGGAAGTGCCCTCCGGACGGTGAGGATGATTGCGGATGCGCTGCATTTGCTCGAGGATCCTCCGATTGTGGGAATGGTGAAGCGTGCTGCCTGCTTCTTGCTGGAATCAGGTGAGCAGAGAACGTGGAAACAACGATATACACACCGTTCTCGGACTCAAGTTCCCGACCCTGACAGTGCCAAGGCATTTGGACGGAGGTATCGATGGTTCTGTCTTTGAGGTCCGGGTCGCTTGATACAGATAACGGAGCAAATCATCAAGTCCAGCAAAGGGATCGTGACTCCAAGAGAAAGAGATTGTTTAGCGCTCCTCTGCCACTCATTTTCCGCCAGCCTAGCAGAAGCTCACATTGGCTGGAAAGTGACGCTGAACCAATCAGTGACCGTGAGAGCGTATATCGGAAGGACCTTGTCTTGGGGCAAGTTGATTGTGCTTAGTAGTGCGACAAGAGACAGACGGGTCATCATCACTTTCAATGGCAATCACTGTATATCAATTGATTCGCCATCATATACGCTTGTACGTGACCCTCAACGGCTGATCATGTACCGATGCTACTCGTACCATCGCTTTCCAAGCTTGGTTTTTTGTGCTGGTGACACAGACGTACGGCACCGCTCAGACAGCGACGGTGGCATTACATCCAGCGGGGACGGTAGTGTCGTCCGTGTAGTTAGCAGCGTTGACGCCAAGACCGCGAGATGCAAATTCTGCCCAAAGGGTACAGAAGTTTGAGCCGTGGTACCTGTTGACATCCGCCTGGATCCAAGCGTCGCGAGCCTGCACGACTAGAGATTGATCGGAGTCATAAATTAGTCAGGGAGAACTCATGCATGGCAAACGTACACGTCGGGTTGCAAGGCTGGAGAGCGAGGGCGTCGATGAAGAGGTGGAGATAGACTGTGTTACCACCCGTAGTGCTGCAGGTTCTCGACGTCAGGCTACAAGTATCAAGCGAAAGAGTAAGCTGAGTCTGGCTCACGTGGGATCCGTGTGGGCATTAGGCGAGAAGCCGTGGTCCGCGACGAGGCCAGCATAGACATTGTGGAGCATGTTGGCCCAGACCTCGCCGATATCTACGACAGCGAAGTTGAATGCGATGTCCCCGCATAGCCCTTGATCCCGAACTCACCGTGAACCTCCGTCAAGGTTTGCAAATCCCCGTATCTGAAGGGGTTGGTGGTCCTGGGATCGGCATTGCGTCACGAGATATGTCCAAATCCAATCGTTGCAAATGACTCACGCATTCGTCGAGTACGGGTAGTGACGCACGCCTGCAGTATTGTTCAGGACATAGGGTCCAGTCACCCAGTCAAGTACAACATCATTAGTTTGCTCGGTCCACCTGTGGGCAAGCAGTCTATGTTTGATCTTTGATCTTAAAGCGCATGGTAAACTGGGACGTACTCCGCGAACGCATCAGACCAGCCTTCGCCCAGTCCCTGGGACTCAGTGGTCTGCAAGCAGCTGAGTGTCGCAGTATCAATCAGAAACTCGGGTAAGTAGACAAATGAGCTGTACATACGCTGCCGTGCCACCGCCGGTCATCCTGTTAGTCAAGCCATGTGTGTTCTCGTGTACGACGATATCGTTCTGGAGCGACCCATCCCGCCACGGGTCCGTCAAAGTGAACAGATACATGTACATGGTAGGCGATTGCCCCCTGTAATCCAATATCAGTAACAGGCCCTAGTTGCAAACGTAGAAATATGCCCACTCGGGCGGGGTCACAAAGCGAGCTATGATGGTTCTTAGTGTAAGCGTCAGATGGGGAATTATTGCAGGACATACCGTTGTTCGTGCCTGTGCTGTCCTGAACCGAGACATTAACCTGGTCGCCTCCCGCCCCACCCTTGCCGAAGTTGCTGTACTGGAAGTTGAACGCATCTTCGGTGAACCCGTAGCGGTACGTGATGTCGTGCACGGTGTTCACAAGGTAAAACGCATTCACGCGTGCAGCATCAACATTCGGCTCATACGTCTGTGGTTGCTGGCTTGGGTCTTGGACGTAGTCAAAGGTAAGGTGGGGGGCCGACTGGTAGGTTACGTTGCCGGAGACGCCAACCCAAGTGTTTGCATTGTTTCCGCTGTACCATGCCGAGCGGGGTTGTGAATCCTTTCTACCGGTGGCAAGGGGGATAAACGTACGAGGTATTGTTCGTGGTGTTGACCCCGTCGCTGTGCCAGCCGAACGGAGACGCAAGCCTGTCCTGAGGGTCAGTCAGCACTTGGAAACCCTGGGTCACGTTCTGCTTTGTGATCGGCAGAACACGGTACTGGAGGAAGACACGATCAGTCTTCCGCTCACTGTGGTGTTGCTTCCGGAACAATTATCTCACCGATGCATCGGCGCCGAAATCAGTGAGCTGGACAAGCTCGCCAGAGTGGGCGTCGATGAACGCTTCGTATAATTGAGCCTTTGCATTGTTTTGAATTTGGATGACGTGAGCAAGGGCCAGCGAGCCGTCCTTCTGAGCGACGAACTGGAGTGAAGTCGTGTGATTGTTGTACGTGCCGGACAGAGCCTTCTCAGCCTTAGCAATCGCGTCATCAGCGGAGATGGAAGGTGTAGTAGAAGGCACGGTAGCTGTAATGGAGGTAATCAGTATCTGTATATAGGCTGTGTACGTCACAAAAAGCGTTATACATGGCTTCACGAACGACGACCCAAATGACACAACTTTGTTCGCCTTGTTGAAGGCAATGTTGGCAATGGCATTTGCGATCGGAATATTGTTCTAAGGCAAAAGGTGGTCAGATAAGATAACCTAAAGCAAGTAAACATCATGACTCACGATTTGTTGCTGCAGGTACGCGTGCTGCGCGACATCGTTGGCATAGCTGGTCCTGTGAGCGATAGTACCGGCGTCCACGCCCAAGCGGGACTGGACGAAGGATACTGCAGCATCCTTCAGGTTGAACTCGGCCCGATCCGAGAGGGAGTGATCCCCGCCGTTCACGCCAAAGGTCTGTAGGGTCGCGTGATGGGTGGGTCAGTACCGTTCAAAGGCGGCTCGGCTACCCTCAGGCTTACCTCAAACAAAGACGGGGGATGGTAGCTCTCAACGATGAGGTCAGAGCCAGGGACGCCACGCACTTGCGTTGTGGCATGCTTCAGGGCTCCCTCGAAGGCAGGAGCAGCAGCGGCGATGGATGCCGAGACGACGGCGAGATAGATCGACTGCACGAATCTGTAAGAGAACTTCATGGCCGAATGTGTCTGCGAGAGCGTGCTTTCAAAAGAATGTAGAGGGCAGTGGATCGCTGAAGAGCAGTTCCCTGCCGACTTGACTTTCTGTAGCTGCCCTATTATACCCTCCTTGGTCTGTTAAATTTGCAGGATCTCAAGATAGACGCATGTGCCAGTACAATCAATCTAGTCGGAGCGGACACATGCCAACCACTGCATGGAAGCGAGTTCAATGCTTATAGGTCGGCTCTGAACGAGTAGCCTACAACGAGGTTTTTCAAACCTCTGCGATATCGGGCCAGGGAGGTATGAGACCCCCCAATCACGCATATGATTGGCTATCAGCCTGTAACATCAATATGGTTGCATCAAATGTTGATAGCTTGGACGGAGCCACAGATTGAAATCGTACTTGAGCAAACTTTGAGGAGCTCGAACAAAGCCAACACATCTTCTAAGGAGGCCGCAATTGACAAGGCAGCGTTGTCCAACCGACGGAGAACATTGTGCAGGTACGGCAGGTGAGGAGGAGGCGACGCGCGACGCGAAGGACCACCGACGCCTAGTGTTACCGCCAAGCCAGCTAAGCCTAGCCGAGACCCAGCTTGCCAGCTTGTAGCGCCCGGCGCTCGTTCGCTCCCGCTACTTACCTCCCGTCGTGCCTACTCCCATCATTTCCTCGTATATTCTCCATCTGATCTCGTTCCTTCTGCTTACCCATATCCTGTCCTTGCTTGCTCAGTCACATCACTCGGACCATGTGTCCTCTGTCTGTCGTTACTCATGGACTTGATTGCTCGGTAATCTCGGTCACTCGTACGTCTCGTATGTATCCCTACCGACTATGTACTACCGTTTGTTCTTCAGCGTACTCTAGGCAAAGTCAAGAGTCCTTGAACCTGTCTAGTCTCAGCGCTCTAGTGTCACGTGTCCCCTTCCTAATCCGGAACTGCACACGCGACACAGCTGAGCCACCGAATATGGTAACAGGTCGCTCGTTCACAAAGACGTTGTGGTATATACAACACAACTTATGTACATGAGGCAATTTTGTGCAGCTATTGGGGAGGCTAACATACGAAGACTCTGTTAAGGACCTTGAGATACGAAACGGGGATGTTCGGCAGTGCTGGTAGGCGGAGAGTTCTTGGATGGTCAACTGCTCAATGTGGGAAATAAGGTCTCCAATTAAGTCTAGCCGATAGGCGTGTCTCCGCCACCTTGAAAACAAGAGCAGGCTTCAATGAGGAAGCAATGGGCTGAGTGGGAGAACTGGAGTTAACAATAGCAGGGGTGTGGTCCAATAGGATACAGGGAGTGGGGATTTGCGCGATGGCAGATCAAGGATCAAGAGTGCTCACCTTATTTCTGACATAAACCATAGCTCTTAGACCCCCGCATTCATACACACTCATACATTCATAGAGAAAAAGCCACCATATGTGTGATTGGGAGGTCTCATACCTCCCTGGCCCGATATCCGACACCAAGGCATACGGCACGCACATATAGTGGCGAAGTACGCGTTATTGTGGTGTACTTACATGACCGACTCAACGATAGAACTGCGATATGGGGACAATCCCACCGTAGCACGTCGCATGGTTGTGGTGATCTCTAAAATCATGTGATGAAGCTCGCTAGTACACGTCGGCTACGAGAGACTTTGCAACTCGCATAGTCTGTGGAAGAATTCCACTATGAGGACGAAAATATTATTCCTGATGCTGGGAAGTCTTGTGTATGGGCATGACGGGTGGGGTCATTCGCTCCAGTGCCTCAAACTTGAAGGGACCAGTGCATAATTCTAGTCAAAGATCAGCGATGCGAATAATGAGATGGCTGCTTTCTGGGCAGTGACGGGCCATCCAGCGCGCGACGCCCTTAATACGTTTGTACTCATGTGGCATCTTGTTGACAGTCCTCAATCAATACTTGGAGTCATGCGTGGTTTCGGGGTAGCTCTGAAGAGAAGTGCTCAGTACTCTGTACTAGGCAGGTATCGTAGCTTGTGCCATACATGCCTTGATAGGACAGCCTATCCGAGTCAAACCATACGGCATTGGGTGGCATCGACGCTGCTGTGAAGAGCAACCTGGCGGATGCTCGTCAGGAGCTTCTTGAAGGGAACTGAGAGTCGATTGTTAGACGCCGATGAAAAGGCGCGGCGTTCTCCGCCAGCCGCCGAAACGCTCATCCTTCCTGGTTCGCTGTACGTGATATCGTGGGGCGCATCGTGAATGATCACATTAAAGACGCTCTAAGTCTGGTTTGATTCGTGCAGCATAGTATGGGCCGATCTAGTAGGTCCATACTGTCCGCTGATGTCGCACCAGTCGTCTAGGTTCCGAGTCAACGGCGCATTCACCGATGCAGATCCCGCGCCAGAACAGCTCCCCACCCACTCGCGACTAGCCCGTTATGGCTCAGCAGCCATCAGGTACCGTCGAGTCGTCGTTGTGGTTGGCGGCATTGACACCGAGACCCCGGGACGCGAACGCCTTCCAGAGAGTGCACTTGTTCGCGCCGTTGTATCGGTTCGCATCAGCCTGGATCCAAGCGTCACGACCAGTGAGGACTGAGATAAAATAAGTTCAAGGTCAGTGCCACGATTCCTAGACCTGTCGAGCGCATGCAGGACGTACATGTTGGATTACATGGTTGGATGGAGAAGGAGTCGATGAAGAGGTGGAGAAAGACCGTGTTCCCGCCAGAGCCGCTGCAGGTGCGATCAGCACATCTGAGACACAGGGGTACAAGACAGCGTGGGGACTCACGAGGCGTCGGTGTGAGCGTTCTCGTCAAAGCCGTGCTCAGCAACGAGGGCAGCGTAGACGTTGTGGAGCAGGTTGGCCCAGACTTCACCGATATCTAGTGAGGAGGCGGGGAATATCAGCTTCCGAGAACGTGACGCAGGTGACAGAAGGACCATACCATGAACTTCGTCAAGGGTCTTGAGGCTCGAGTAGCGCAGGGGGTTCGTGGTGCTAGCATTCGCATACCATATCAGCACCATCCCCGCAGAACAAACGACACGACGCTGAGGGACACTTACGCATTGGTCGAGTACGGGTGTGAGCGGATTCCCGCAGCGCTGTTGGTGACGTACTGGCCCATAACGTAGTCGGGGACGCTGGCGTCCTTGTGCTCCGTCCACTCCGCGAACGCATCCGACCACCCCTCGCCCATACCGCCAGCCTCGTCGGTTTGCAGGCAGCTCCCCGTGCCACCGCCGGTCAGGCGGTTCGAGATGCCGTGCGTATTCTCGTGCACGGGAATGTCGTTTTCGAGAGCGCCGTCGCGCTCGGGGCTAGTGAGGTCCCAGAGGAACATCGCCATCTGGCCGTTCTGCCCGTCGGGAGGGGTGGAGAAGAACGCGTTGTCGGTGCCCTCGTCGTCCTGGACGGAAATCAGGACGCGGTCGTTGCCGGCCCCGCCCTTGCCGAAGTTGTCGTCCTGGAAGTTGAACGCGGCCTCGGTGAAGCCGTAGATGTACGAGATGTCGTGCACGGTGTTGACGACGTAGAAGCCGTTCGTGCGTGCCGCATCGAGGTTCTCCTGCGTCGTCGGGTCCGCGTCGGGGTCCTGAGTGAACACGAAGTTTTGGCCGGAAGACGACTGCTGGGTGGTGTTGGAGGTGTCACCCTTGTATGCGATGGCGTTGTTGCCGCTAGTGTCCGTCGTCGTGGTTGTGCCATCGCTGTTCCAGCCGTTGGGAGACGCGGCGGTGTTAGCGGGGTCGGTGAGCGTCTCGAAGCCCTCAAGAAGCGTCTCTTTGGTAATAGGGAGAACGCGGTACTGCATTTGTCGGATTGTGAGCACTTTGTGTAATGTCCGAAATGAATACGGTACTCACTGAAGCCTTCGCAACAAAGTCGGTCAGCTGGATCACCTCCCCAGAGTGGGCGTCAACGAACGCCTCATAGAACTCGTGTTTAGCATCGTTCTGGATCTGGACGGCGTACGCAAGCGCGAGGGAGCCATCCTTCTTCGCGACCCACTCCAGGGAGGTTGGATGCGAGTTGTACTTGCCAGAGAGGGCGCTCTCGGCCTTGAAGATAGCATCGTCCGCGGAAATGGACGGGGTTGTGGACGGGACCGATGCTAGGACGTCGGATCAATTACCTCAGTGTTTGTGCGTCACAATCGCCGAAAGTCGCTTACAAGGCTTCTTCACAAATGAATTGCCAAACGAGACTACCTTGTTGTTCTTGTTGAAGGCGACGTTGGCGACCGCATTCGCTACAGGAACGCCGTTCTGAAAGCCAGCATGCGATCAATAATGTTCAATCGAGCCAGTCGGAGACGTACGATTTGCTGGCGAACGTACGCGTGGTGCGCGACGTCATTTGAGAACGAAGTTCTGAAATGAACGTTGTCGGACTTGACACCCGTCTTAGACTGGATGAAGGACACAGTCGCGTCCTTGATGTCAAAGTCCGCACGCTTGGAAAGCGGGTGGTCGACGCCTTCCACGCCAAACGTCTATGATAGGCCAAGGTTAGCAGAGCCTTCCAACAAAGCAGGTAAAAAGCTCTGTGGCACGGACCTCGAACGAGGACTCAGGGTGGAAGCTCTCGACGGTGAGACCCGAGCTGGTGGAACGGGTCTGGAGGGTCGTGTGCTTGAGGCTACCAGCGAAGGGAGCCGCAGAGGCAGTGGCGGCGAGGGCTATCGCGAGGTAGACGGACCGGAAGAAGGTGGTCGAGAACTGCATGTCTGAGAGTCGTCACGAAGGGCGTGAGGGAGGACCAAGGAGCTCGCTGTGCGATCGCCTGGAGGGCATCAAGTCGTATGCCGCCTGGTATTTGTACTTCTCCTGGAGGCCCTGCAGAAGACGAGGGCCGCTGCCATTGTCACAGTTCACGAGAAGACCGTATGGGCTACGGGGACTGCGACCCCGTTGTGCATGCATGACCACCATTGTTCTTCTATTATCAGATCCCAGAAAGTCGCTAGAGAAACATCACCGATCCCTGGCTGCTCTACCACACAGCACTGACAGAGAAGTCGCGTGTTGCGGGGAATATCAACCCCCGCGATGGTCAGAAGTGCCCGCCCAGGTTACACATGGACATTGCTTCTGGGGAAAGAAGAGTTGTCGTTCTTAGCGAGCGTCGCGATAACGAGGCGGTTTTGATGGCGGTCTTCCCATAGTGAGGATCAGGAGTGGAGCGTTTCCATGCGCCCCGGTTCGGTGGCCCGCGTGCACCGGTAGACGTATGACAGTGGTTCGGGCTCGCTAACGTTCACATTCGTGGACAAGAATCAGCGAGAAGCCTGTCTATATTATGCACATTGAGTAGCTTCCATACCCACGGCTGTTCACTGTCCAAACACACGAGTATAGGTGCCATATCAGTATGGCACACTGGTGACTGGCCACCATGACAGGAAGCTCAGAAAAAAGTCGGTCGTACCGTAACCGAGCGGTTGAGCGCCGCAGCAACCTGCGGTTTGCCAGAAAGGTGATGCCAACATTTGCGAATGCGCTCAGCATGTGCAGAGGAATCACAGTTACGTCACTGTGAACTGCCGACATTCAGTAAGTCGCGTGCAGCACATATGCACATACATACCGTAAACCCGCCGGCATTCCGGTGAGTCAGTGATACGTCGCGAGCTGCGATGACTGACATACTGTACGATTCATTCACGATGACTCAAGGATAGCCAACAGCCTCCGTCATGAAGAGCACACGGATGCAGAATAGTGTCAAATGTGGTGAGATGAGTTGAGGCCTCGAGGTTGGACTTCTCCGACGGTTCCGCAGGATGGGAATAGGCGCTCTCTGCCGGCCCAAGCCGATGACGTGCCCCCGGCTTCTCCTTGCGCTCGAGTCGCCGACGTCGTTGCAAGTGCGAGTCAATTGCCTGCTTCCGTCACGAGTGGTCAATCAACCACATTCGGAATCGTATACTGTACTGATTGTCGGATGACTCGTGGTTCGTGAAGGTCATAAATCCTCAGACTTTCATTCACAGAATTATGCTGAACGAGATACTCCACTAGGGCTTTTTCCTCATCCCTGTGCAGAAGCACAACTCCATAATATCATTCACTGCTCCATATCAAAGAGCTGTGGGTACGTATGGGTCCTCACACTCTGACTACACAGTACGCGTGCCTGGAGTACCTGCCCAGTCATCCCTTTCCGCTTGCGCCCCAGAGCCTTTGGCAGGTTCACATTGTTTTGATGTCATCCTATGACCACATAACCTCGCTTTGGGTTCACCTGAGTCTCAACTGATCGCTGACCTTTCTTCAGTTCTAGGATCTTGGGCACGTCGTACACACTTCGGCTGCGGTAGAAAGCCTCAGCTTGCATGGCGCCTCTCAAGCTCGCGATAGTGGGCGGAGGGCCCTCGGCTTTCTACGTGGCATCACGACTGCTCTCGCTGCTACCGCAGACCAGTGCGCATGCATCATCCCTCAAGATACACCTCTACGATCGATTATGGGCTCCATATGGTCTCGTACGTTACGGGGTCGCTCCAGACCACCCTGAAGTGAAGGTGAGCCGCTTCGCTCCTTGAAGTTTCCGTTTGCTGGTGCAACTTAGAGCACACGTTCTCTCTTCCTTTCGGAACCTGCATACTGCCGAAGCGCAGAATTCGTACATCTGATGATGCAGGCTTTGCGGATACGCACGGAGCACTAGTGATCCCGTGTGCCCTTGATTCGACGTGACTATTTTGGTTGGTTGGGGCTTGACAATGCCTACCCCTCATGTATGTCTCCCTTCGGGTCGGGCGTCATCCACAAAACGATCCGTACGACCATCGACCTCTTTCGGCTACTTGACAGTACATCCGAGGCTGTCTCGACCGACGATACGCTGGGGTCGTTGTACAGTGCGCCACTTGAGCCATGCCACTACCCCCCATCACCGTCTGCGCGGATGGGCTGTTGTCACAATGGCGAAGCTCGACTCACGCCGTCTGGACCTTGTGGGGGCAAAGCTGAGAAATGTATATGTACAGCGATGTTGATGGGTTCGTATAATCCCAGATATGTATGCTCTGTCTAGCGGGGCACGATGATCAGCAGATGTTTCGGCTATATTTCACCAAGCGATGTCATCTCTTTCAGAACACGCCAGTGTTCCGCACGTTCACCTCGTGCACACATTTGGTCCATACAACCGTCATGTCGTGCTTCATCCTCCGCCTCAGGCGGAAGCGGAAACCCTCACTTGCATTCTTGACGCCTAGCCGTGGGCCCATCTGACACTCACCCTTCTCCAGAACTGTACGCATAAGTTTGATACTGCCGCGACCGACCCCCGCCTCCGCTTCTTCGGCAACGTGAACATCGGCACTCCCTCGCCCATCCCCACCACGCTGCCTCTCTCTCTCCAGTCCCTGCTCCCCTACTACACCCACGTCCTCTTCTCGACCGGCTGCTCCGTCCCCATCCTCCACCCCGCTCTCCCCCCATCCCAGTTCTGCGTTCCCGCGCTCTCCCTCGTGCACTGGTACACCCAACACCCCTCTGCCCCCCGCCCTCCCCCCGACCTCTCGCGCATCCGCCACGTCACGCTCATCGGCCAAGGCAATGTCTCGCTCGACGTCGCGCGCATGCTCCTCACCCCGCCCGAGCACCTCGCCCAGCACGACGTCCCCGCCCCCGTGCTCGCCGCCCTCCGCGCCTCCGCCGTCGAGCACGTCTCGATCGTCGGCCGGCGCGGCCCGCTCCAGGCGGCGTTCACGACCAAGGAGCTGCGCGAGATGATGAACCTGCCCGACGCGTCCATGGCCCCGCTCGACTCCGCGCTCCTCGCAGCCGCACAGACCAACGGCGGCGCGGCGCTCACGCGCCAGCAGGCGCGCACGCTGCAGCTCCTCCAGAAGGGCTCGAAGAACCCCCCGGGGAGCACGCGGAAGACGTGGTCGCTCGACTTCTTCCGCGCCCCCACCGGCCTCGTCACCCCGCCGTCCGGACCGTCCCCCTCCGCGCGCGCGCAGCTCACGCTCGCGCACACGGCGCTCGACCCCGCCCAGCGGGCCGTGCCCACGGGGGAGACCTCGACGCTCGCGACGGACCTCGTCGTGACGTCGCTCGGGCACCGCGCGGAGCCGTCGCTGCCGTGGTACGACCCCGGGCTGGCGCGCCTGCACACGCTGCGCGGGCGGGTGCTCGGCGCGGACGGGCGCTTCGTGCGGAACGTGTACGCGAGCGGGTGGGCGGCGATGGGCGCGCGCGGGGTGCTCGCGAGCACGATGCTCGACGCGTACGCGGTCGCGGACACGATCCTGAGGGACCATTTTCCTCAGTTCGGCCCTGCCTCCGCCTCCACTTCTCCTGAGGAGGAGGGGGGAAGCACGACTGTGGGCGGGGAGCCGAAGCGCGCGGCGGACCTCGGGGCGGCGGTGGACGCGGTGGAGGTCTTGCCGCGCGGGGAGGACGTGGACTTTAAAGCGGTCCCGCCCGAGGTGGACGCTGGGCTGCGCGAGGGGCGGGTGACGGATTTCGAGGACTGGAAGGCGATCGACGCTGAGGAGATCAGGAGGGGGCAGGCGGCAGGCAAGGAGCGCGAGCGGTTCGTGAGCTGGGACGAGGCGCGAGAGTTTTTGGCGAAGGTCAGGACGTAGAAGAGGACGCAGTCCAAAGGCCCCGCGGATGTGCCATGTTGAACTCAATCGTACATAACCTTACCGCTTAACCCCGTCTTGTCGGCGAGGAAATAACGTAGAGCCTGTCAATCTATCATTGCCTCTCACCGCTCTGTCCACGGAATCTATGTTCTTGGGAGCTGGAACGTGTATGTTTCCACCACGGCCAAGCTTGACATAGGGTTCGAGACCGTTCCTCGGCGTTGTATCGGCGCAGCGTGAACGCCAATTGCAAGTGTCTTTGCAGGCCGCACCTCATTTCGTCCCTACCGCTATTTCGCGGGAAATAAGTTGCCTCGATGTGTGTTCCCGTAAATAAGTATGGAAGGAAAGAAGGATCGACAAGGATTGTTGGGCTGCGGCCGCGAAGTCAAGGCGCGAGGCCTGTCGCGACATCATCGAGCTCCAACCCGCGCTGGCGGCCCACAACATACCCACGCGCTTGTCGCGACCGATCCTAGAATATCCCAAGGCACGTCCGCTTCATAATTTATCACTTAACAGTCCACCCTCAGAATCTTTGTTCTTCTCCACTACTTGACCTTCTTTCTGCCTTGCGCCCCGAGCTCACTCGTTCCTCTCGGTCGACTCGCGGTCGCGCTGCGCCAAGTTGCACTCACCCCAAGCCAGCCGCCGTTATCGCCTCCGCTTCGCCGCGTCTGCAAATGATCGCGCGCCTCGCCAGCCGCGTCGCTGCCGCCGGCATTCTCGCACTCGCTGCGTCGGTCCCGCTCGCGCACGCCCAGCAGCTCACCAGCGACGACCTGGCCAACGTCAAGGCCCGCCTCGCGCAAGGGGCCACACACAGGTGCGTGCGTACTGCTGCCAGCCGCCCCCGAGCCGAGTAACAACGTCTGACGTCTGGTGATCCACTGGCACGCAGCTGGGAGATCGGCACCCGCGCCCAAGCACTCACCGAATTCGACTCGCCCTCCTACTCCGTCCTCAACGACTCCTCCCTCCCGCCCCTACAAGGCTCCGCGCCCTCCTCTCTCGATGAAGTCGTCTCTATCGCACGCTCGGTCGTCCAGAATTTGACCAACGTGGGCCAGGGCGCCCAGCCGCTCATCGGGGGCACGACCAGCGGGGAGGCCGCGGGCGATCCCGCGAGCATCGGCGTCGCCGTCCTCTTGGCGAACTGGACCGGGGCAGGGGCAGCGGACAAGCTGGACTACGCGGGCGCGGCGCGGGACCAGCTCGAGTACCTGCTGGAGAAGGTGCCGCGGACGAGCGACGGCGCGATCTCGCACCGGGTGGAGAACGTGCAGCTGTGGTGAGTGCGCCCGTTGAGTGTCTCTGTCGGCGGCCGTTTGTGCCTTCCTTGCGTGCTCCGAACGGTGTCCGCTGGGCGCGCGGGGTAATCAGGCCTGCGTGGTACCTAGAGTCGACGAGGCACGGTCCGCGCATGTCGGAATCCAATATTGACAGCATTCACGTTCGTGGGACGCCCAGGGCCGACTTTGTGTACATGGTGCCGCCCTTCCTGGCTTACTACGGCGTCCTCACACGGAACCAGACGCTGGTGCAAGCCGCATACGACCAATGTCGATTGTACAGGGAAGCACTAGTCGATACCGACGCTGGGGGGATGTGGAGGCACATCGCGGGGAACGACAGTGACACTGGCCACTGGACTACCGGTGAGTTCTTCCAGACGTACGTCTCGTCCAAGCACTCACGTACTGCTCTGCAAGGCAATGGCTGGGCGGCCGCCGGGATGCTCCGCGTGCTGGGCACGATCCAGCACTCGCAATACTCGAAAAGCATGAAGTCGCAAGCGAAGGACCTCGCCGGCTGGGTCTCGCAGATCCACAACGGCATCTACCCCCATCTGGTACGTCTGCTGCGGATTGCGAACCACTTGCGTCTGCTCATGCGTGCGCGCCCGGCACATGCCATGCAGCAAACCACAGGGCTGTTCAAGAACTACGCCGACGACAGCACCTCCTTCGACGACGCGTCCGGCACGGCGATCCTCGCGAGCACCGTCTACCGCCTCGCGCTCCTCTCGGGCGTCCACACCAACGTCCCGAACGCGGAGAAGTCCCGGATCGCCCTCTTCGCCCCTTCCGCCTCGTCGCCGTCTTCCTCATCGTCGTCGTCGTTATCTTCATCCTCCTCATCCCCCTCTTCCTCACACGCCTCATCAGGCACTTCCTCCAGCACCGCCCCGTCGTCCAGCGCGACCTCTCCGAGCCTCGCGCACTTCACGTCCGACGGCTGGCTCACGCCCGTCGTGAACCCGTACAACGTCGGCGCGCAGGGCGAGCACAGCCCCGAGGGCGAGGCGTTCGTGCTCGAGATGTACGCCGCGTGGCGCGACTGGGCTGCGGTCGGGTCTCCAGGCCAGAACGGGGCCGCGGCGCAGGGGACGGGGCTCGCGGCGATCGTCGCGGCGCTGTGTGCGGCGTTCTTGCTGGGGTGTTGAGATGCCCGCTGCACACACGTTCTCATACCTACAAGGGAAAATACTCTAGAGCGCAGATCGTGGAACATTGATGGACGTTTGAACGGACTTTTTATAAGTGGGATATGAGGGGGATTGTCTTGCTTACAGGCTCACAGGAACGTATCAACGGTAGCTTTGTTGTAATCCTGCCACACCCTACTATACCTTCATTATTTGCTCGCGTTGTGAGTTGTGTCGATTTCTGGTCGAACCGATTTGTCGCCCCAGTATCGCGCGGCTTGCGTCATTTCGTTCCTGTGTGCCCAAGTATGCAGGTGAGATTCGGAGGCCTCTCGCTCATGACGTATTTCCCACGGATCGCACAGCGCTTGTAATGAGCGCCGCGGCAACTTGAGTGGTTATACATATCTACCTCTGAGTCGATGTTGGTATCTAATCCAGAAGGTACGTGGATTGCAGTATTGCAAATGCGACCTCGGAGGTGCTGAAGGCACTGCTAGCAACAACATAGGCACTCATCGTGCAGCAACTGCATAGACCTGGGCTCTGCGAAAGGGATCGGCTACGCCAATGACTGCGTTGCCTTCGGGAGACGAGGCCGCAGCGCTCCTACGAGGATGTCCCCCCGCCTTTGACTTGTATGCCACGTATCTGCTGCCAGCCGAACAGGCTGGGAGCGAAGCCGGCAACGCAGTCCATGTCATGAACGCCCGTGTAGTCGGCTACCTCCTTCTCTATGCCTACAGCGACAAGACTCGTGGTGCTCTCGTCTCTGAGATTGCGTCTTGCAGAAGCAGGCTTGACGGCGATCAATACGAAGCCCTCTACGATCTTGGCGATGTATATCTCAAGAACCTCATCAGGGCCTGTAAGCTCACCTGTTTGTTAGTTCAGTCAGACGGTGCTCAGAGCGAGTCGCGACAGTTAAGAGAACGAGAGAGGGAAACCCCGTCCGTCTCAGGCTCTCCTTCGCCGCATTTCTTTGAACAGCACAAGGGCGTTACGGAGAACGTGCAACGTCAGCCGGAAAACCACACGGCTGCTAAGGCTGCCATGCGTCTCCTTCCAATCCATATGTGCTGTTCCGCTGACTGAAAGGCCATCGACTACAGGCGCTTGTACGGGGTGACTACCGCTGTCTCGTAACGGGCAAAATCGACGAGGATTCTTTCCTAGCTGCGCGCACACAACAACGGCGACCAGAGGAAATGGTGACGTTGACGCGGGGCTCCCACATCTTTCCCAGCTCGCTGAACGACATCCAACCTGGCGTGTCCAGTGCGAAGGTTAATATCGAAGCTTTGGCAGACAATCTGGACACCGTTGCTAACACGCCCTCACCTTGTCAGGACTGTCCGGCAGCGACGGTGTGGACGATACTAGAACAACTCGGCTACGAGGATGTCTGCGCTCAACTCGGGGGCGACGCTCAGGGACCTTGGATCCATCGGCTGGAGAACGTCCTGACGCTCGACGTAGCTGTCCACGATCGCTTCGACAACATGCGGCTTTGGTTCGAAGAAGTGCGCGGCGAGGTGAGACTTCCTGTGGCCGCTGCTGCCCATCCTCGTTGCATCTGAGCTACATCCCACATACTCGATAGGAGAATCGTTACCGGGTCGTGCTTGCCCCCGGACTAACGCACACACTCGTCGGCGTCCCGGAGCAGGTCAAATTCGTTGCGCGTCATGGCCTATCCGTCCCTAGTCCAAAGTATATTCGGGTCCACGCCATGTGCTGCCGCGTCGCGCACATGTCTGGTGCCGCGAAGTATCTTGATGTGCTTATCCGCAATATGGAAGAGCTGCAAGTCTTAGCTGAGGACGGGACGTCCGCCGATGTTCTCATGTACGCGCTTCAGGGTCATCGTTCAAGAGAACACCCGTGATATGATATCGTTATTCCGTAGAGTTTTCTCGATGTGGTGTGAGGCAGGATGACATTCTGACACCTCAGAAATCGCAGAACTTGAAGGGCAATCGGATCATCCAGGTTGCACCGTCCACCAGTTTGCAACAAGCGTGCATCCGACACTCTTCCCGGTGGCTAACGGATGTGGCTCGTGCCAAGATTGTAAGCTCCTAGTTTGCATTCGCTCCACTTGAGTGGTTGGAACGATAACCGTCCGTTTGTCGTTCTCCCACGTTGGTTATCCACACACGAGAGAGGAAAGCAGTTTCCAAGTCGGAAGCGTTATCTTGGGCATTAGTACCATGGCACATAACGATTAGTATTATACGAAGTCGAATGAGCCTCCACAACGACTCGTTTTATATCTATGCTTACGCACGTCATCTTGGACAACACACAAACATCCGCTGCAAACACGAGCAAACAGCGTCATTGATCACAATCCGATATGCGACTCAGAACCTGACTGTAGGCCATCTGTACAAGCTATGTCTGTCCTAGAGGCAAGCGGTCAGCTTCAGAGACACTCTCTGTCTTATATAGGCGACCTACCGGCCTCTTCCTGCGTCGGGCTACCGTCGGACGCCTCTACAATGCTCCCCTTGCCAGCGCTTCCTTGGGAAGTTATTGAGCATATCATCGACCAGTCCTCCGGCGATCCTATCACCCTATGCAACTTTGCTCTTACCTGTCGTCAACTCAATCCTCGTAGCATCTACGTCCTCTTCTCCCATATCATCCTCCGAACCAGGCGTGCGCACTTTTTCCTCTGTGATGTCCTCCAAGCTAGGCCCCTTCTCAGACCTCTCGTACTGTCCGTGGCCGCGCAGTTGGCACATTTTGCGCCTTTCCCTCTACTGTCTATGCTGCCTAAGATACGCCACCTCACTATCAGCGGGTTTTCCGACTTTTTTTCCGTCAAAAAATTCGGTAGTCCAATTCACGCGTCCACCCGAGTGGCATTCGAAGTATCACTATCGAGGAAGTGCAGCCGTCGTCATACACCGCATTTCTCAGCCTTCTGTCAGCGTTCACGGGCGTTGAAGACATGACGTGCCGTCATATACAAATTGCAGTAGGGTCCGTCGATGACACACATCTGGATCGGCGACATCCGCTTATATCTCAACAACTGAGGCTGAGGACATTGAACGTAAGTATTATCATGATATATTCTGCGCTACTATATATGGTCCCAATTTTAACCTGTCCGTCCTCCCTAGATCGGCTCCAACGTTGATGAGCGAGTGGCGGCGTTGTTGCTCACAATAGCTCGACCCGTTGTTGTGATTCTGTCGCTTACACTAGACAACATCGACAGGGTTTTCATCGATAAGCTCGACACCACGGAGGGAAATGAACGCTGTGACTTTGAAATCTTCCCGCCGCTCCGTATCGCATCCGCCACCACTCTGTTGCGCTCCTCGGACTGGCCCTGTCTCCATTCCTTGACATTGACGGCATCAATGGAAGCGTTGATCATCCAAGCTGCCCTCGACATACTGCGAAACCTCAAACCAACGAGGTTGAGAGAAGTCACTGTGAGCATCACATCATCTGGAAACATTGGCGATATCTATTGGTCGCTTCAGCAACGGACCCCCGAACTGGAGCTTTTAGGCGACTTGGAGAGGGTTCTTCTCCAATTTCCTGAATCGCACATGTCATTCTCTCCATCCCACTCTTGCATGCACTTCCGCAAGTCCATTTCATGGGCGGCAGAACTTGGGAAGTGCTTCCCAGCATTGTGGGAGCACCGTGCGTTGACAATCAATGCTCGACTCTGTGAGTCGTAATACAGAAGTAACGGCACGGGTGTGCAACATTACTCATGAGTTTCCCAGTTGGAGGCTTAGGCCACGACGGGCCTGTCGGACGTGCTCTTGCCATTTCCTCCGACGGGCAATGGGTTGCGACCGGATCATCCGATTCCACTATCATCCTCTGGGATGGCCACCACGCGTGTATCTGCCATGAATGGATTGCGCATAGTGGAGCCATGGCTCATCTCGCGTTCTCCCCGAATAGCAGGCACCTGGTGTCTATAGGTGATTAAGACGAAGCCATCGTCTGGGGTATCCATGGAGAGTCGCACAGCAGGCTCGGCGCTCCCAAGAATTGCCGCAGCTTCCTTGGCACTTGCGCATGGTCCCCCGACGGCGCCCTCATCGCGATTGGATACTATAATTGCATCGTACAAGTCTGGGATGCACGCACATTCGAGTCACTCGCGCTTCTGGACCACTTGCGTACCGATTTCGGCCGTGCGCCGGATTTCATCTTCTCCCCTGACAGTCGCTGGCTTGTTATTTGGGGTGGCGAAATGTGTGGAATATGGGATGTTCCTTCGGACACCTTCAAACGACCAGACGTCAAAGGGGGAGACCAAGCTGCTTACCCTGCAGTTGCCGGATTAGGTGTATTCAGCCCCGGAAGCACCCGCCTCTCTGTCGCATATACGGACGGCTCAGTCCACACCTGGAACGTGGAGACTGCAGAAGAAGTCGCGATTTTGCAGCTGCCTGCCGCCGGTAGCAGCTGGGCTTCAGCCTTCTCGCCGGACGGTTGGCATCTCCTGTTCAGGACGCCAGACAATGCAGCAAAGGTCGTGGATATTCACACTGGTGCCATTCTCGCGTCGCTACAGGGAGACGCGCATACTACCATGTGGCCAGTATGCTTCTTTCCATGCGGGAAGTACATCGCCTCGGCAGCAGGATTTGAAGTGAGGTTATGGAGAACTGGCGACGGATCGTGTCTAGGGACACTCTGGAGTCACGATGATGCTGTGACTTGCCTCGCATTCTCCGCCGGTGGGACAATGCTATGGTCCGCAGGAAGCAATGGAACTGTTATCGGTCGTCGTATACTGGACATTTTCTCCGAGGAATGTACCACAGAATCGTCTTCCACCTTACACTAGCGCTTGTGTTTTCATGGCACACTCTTGTATCTTGCAAGAATGGGAACTAAAGTCGGAAAATGCCATGGCTGAGGGGGAGATAGCTATAGGCTTTCCTTCCTTGCAATGCTCATGGCTCCATCCGGAAAGTCAGCTAGCCCAACAGGCTGCAGAATTCCCTAAGTTCGCGCAAGTCAGTCGGATAACGCGTCAGACCCCTATGCGTACGACTTGGCCTATTCACAGAGGTTACTCGTCTACACGTCTCGCAATCGAGCCGATACGTACAATTGTACACGCTAATGGGTAACCAAGACCGTTGCGCGCATGCCCCTCGCCGTACCCGCAAAGCCGAGCGGGACTATCTCTTCTGCGACGCTCACAGCCATCTCACCCATACACTCAAGCCTCGAGTTCGACGCGGACGAATTGGGCGTGGACGACGACGCGCCCTCGCGCAGCGACATACATCCGCACGGTACTGCGACGGTTATTGTCTTCCCACCGTCGATCTCGTAAAACGTCGGGCTTTCGGAGCTTCAATAAGCGCATGTTATCAGTCCCAATAGCACCGGGAAGCTAAGCGGGAGACATACCTTATGAAAGCCCCTATGCCCATGACGACCTCGTGCAACGTCCTCAGCGCGAGCGCATCGTCGAACACGACCTTCGGGTCCGTTATGACGGCCCACGAGCCATTGAACACCACCATCGCCTCCCCTCTCACCTCGTCTTCGCTCTCTCCCTCTCCCGCCTCCTCTGCGGACTTGTCACCAAACAGTAGCACGCCGGAAGGCGCGACCTTCAAGCCATCATCCCCATCCCCCTTCTTTCCCTTCTTGTTTGACTTCTGCTTCTGCTGCTGCTTCTGCTTCTGCTGGGCTGGAGTGACCTGCTTCACCTTCGGCATCGGAGCCTCGAGCAGCGCGCGTTTCAGCGCGTCGCACAGCTTCTTCCGGCTCTGGAACTCTGCCGCTTTCGCGCCCGCATGGAGCGCAGGGCGCGGACGACGCTTCGCCTTCGGGGGGGACACAGATGCCGGACGTCTGCGGGGACGCCACTCCAGAGCCACTGGATCGAGGTAGAACCTGGACGTGGATTGCGATGTCGACGCAGGGGCTTTCGGTGTGGCGGTGACGGCGGCGGCATTCGCGCTATCCCGTCCCGAACGAGGAGTTCGCGCAGACGACGCACTACGGCCCCGCCGCGGAGTGGCAGCTGGTTTCTCGGCCGGCCCCGGAGTCCCAGAAACGCTAGCCCTCCTCTGCCTCGACCGTGACCGGGTCCTCTTAGCCGGGCTCGGCGCGTCGTCGTCGTCATCCGGATCCTTCAGCGGCTCCAAGAAATCTATCGTGTCCGACGCGAACATGGTCGGAAATACGGGTGCACTCTTCCTAGGCCGTCCGGGGCCGCGTTTGGCAGGCGGCGGGAGAGCGTGAATTGCATTTGCGCTGGTCTGCTTGAGGATCGCAGCACTAGATATTGGGAGGCTGGGAAGGCTGGGGAAGCTTGCTCGCCTCCGTGCCACCTCCGCTGCAGCAGCCTCACGCGCGAGGGTCGCCTTGTTCTTTGTTCCCGGGGGACGACCGCGGCGTTTGGGAGTGGGAGTAGCCGGATCCGCCGTCGCCCTTCTGGACCGGCCGGGGGTGCGTGGTACTAGAGCTTTACGCTGCCCGGATGTCATGCCCGCAGCTGCTGCACTCGTCGAGGCCTCTGGAAGGGGGTTCTTGCGAGGGCGGCCGCGAGGACGCTTCGGTGTTACAGGAGGAGCCACGGTTTCGAGCTCGTCACCGGTGCTCTCCTCTTTCTCTTGAGCGTAGATATGCGGAGGCTGATGTGCTGTGGGGGAACCTACATCTATAGTGGGAAGAGCGGTCCAGGTCGGCATAGAGGCAGCTGATCGCGTGCTGTGTGCTGGAGATGTTTTGTAAACCCCTCTGTGGGACATGACCGGGTCTGGAGAACCGGCGCTGCGACCCCGTCCCCGCCCGCTACCCCTCCCGCGTCCACGTCCACGTCCACTGCCGCGAACTCTGCCCGGTCCCCGCTTGACTGGGTCAGACTCTGGGTTGGAAGGACGAGCGATGGACTGCTCCTCGTCGGGCTCCATGCGCACTGGCGTGTCAGACGTGGCAAATGAATTGTTCAAAGCTTCGACTAGCGTCATGGAATACCCCGAAGCACGATGCTGGCGGCCCGCTTCTCGTGGTACGCCTTCATCGGATGTGGCGGATGGTGTAGGGATGGAGATCGGCTTCACTTTTGAAGGTCGTCCTCTGCGACGTGCCGAGCTCGTAGAGGGTGCTTCTGTTTGCACCTCTGGCTCTGCCGGAGACGTTCCTCGCTGAGTCTGAGAACGCGGACGCCTCGCTGGTATTTGGATTTCGACGTAGACGGAGGACTTGCGACGGCGAGCCGGGCCTTGGGAAGTCGACGCGGCGGGCAGGGCAGGAAAGGGATCATCAAATGTCAGGGGATCTACATACATATGGTCGTCCTCTGCTTCGTCGTCTAGTCTCGGCCGTTTTGCGGGGCTAGCGGCATCGCTATATCTCGCACGCTCCTTCTGTGAACGTTTGGTAGGGGAACCTGATGAAGATCCTTTTGGAGATGATGATCGAGCTATAACAGATGTTAATCCTGGTTGTTCATGACTGTTACAACACATAGAAAAAGTGAGACATGAGGTTCTGGGCTCAAACATCCGCGCGGCTTCGTCAGGACGTCAGGATCTTGAAGGTGGTCAAGCATGTGGCACCGCGGTATCTCGGTTCACATGCGCATCGAGATGTGTGCGCTGCAGGTTCCCATGACGGACGTCGCTTACCGCAGGGCCTGAGTGGACCTCCTGAGGCCCAGCGCGCGGAGGAATCTCACCAATATCAATATCGAAGCACTCGCACCTCTTCAAGAGAGCTGAGCAACCCTCGCTGCCACTCTGCCGACCATCTTTGTGAGAGCCACAATGCCACATGACATCACGATGCAAACACGCTGGAAGAAGTTTCCGGCGAGTAAAGAATCGATGCGATGAAAGAACATCTTGCTCTGATCTGTGCGCCGCATGTATACTCTGTGAAACTCCTCTCGTGGTTTAGATCAGGACAGTTGTTCCGGCGCGTAAGCAGACATGAACATCGCTGTTCAGAACAATGAGACGCTTCATGAGCGACGCGTATTTGGGGCCTCGAACCACTGCCGGATCGCTCCCAAATCGTGACCACATGTTCGCCTATCCCTCTCGCACCAGGCGTGGGCCGTTCCCCGCTGACCAAGTTCGGCGCGACAAGGCGAGGTGTGAACTGGCAAACCAGCGGCGCACCGAGCATCTTCGCGGTCCGGTGACTAGAAAGAAGGACACTCACAACCTTGCTCCTCCTCCTCTCCACCTGACTCCGCTTCTGCGCCCGAACGCGCAGTAGATCGGGTTCGTTTGTGCGCATAGGTCCTGTAGACGCGTGTTGCAGAGCGATTAATCGTTCCAAAGACGTCTGCGCGGTCTGAATGAGCGGGTGTGGATGGTTCAGGGTCGGGGACTGCGGGGGACAGTTCGCGTGCTCGCGCTTGTTCCTCTCGTTGTCGTCGTTTCTTCAGAACATGCGGTGGTGGTTTTCCAATATATGCAGGGAAGACCTTCGACATATTGGCGGAGCTCGAGGTAACAGAGGAACAAGGCGCATCAACACGATGAGGTCAATGTTCAGAGTCAGGCCGCGTCGCGCCTTTTCCGTCCAGTGTTCCCACGGCCTGAGCGCCACCGCTTGTCTTCACATTCATTTGTGCCGATAGTGGTTACGTCCGACTGCCTTGTGCAAGGTAAATGGTTTACAATCGCAACTGTGGTAATGCACGTCCCTCTGCATGAAAGGACATCACTGATTCTGATCGCGCTAGCTGTCCTCGTTTTCTAGCGTCTTCTGGGTCCACATGACTGCATTGTCTTCGCAATTGAAGGCGAAGTACCAGCCACAAAGCTCAGAAGGCTCGACTCGTGCCTGGAGAACTTACACGACATAAGTATGTTCTTCCAGTGGAGCATGCGGCGTGCAAATCAGGAAATGAAGTACTCTACACACGCATAGTCGGCTACCTTCTTCTCTACGCTCCTACCGACGCCGCTCCGAGTTGTAGCATCCTCAGTTCTGAGACAGCGTCCCATAAGGGGAAACCGGAGAGCAAGCAAGGTAAGGTCATCTAGATTCTAGGTGAGATGTACTTCGAAAATCCATCGGTCCGGTCGCTGTACTGATTCTCAAGAGGAACTCCGAGCGTTTCGGGCCGTCCATCACCTCCTTCTGTGGGCCAGCCGAAGGAACTAACATCACGAGGAATATGCAACGCTGGCAACCACACTGGCAAGATCAGGGGACTGCCACATTCGCCGGACGTTTGCACGGACTCTAGACTCAAGTGATTGTCAGCTCATCGACGGGCGGTGGCAGGAAGAATTGTCCACGGCGACTCACATCTTCCCACAGTCACTCTCAGCAACATATTTCAACCGGCGAATCCGGGGCTAGAGTGTCTTCCAAGATATCGGCAGCACGCCACTAACATGGGCGACACCGTGGACCGAAACGATCTGCCCACGGGGATCTCGATGATGGCCTGCAGTCGGCATGCTGAAGGAAGTGGTAGCTACTGGCTGGAGAATGTCCGAGTCTTGACGATCACTTTGACAACATCCGGTTGAGTGCGGGGGACAGGTGAGGCCTTCTTCCGCCGAGCTGGACTGCTTCTGGCCATAACACGCATGCTTCAGGAGAATTGGTATCGAATTGTTATCGCTTCCCGCGTGTGTCTGTCGCATATTATCGTGGGATTCAGGTGGCATTCTATCGACCTCAGGCATCTTTCTGGCGCCCTGGAGTATGTACCTCGTTACGATTCTGCGCGTTCTGGGGAGGTCGAAGGTGTTGGTAGAGGGTAGGACGTCGACCAATGTCCTCGTACACTCGTTATGGCAACTGTCTTCTGGAATCGGAGTGAGTTGTCAAATTGTCATACATTGGTTCGATGATGGCGTATGCTCATCGGAGATCCCGGGCTGCTGCTCAGCTCTCCATAACCATAGGTATACTCACTTCGACTTCAATGCTTGTTTGTCAGACAGTCATGATGTTGAGCTCTCGACGACAGTTGGAGACACATGCCAATCGGAGACGCGGTACAGTCCCCGGACCGATTATCATGCTCAAGCATAAGAGGTAGAGTAGATTTTTGATCTCAATGGACTCACCGATCAGAATCGAGTGTAGACTCAGATCGCGGCCATCCAGGATGCGGCTCCAAGCGTCGCGACCACGGGAAGACCTGTCACGAAGAGAAGCTGCCCTGCAGAGCTAGACGTCCACGTTTGAACGTCTAAATGTTTGAACCACCACCCTCACCTTGAGCGCGGTCGCCGTGTGAGGTCTGTGATACGTGAGGACTTCATTCCTCCGGGGTCTATCGGAACATCGCTCGGCGCCGCGGGTACGTACGAGATGTGCCTCAGTGAATGATGAAGGAAGACGCGCGTTGCAAGGGGCAGACCACAGTTGACACCGACAGTCGCCGGGTCGACGCCGCCATCTCGGTGAGGAAGGGATGAATGGTCGAGTTCGCTCCCCGACACGGTCTCTCACCTTCTGAAACCTGACTTTGGTGCGCACGTGCAGATTCCCCAGAGACTCCACGCTGCTTCTGCGCTATCGCGCTTGGCAAAATGAAGGCCTAGAGGGCTCCATGCGTAGTCACGGCCTCAACAACCCAGCTGCGAATCGTGGAGTATCGAGTGTCGAGACAAGCAGCTCGCCGCGCCTCTGCTCTTCTAATTTGTGCGTCGTCTTGAAATGTGGGAACCGCTCTCACGACAGTCGTTGAGTGGCAGACAGTGAAATGACCCATGTCAAATTGCGGACCTCTGCGGGAAGGTACGCGCTCAAGACGAACTTGGTTTCCAATCCGTACGTCCGTCCGACCTATGTATCAACCCGACCCCCATCTGGGTGGTGAGTGTAGTACAGTAGACGATCCGTGCGGCGTTGTAGGCTACTCCCGTGCGTCCTCGTGGTTCGTGTCTACCCTCATCATCGAAGGAGACCACCCAGTGATGTCCATTGTCCACGCCGCTAGTGTCTACTAGGGCTAGTGGCTAATACAAGTAAAGTCTGGCCCAAACGCTGCTAGCAATGACCTCATCCCGGTTTGTGCCTGGCGCCGCCTGTCGTGTGACAAAAGCCAGCAAGATCGAAAGGCTCTGACGAGCACTGGGCCCGTCCCCATATTCCCCGTCCAGCTCCGCCCTTGGAGGTAGCGGTCAGTAGTATCCCCAATTCCACATGGCGTACTTTACTCCCGGCTAGAGCGGAGCAATCGCAGGCTCTTCATACATAGCAATGTTTATTTTGGGTATGGGTCTCACGAGGCTATCCCCAAATGGGCCTTGCGTAGGTTGAACTTGACCTCTTTGTGTGTCGGAGAGGAGATGCTTGACATGTGAAAGCACTGGCTACTGTCAGGAAGTCAGCCGAGGGCGCTCTCGATTTTCCCAGACGGAAGACGGCTTATCTGGTCCCTCACGCCTCTTTCTCTGTTCTGGCTGTCTTCGACGGCAAGGTTTGATGACAAGCGACGCTGGTGGCAAGCTCTAGTCACTGCGGCCGATGGCATCGTGGAAGTTCAGAGGTACACGTACGGATCACCTGGCTCTTGTGGGTCACAATGCCGGACTCACAGGTGTCTCAGCTCACCGTTGCATCGACTGCAACTGACGCCCGAGATGTCCGGAGCAATAAAGCGCCTTCTTGAGGTTGTGATGCATCCTCATGGAGCATAACGATTCCGGGCAGTATATAGGATCTGGAGTAGCCGCAGCATATAAGTAAGCGGGCGTGCCGACTCTTACTTCTACGCGCTCGCGGTATCATGGGTCCCAGCTTACCATCTCGATAGCAGATATCCATGTCTCTGTCCGAGCCGCTCATCAATTCTCCGCCTGTGTTCTTCTGGTGCCGTCGTGTGTTGCGGTAGAGTGAGAACGAGCCTGGGGCGGTGGCTTGGGCCCGTTACATAGGACGCCGATGAGCTCCGCAACTCCCAGGGTAGTCGCGTGCCTGGCTCGCAGCCAGTTCAAGGGGTGAAGTGTCGACGCCGGAGCTAGAAGTGGCCAAGCACTTGTATGAGATAGCTTATCATCTGCGCACATCTAGCCGCCGTTCTCACCGCTCACCGTCAACCATCACCACAGGCCTGTAGTCATCGACGGGAGACGTTGGGTTCGCAGACAACACTGGGGCAGTCCCGGGAAGCGCAACTCTTCAAAGCGAAGGCTTCTGGGAAGCCCGACTTGCGGATTACTGCACAGCCATGGACACGGAGCGCGAGCTCGTCCCCACGCCGGATGCGCCGCCCACGCTTCGCATCGGGCCTCGCTACCTGGAGGTGAGTGCAGAATTCTCTCGTACCGGGAGCTATATGGCTGCCGGTCTGCCAATGGCCAGTCATCTACCTCGTCCGCTCTGCCAAGCATCCGGCTGGGATGTCAATGCGACAGGTTGTGATATTGATTGCGAGAAGCGCGTCAAGCACCGTCTAAGACCGAGGTTCTTGCCCGTCCAGGCCTCGAGGCATTCGAAGCATAATCTCCTCGTTGCACCCATGGCAAGCCTGTGCGAATCTGCATCGCGGTCTGACCTTCGCCGCACAGATCTCAATCGACTCGTGCTGTTGGAGTGGGTTGAACCGTCTGCTCCTTCTAGACAGAGGCCCCGCAGCCTCTTCGGCATGACGCTCGTTCTCGTGTGGTTGGATCCCGCTGGGCTATCAATGCCGGTCCGCTTTTGACAAGGCTACGGCATATCGTACCTTCCGTGCATATGGTGCACATCCCCCCGGCTCTCACGGACAATTTATAGTTTGCGGATGTCAGCGCCAGAAGATGTTCACCTGTTCTTCGGTGCAGGTGGGACTCTATCCATCGGCTTGTGGCTTCTCCTGGCGCCCAGTGCATGACGCTTCACTTAAAGATGTAGCCCACCATCGACTGACCCCGTCCGTCCGCCCAGGTGCTTGCCCTCATCATGACGGACTCCCCGTACTACTCCGAGGAGCTGCCTTCTGCAGGCCCGTTGCCAGAGAAGTTCGCGGTCGACGGCGATAGGGAGAAGCAACGTGAGTTTCCCACAGTCGCTCAACCTCCGCTCGCTAACCGTCGCCCCGTCGCCCCAGTCTCGGTCGATAAGGAGCACCTTGTCGTTGCCGACCCCGAGTTCGACGACCCCAACATCGACCCAAACGCACTCCCCCTCGGTGAGTGCAGCATCGCTTATATACAGGTCCGAAGGGGAATCTGAAGTGTGTATTTGGAACAATGAAGAGGATGACTCGCCGTATCCCGAGGTGCGCTCCGCCGTCGCCAACACGGACGACCCGGACATGCCCGTAAACACCATACGCGCATGGGCCATCGGCCTCCTTTGGTCAATCATCCTGCCCGGCATGAACCAGTTCTTCTTCTTCCGTTTGCCGGGAGTCACCGTCACTGGTGTGAGTGCCGTTCCTCCTCCACTTCTTCACCGCACGAGCTTATGTCCCCATCCGCAGATCGTCGCGCAACTGTTGGCCTTCCCTCTCGGTCGCCTTTGGGCCGCTTTCATGCCCCGGGTTAAGATTTTTGGCATGCCCCTGAATCCCGGTCCTTTCTCTGTCAAGGAGCACGTCCTCATTACGATCATGGCCAACGTAGGATACCAGTCAGCGTATGCGGTGCGTGACTTGACTTCGACCCCCGTCAGATCACATACTGAACTGGCACATTAGACCGATATCGTCGCCGTGCAGCGCGTATACTACAACCAAATCTATAATTTCAGCTACCAGTGGATGGTTGTTATGTCCACTCAGCTTGTAAGCGATCTGGCTGTTCCGACCGAATTCTTCTGACCATGCGTCTTGCACCACAGATTGGCTTTTCGATTGGCGGTATCGCACGTCGCTTCCTAGTAGCGCCCCCGTCCATGATCTGGCCCACGAACCTCGTCACCTGCGCGCTGTTCAACACCCTCCACTCGCAGCATTACGCGGGTATGGGAAACCGCGGAGGCATCTCCCGCGAACGGTTCTTCGTCTACGCGTTCAGCGGCTCCTTCCTGTGGTACTTCTTCCCCGGCTACATCTTCCAGGCGCTCAGCTACTTCAACTGGGTCTGCTGGATCGTCCCGGACAACCTCGTCGTCAACCAGCTGTTCGGCTACTACTCCGGCCTGGGGATGTCCCTCATCACCTTCGACTGGTCGCAGATCGCGTACATCGGCTCGCCGCTCGCGACGCCGTGGTGGGCGTCCGCGAACGTCGCCGTCGGCTTCGTCGCGTTCTTCTGGGTGCTCACGCCCATCATCTACTTCACGAATACGTGGTACTCCGCGTACATGCCGATCTCGACGCGCACGAGCTACGACAACCGGGGGCTCGAGTACAACGTCACGCGCATCCTCACGCCCGAGTCGACGCTCGACCTGAAGCAGTACGAGGCGTACTCGCCGCTGTTCCTCTCCACGACGTTCGCGGTCACCTACGGGCTCTCGTTCGCGAGCATCACGGCCACGATCATGCACACGATCCTGTACTTCCGGAAGCAGATCTGGATTCAGAGCCGCCGGTCCCTGTCGGAGCAGCCCGACATCCACGCCCGCCTGATGTCGAGGTACCCCCAGGTGCCCGAGTGGTGGTACGCCATCGTCTTCGGTGCGTGCCCATGTCGATTTATCACGCATCTGGGTGCTCATTGCGCCACGCTCACATTTGCAGTGACCATGTTCGTGTTCGGCGTCGTCGCCATCGAGGTGTGGAACACCCAGATGCCCGTCTGGGCCCTCGTTCTCGCCCTGATCATATGTGAGCACACCGCACCGTCCCCCCATGTGCCGCTGGCACTCAACACTAACACTCACCTCGTCCCCCAGCGTTCGTGTACACCATCCCCGTCGGCATGATCCAGGCGATCACGAACCAGCAGGTCGGCCTGAATGTCATCACGGAGCTCATCATCGGCTACGCGCTCCCCGGGAAGCCGATCGCGATGATGATGTTCAAGACGTTCGGGTACATCACCATGGCGCAGGCGCTGCAGTTCACGTCCGACTTCAAGCTGGGCCACTACATGAAGATCCCGCCGCGCGCGATGTTCTGGGCGCAGGTCGTCGCCGCCGCCGTCGGCGGCACCGTGCAGCTCGGCGTGCAGGCGTGGATGTTCACGAACATCCCAGACATGTGCGCGCCGGACCAGAAGGACCGCTTCGTGTGCCCGTCGACGCAGGTCTTCGGCACCGCGAGCATCATCTGGGGCGTCATCGGCCCGCAGCGCCAGTTCTCCCCTGGGCAGATCTATTACGGGCTCGTGTTCTTCTTCCTGGTGGGCGCGCTCTGCCCGCTCGCGGCGTACCTCGTCGGGCTCAAGTGGCCGAACTCGATCCTGCGCTACGTGAACTTCCCGGTCATCTTCAACGGCACGAGCTACATCCCGCCCGCGAGCGCGGTCAACTACGTGCCCTGGACGATCGTCGGCTTCGTCTTCAACTACGTCATCCGCCGCCGCCATTTCTCGTGGTGGACGAAGTACAACTGTGGGTGCTCGTTCCGTATCGCGAGCTCTCCTCTGGTAGACCCGCTGACAATCGTCTCTAGACATCCTGTCGGCAGGACTGGACTCGGGCGTCGCCATCTCGATCATCCTCATCTACTTCGCGCTGTTCTACCCCCAAAACGGCAACGTCGGCCTGACCACCATCCAAGCGTGGTGGGGCAACGTCGTCTCCACCAAGACCGCCGACTTCGGGCCCGGGGGAGCCGGCACGCCCTTTTCCGCTCTGCCACCCGGCGCGACCTTCGGGTAAGCATAGCGCCTCACGTCTCCCGCTGACGACCGCAGAGCTGACCGCTCGGTTTTGTTTTTGGTTTGCAGGCCGAAGCATTGGTAGACGCGGTGTACGAATATTGTTACTCACTACTCATGTACTTTAGGATCTCACTGTTGTTATTGGTTATCATGTGCTCTGTCGTTAGTCACATTACGATCGGGAACGCTTTTCACGAGCTAACATCTGGCACGGACGGAATGTTGACACATGAACGACCACGCCTCGAGGAACTTAGCCACGAAAGAAGTGTCCATGCGACGTAAGACAGCGACCCCACGCTAGAGACGGAAGAGAGCATTGCATATTTTGCGAAAGCACACCGGACCCGAGACCCAGCTCTCAAAGTCCCGTGCGAACGACCGAGCGAACTGACGAGTCCTTCTGACGCTTCTTCAACTTTCTATACCTCGCCAGACGACGTGATGACGACGCGCGACTTGGGCCGCCCCGAGTCCGAGCCGACGGCCTCGATCTTCTTGACGACGTCCAAGCCCTCCTCGACCTCGCCGAACACGACGTGCTTGCCGTCGAGCCATGACGTCACGACCGTCGTGATGAAGAACTGCGCGCGGGGGAGCCATCAAGTTGCAATACGTGAGCCGACGCGCTTAAAAGGAAGAAGAACATGAGATGTGGGAGGGCCGCGCGACGCACCTGCGAGCCGTTCGTGTTCGGGCCTGCGTTCGCCATGGAGAGCAGGCCGGGCTTGCTGTGCCGGAGCTTGAAGTTCTCGTCTGCAGGGCAGGACAAGTCAAGCTCTCCGCGGGGCAGGGGAGGAGTGAGACACGCGACTCACCCGCGAACTTCTCGCCGTAGATCGACTTCCCGCCCGTGCCATTGTGGCGCGTGAAGTCCCCGCCCTGGAGCATGAACTGTGTGCGCAGAGGAAGGCCGTCAGTCGTGCGTCGTGAGCCGCGGGGCGCGGCCGTTGGTTCGCGCCCCGTTCGCGCACGCACAGAGAAGGGGAGAAGGAGAAGAGAGAAAGGCACACACGTTGGGGATGATGCGGTGGAACGTGCTGTTCGCGTACCCGAAGCCGTGCTGGCCCGTCGCGAGCTCGCGGAAGTTGCGCGCCGTCCGGGGCACGACGTCGTCGTACAGCTTGAACACGATGCGCCCCGTGGGCCTGTTGTCAATCGCGATGTCGAACTGTCGGACGGCATAGGCACGGGTGGGGAGGGGGGTCCGCGTGTCGGTGTCGATGTCAGAAGCCCGCCCGGGGCCGCACTGGGAGCTGACGGCTGCATGTAACACTCACGAATACTCGCGACCTGGCGCAGCATTTGCGGGGAGGGGGGGTATTCATGACGTGTCACTGGACGCTGTTTGCGAAAACTCACATGTTGGTGGAGGCAGACGAGGCTGTACTCATGAAGCGGCGCATGTAGGAGGCCATCGTACCAGGAGCGCAACGTCGAAGGGAGGAGGGGCGGAGGTGGTAGTGGTATGTAGCAGTAGCAGGCCAACGTCAGCCGCAACAAGGCAGACTCATCAGCGTCTGTTACTCGCCTGTTGCACGTGCGCGGTCCGCAATAAGCGTCGGTTTTTGGGATGGGCCCGTGTATGCGCGCGCCCCTCAGACTCTGAAAGCGACGACGAGGAGATGAAAACGTCGGTGAGTGCGATGGCCCACATCGGTGTATATTGCGATGCTTATATAGAGGAATACATCCCCCGAGGGCCCAAAAATACGGAAACAGACGCCGCCCTGCACAATTGCTGCTCGACCGACCGCGTTTAATGCAGGGCCCCCCTCGTCCCGGATAACGACGCTAATGGACCCGCCCCTGGAACGGGGGTGTCTTCTCTATAAAAGACCACGATCTGGACCCCCTATTGTGCGGGGGCACCAAGGGGCACCAGGACTGAGGTCCTGGTACGTCTGCCCACGTGTTGATATCTGCCCGCAGAAATCGCAGTCCGCGAACACATTTGGAGGGCACCCAACGTTCGTTGCAGGATAGAGCTTCGGGGGGCTGTGTCAACCGTGGGTCTTCGATGCACATCCCCAGGTTCGAGAGCGCCATCTCAACGGCTCTCCTGCCCGACGCTATGACGTCCGTGCACAAAGACGTTCGACAAGCTTCGCGGGCGCAAAGTGTGAGTGCGCCCATACACCGTCATGCGTTCGAAAGATAGGATGTCCGGACAGGGAGAAGCGTGTGCTTGCTTCTGCGAAGCGCGAGGAACCAGCGACGGGTGTCGAGCTGTGGTATATGGGACCGAGCGAGCATACGCGTTTGGTTTAGATTGTCATTTAGACACGCACCAATCTCGGCCCGGTCCGCTCGGTCAAAGCTTCGGATGTTCCCAATAGACAAACGAGCTGTTCCACATATAGCAGACCTGCTGCAGTCTCGACCCGCTCCGGCTTGCGAGAGGACCCGACATTCCTTTCAAGTCTAGAGAAGACTCACAAGCCTGGAGAACCAGGAGCCGACGGTGTCTCCAACGACGGGCCCTTCCCAACAAACGTAGCCATGCCTCGATGGTTCACTCCTGATCAGAAGATGAGTAACGTATGCCTAGTCCGATCTCCTGGGGTGCAGTGTCGTACAACCTACGAAAGATATCATCTATAGCCTCAAGTTTAATGGGCGAACGAAACTATCATGAGCCAATCAGAGCCACGGCATGCATGCCGACGCTAGCGTCCCTTCCGGCAGCCAGCTGGTGGCAGATGAAGTCTTCCATCGCCACAGGTCAGAAAGGATGCCGAGCGATCCGTCTGGGCCCACTCAAACCCGCGGCGCCACCGCACCTGATGTCGCCATCGACGAAAAGCCGCCGGACAGTGAGACCCGGAGGTATGAAAGCAGAGGCTGCGTGGGCGGCCATGCTCATGCAGAGGCGTCGCGGGAAGAAATAGCCAAAGGTTCTGCTCGGGGAAGACGCTCTAAGTGTTTGAGAGAACCTATAGTCAGCGTCATCGTTACGGCAGACAGTTCTGGCTTGCTGCCCTTCATATTCTGGAAGGACGTGTACGGCCCGACGTGCCAGTGGACAAATTCCAGTCCGAGGGCTGCGCCTGTCCTGTAGGGTACACTGAGTCCAGAGCCTGATTTATCTCCACTCCCGTCGATAAGGGAACTGGGGGACCAGTGGGCTGCTCGAGTGCTGTCTGCATTATTAGTGCTCGTCAACGGACGAGCAGCTCTCACTGCACCACATACCGATCAGGATAAGACATGGTTCTGCGGAGTGGCCGCGGACACGGTCACGAGCATTGTGACAGACGCGAATTCTGGGGATGACTCTCGGGCCCGTATAAATGTCGGCAGCCGCTAGCCATTTGGCTTTACGAGCCTCACGGCAACGGGACGAGTTCGAAGCAACGCGGACAAGACTTACGTAGCCCACCATCCCCACGAGCTTCATTTGATGACTCGCAAAACGACAACCCCGTTCATTCTGGGCAAGGCCTTCCCATAAGCGCGAAACTCCGTGTCGTACTTCCCGACATGCTACAGAGGGCGAATATGTCCCGCCGACGATCGTGTAGAAGAACGCACTATATGCTTGTTGCCTTTCTTCCAGATATACGTACGAGGGCAAACTCTGCCATCCTGGTCAGTCGATTGACCGAGCCTAGGGAATGCGAACCTGAGAAGACGATTGCCGTCATCGTAAGGAGATGCGTTTCGCATGCGAAGGCTCACCGCAGCTGTTCGTATTCTTTACGCAGTGAGAACGTGGGGGATAGGATCCGACAGTGGAAGGACAACGCTGCCCATATATACGACGAGTCCTCTGTAGTATGACGATCGGGCATTGGTGAAGAGCATTAATGGCTCGAGCGGCGGGCCGTGCTATTAGATAGAAGTCGCGGTGTTGGGAGGTCGACACTTAATCGGATCGTTCGGCCCCCTTGTTCGGCTCGAAGAGTGGTCTGAGGCTATATCCGCTCCTGGCAGTAGACGCATTACTCGGGTCCGTACATGACGGCAGCACCGTTCTTCGGTTCGATCGCGAAGCTGACGTCAACCGCAAGTCGTCTTCCGCCGAGGGAAGCATGGGATGGCAGGTCGGCAAGTCGGCAGCGGCGATTCTTCCCTTTCGCGGGCGTAGGACTCGGTAGGGGAGATACCGTTCCAATACCGGACCCCGACCCGTACGCACGTATGCGGAGGACATATGTACATTGTACACCCACAGCGTGAAGCGCCAGCATGCATGAGGGGATGAGCGGATTCCATCAGTGTTCTCTACAACGGGGATTGTGTCGACGGTGTGCACGCTAGCATGCCTTGACGTTAGTCCCATCCTATCCGGAAGCCCCGAATGCCGTTCTCTGCTTCCAAGACCCGATATACATACCACCGAGATGCCGCGCAAGAAGACAACGCGACCATCCCCGCGTCCAGTACAGCACGCTCGACATATATTTGAAGGCGAATGCACAACATGGCGGGAAAGACATGTACGTTACTAAGAACTAGAGGAGGAGGACGATGAGGAGGACCGAGATCGGACGGCGCGGGCTGGGCCAAGACGCGCAAAAACGACGCGATGACGTACTACCAGAGGGAGGAGGGGAGGGGGAAGGCACCATGACAACCAGAACGATGGGAGGAAACAGTTAGACGAGACCGGAAAACGCACACAAATGAACGAGTAGTAAGCTATTTCGGCTGGAGCCTGGGGCCCCGTGGTATCTTCGGGAAGGAATGCGGAGAGACGGTGTGTACGATGTGATCGCTGCAATGGCGAATGTCTCTGTGGGACAGGACGGGGCGGAGGAGGACGCATGGTGTTGAATGATAAATGATAGAGGATGTCGAACCACTATAGCTAGTCAGACGTACGGAGCAAGCAGGTGCACGAGACGGTGTACGGTTATGATGATGGGCGGGGCAGGGCAGTAGGCCAGGCGGTCACCGGCGGTGCTGAATATGATACGAGGTTTCAGTGGGCCGACGCAGGGCAGAGGCAAAGGGGACGGGAGGAGAGGGGGGGACAGCAAACGAGCAACCGTCGCGAAGAAGGTGCGCTATGCTACGCCTCCTCTTCCTCTGGTTCCTCGATGACGTTGTGAAGGGGGGCGCCGTGCACGTATTGTGTGGGAAGATCAATCGGAATATCTTCGACGCTCACCTTGTCGTCCGCGGGGTCATCAATCTCCGGAAGCTCGGCAGGAACGACCGCGTGAGGAGAGGGGCGAGGAGAGGGACGGGGCGATGGGGATGTCGAGCGCGAGCGATCGTTGCCATTGGGGGTTGGGGCTTGGAGAGATGCTTGGCGGACAGGCAGCCGCGATGAAGGGATAGGGCTCGTCTGCCGCTCGCGCTCGCGGTACATCTCGATAAGATGCGCCGTTTTGCTCAGACTTGTCTTCGCAGGAGGCACAGGTCCGTCGCCGGGGGCTCGCGGAAGTGTCTTGACATCCCGGGGCACGGCCTGAGAGCCGGCTACGACGGGCTCGGGATCAGACTCGTACTCCGAGGCCGCGGACTGCCTGAGCAGCGCCGAATCCTCCCTGATAGCCAGATTCGTGCGCATTGTGACAGTCGCAGCAGTGTACGGGTTCTCCGTCGACGTGTCGCTCTCATAAGACGGTCGGCCCAACTCGTCGCGAGCGTCGCTGGTCCAGGTGGGAGGACGGCGTTCGGGATGGAGGTCAAAATAGCCCATGCGCTTCCTCGGGACGGGCTGAGAGAGTCCCTCGCCCTCGTCACCATCCGCGACCGATTCACGCTCAGGCATGTCGCGCTCGAGCAGGGAGTCCTGGATGGTCGATGTATCGCAATTGGCATCATCGCTGGGGCCCGCGACGGGCTCCATCGACTCGTCCTCCTCGTCCGAGAAGTGGCCCCGGACGGCAGCGAGCACCTCGGACACCTCCTGGCTCGCGAGCTCGGGATCAGAGCGACCGCCTCTGAGCCCGTTACGCAGCTCCGCGTCCTGCCCGGCCATACGACGGTTGTTGGTGGCGACGAGGATGTCTACCCACGCGTCGTCCTTTGACTTCCGCCGCTGGTGCCTGTCTCTCGGTAGGTCGTCGTCAAAGCTCGCAAGGCGCGTGTCAAAATCCACCGGGTCGTACTCTGTAGGCAAAAGGCCGGCTCGCTTGCCTGCCGGGCTCGTTGGCAATCCGGTGGGGAGGCGAAACCGAGAGCCTTTCTTGGTCGGTGTTCCGCTCTCGTCACGAGGGGTGCCGAGGCCGGCTCGGGTGGGCATAGGGGAGTCCGTACGCAACGGGGTTAGAAACTGCGTCTTCAACGCCGGATTCGTCACGTTGACCAATGGATTTGCGCTCAGCTCGTGGCCCGGAGTCGCGACAGTGCTCGCGACAGGAGGGGCCGTCTTTCCTTGCTCTCTGTTAGGACTGCGGGCCAGGGAAATCACTTTAGTCGCGCTGCCATTCGAACGGAGGAGACCCTCAAACTCGACTTCGCGGAAGCTCGGACTATGTGGGACAGCTCCAACCACATACGGGCGGCCGTTCAGCGTGGCCGCCGGCTTCCACTGTTTAGACTTGGTCCCAGAAGAAAAGAAAGAAGGCAGTTTGCGGCGACTTTGGCCGGCGGAGGCAAGCTGTTGCCTGTATTCGTAGGGAACAAATTCTTCAAAGAGGATGAGCGTAGTAGCCGTTCGCGGATCGCTCGTACCCGACGCCGTGTTCGTCCGTGAGACGGGAAGCGACTTGAATTCGACCTGCAAGGGCTTAGACCGGAAGGCGCGACAGCGTTCGAGTGCGAGAACTCACCAAAGCCCAGTTACACTCTCGATCAGTCTCCTCGTGCCGCTCGTCGTCCATCCACCCTCCGCCGTAGATCAGATCACAGAACACATCCACAAACGCCTCCTCGATGACCTCTTCCCCACCCATGATCGGCTCCGTGTCCCAGCCGAAGGCCGGCAACGCCTTCTGCGTTTTCTTCAGCTTCCGGTGCATCTCCGCCTGGTGCGCCGGCCACGAGGTGATCTGGTTCGCGACCGGTGCGCTGAACTGCAGCGTCGCACTCAGGTGCGCGTCCGTCCGCGAGAAGCCGGAACTTGAGAAGTCCTGCCAATTGAGCGTCGCACGCTTCGCTGCGCGGGCCTGCCAAAGTCAAGCGTATTCCATTGATCAGCAATCGCCTGCAGTCGGGCGCAGCGCAAACTTTGGAAGGGAACCGTGGACGCACCGCGCGTGCACCCTCAGTGAGGTCAAATTGCAGCTTCTTCTCGTCAGCGACGATGTTGCCGAAGCCCATCGCCTCGAACTCGCCCCACTTGAGGTCTGTCAGGCTCCGGAAGCGCTCTTCGCCTTCCTTGTCCTCGAAGAGCGTCGACCCGGCCGACGACGCCGACGAGATCGACGACGACAGCGACGGTGGAGTGAGCGTCGATGATGTCGATCCCGGGATTCCGGTGTCGGGGTGGAAGTTGGGCGCCAGCACCATCCGCTTCTTGTACCCGTCCGAGTACCGCGGGGGGAGCTTGAGCGTCGGCGGGGCGATCCGCTCCCACTCTTTCGAGCCGGCGAAAGCGCGCTCCCCCGCACTCGACGCCGCGGCGCGGGGGCGGTTCGCCCAGGATGCGCACGTCTTCACGAGGTCCGGGGAGTACATCCGCACGTTGCGGCGGACGTTCAGCACCCGGGCGGTGCGGGCACCCCGGCGCGGCTGTGGCCGTTCGTTCTTTCCCAGCGTCGGGAGCATGGACGGATACCCTTGGATCCATGCCTTGAGGCGAGTGGGCGTGCCAATCGCCGGACTGGCCGCGTTCGCCTTCGCGTCCTGCCAGCGGATGAATGCAAGGATCAGGTGCTCCGTCGCGGTCGTTGCGCGGAGGTAGTGCATGTATGCATGATGGAAATTGAGCGTCGACGGTCCCAGCCCGAAGAGCAACGGCCCAAAGAGCGGGGAAAGCGTGGGCGGGGTGTGTCCCGAAGTGGCCGAGTGGGCCGTAAACCGGCTGAGGAGCGTGAAGAGCCCGACGAGGAGCGACCGGAGGAGGCCGTCGAGCGGGTCGAGGAACGCCGAGAAGTGCAGGCCGGGGTAGTTCAGCGCTGCGGGACGGTCAGATCGTCGGCGACGGGGCGCGCACAGTCGCAAGATCGCAATACCCACCAGCTTCGGTGTCCCGCCACTGCAGGTAGGCATCGTACGACACCAGTCCGCGCACTTCGTGCCCGTTCACCCACCTCACCGCCCTCGCCAAGCCCCAACGCAGTGTCATGCCCAGCTCATGCGGCTCCGCCAATCTCGCCTCCTGTCGCCACTGCCTGTCCGCATCCGGCGATGGCCTCGAGCACGTCTTGAGGAATGCCTGAATAAGTCGCTTGACGGCCGACGGTGAGGCGTCGAGAGCGAGAGACGAGAAGATGAAAGGGGTCGTCAACCCACGAGTACCGAGCTCGTCGCCCACGACGTCCACGAGCCGAGCGACCTCCTCCAAGCCAAGAATGACATGTCTCTGATACGACAGATACCCGTAATCATGCGCCGGGGGGAGCTCTTGTGCCGGGTCGTTGAGGTTCTCGTAGAGCGGTCTGTCGAGCCTCAAAGGCAGGAAGCTGCCGTCGGGCGGCCCAAAGTCGACATCCTCGTCTTCCGCCCCGGGAGGGCGCGCCCTGGTGGGGGCCTTGGAGTCCTTCCTCTGGCGAGACTTTGTGCTGACGGCGAGGTGCTGCTGGACGGCCTGGCGGACGGAGCCCCTAGAGTCGACCCTGCCAAACTCGTCGAGCGCGCCGAGATTGGATGATGCTTTCTTGGTCGGGGTCGATGTGGTCCGCGCGCGAGAGAACAAGCTCGGCATCAAGAAGTCAGAAGGAATGGGGGGTGTCCTGGAGCGCGAGCACGTCTAGGGCGACGAGGACGATGGTGGTGGGAGCCGGCAGGGGGAATTGATGGTAGGTGAGCCACGCGGCGGCAATTACTTCCTCGTCGTCACTGCCGTTGTCAACCACCCAAAACGTTCAGGAACATTCAATTCATGGTGAACAAGGGCGATGTCCTCTGATTGCATTCCAGGCTTGCGTCCTACAATGGAACCTGCGAGATCGTGTGTACACGGTGGCAATTTTCATTCCAACCGCAGGAAGAGGCGTAGAAGCGGTGATAATCATGCTGACACAATCCGTCGAGAAGCATAATGGGCAAGAACAGTCACATTCAGACAGTAGGCGTCGCGTAACAACAGTCCGTCAGATACATGCGAATATCATGAGCAAACGTCTCGGGAATTATAGTAATACAGTAGTGGTCAAGCAGTAACCATGATTTACACAGGTTGTTTGTAGTCCGCAGCAGGAGGTGGACCCATAGGAGGAGCATACTGATGCTGAGGAGACCAGGCCGGAGGCGGGCCAGGGGGCTGTCGGAGCAGTCAGAACTCACGATACCATTCTGCAGCATGAAGGGAAGACATACCGGAGCGTAAGACCCTTGCGCGTCATACGCCTGCGGAGGGAACTGGGGCGGCGGTTGCGAGTAGGGCCCATCGGGGTAGTACGGAGCAGGGCCGGCTTGCGGAGATGGGTAGTAGCCAGGCTGGTATCCGCCTGATGGGGGATAGCCCGGAGGGGGAACAACTCCCGCTATAGTAGAGGTGTTGACATATGCCAGGTTTGCCCTCTGGGTGCGTCTCCTCCGCGCAACTCCGAAAGCAATCATGGCGAGCACGAATGCGACCACTGTATTGTATGAGCATCGAGGAAATCTAGGGGGTGGTGGGAAAGTGCTTACCTGCCACTATAGCAATAGCAATACGAACTCCCGTGGCCAGGGTGCAGTGCTCCCGTCCGAATCTGCGGTGAAGATGTCAGTAGCTGTTTCGTAATGATTAATTGGGAGCTCTCAAGTTGAAGGCTGTATTTCACCCAAACTGCAGCCCGAGAAACAACTAGCCATAGATGATGTGGGACGAGATGGTCAGACACACCCTTCCTCCTACCGACTCACTGCAACCAGAGAGGGGAAAGGTATATGATGGCGCCTTTACTCGGTCATTCCTCGTGACAGGATATTAGGTTCGTAGATAGACCAGGTCCCCTGTGCAGATTGGACGGGGCTGACACCCCAATCCCTCCTCTTCCGCCATACAGGGCATTACTCGAAAAAGAGGATAATGAGGCATCTACTCACCGATCAAAAGTGCAGGTGGCTTGTGCCCCAGGTAGGGCGGAAACGATGTAAAGAGCCGCCAGCGGCGTCAGGATGTTCTGTCTTGGGTGTCCTGTATATATGTGCGCCTGTTGTCAGTATTCTCGCTTGTCCACCACGCAAGGACTGTAGGGAGTGCGTACGCATTGTGGAGGGTGTCTTGTGGTAGCGTTCGGGGGAGCAAACACAGCGGCCAAGCCAGTGGTCGAGTTTAAAGTGGGGAAAGCGACAGCGCCACAGTCGGCTCCCACCACAGCCTCATTGGTCTTGGCCGCGCACTGCGCACATTCGGTCGTTTCGAGCTGACTCCAATGTACCTGACGGTCCCGTAGACAATCCTATCGTTCGTCGCATCCTTCATGAGCATCTTGAACTGACTATAGTGTCCTCTGTAAAGACAGGATGGAGTACTCTACAGTAGGAGGCACTTGCGAGTGCGCGACCTCTTTCTCACAAGATGCTGCGCAGACGGAAGGGCAGTGCAACTGTATGACAAAGCGCTGTTCCCACTGACATATCATATGGCCTTGACCTTTCTACGCGCGTTCAGCGATATTCCATGGCGTTTGAGTGGTGCTGGGCACAACGGTCAACCCGATTTGAATCAATGTTCAACAGTGAGACGGGCCTCTGCGCCCGCATTCGGCTTCGCAGGAAGTGTACAGCAGTACATGATACTGTGCGTGTGCAAGACGATCTGCATAAGTCGCTTTCCACATACTGAGTGACCATTTCTTGATCAGCTTATCTTGTGTCAGCCACTCTCCCGGTCTCCGCCGTGCTGTGAACACTGCGGAAGTATAGGGCCGCTCAAGTCTTTTGGACGCAGGACGCAGGACACGTTCAGAGGCCATCGATGGAGGTGATAGGCTAAGCGAGACTAGTCGACAAGCTCGCCTTCGAAAGCCCTCGAGCGAGGATGACACTCCTTCGCCCTCACGGAGTGCCTCAAGGGTAGTGTGAATCAACGCGGAAAGCATTCATCTTCAACAAACTCGCGACGCATACATTTCTGTGAGACTTGGGACACGACAGACCCCTTAGAAAACAACGGGCACGAGAAATGAGGTTGGTACCTTGCCGCCTGCGGCAGGTTCGGCTAGCCCATCACATCCATCAGGGGAGCTCTGAGTGCGCCCTGCGTCCCGCGTCCTCAAGAATTGAGCCGCGGCCCTTGTAAGTAAGCTTACACCGGGGGAGGACACGAGGATCTGTGATCTCGTCAATGCAACTCAACCATAGTACATGTCGACGTCGGTATATGTATGTATATTGATGCTCCTTTGATTCGAATTGCCCGAAGAATCGCCTGAAGTCGAAGTATGTATGCTCGATCGGCGATCGGAACACAAGTATCAACACAACTTGAGCTGCGGAAGAATCCATAGGCAAACTGCGCGTAGTAACGTGCCATCATCTTCCCTTAAGTCGGTTCCTTAGCGGCAGGAGATGTCGCTACGATGCTTAAGATGAGGGCTAGCCCTGAGCTCGTCACCTTCAGAATATACAGTTGCTAGGCATCACACTCTCCGTCACAGCGAAGCGGATATAGGAAAGGCGAATGACATTCTAGGTATCGTCAACGTACGTGTACAGACATGCACACGGTCTACTAAATACAACATCATGATCATAGGGTCAGGTATACACATGCTCGCCCAGTCCTCCGCGACCTGCCCGACAGGACGATCGATCCCACGCAGTAACAGGGCTAGACACGCAGGGCGCGGGCGCATCCCCGCACAAGCCAGTGCACGCAGAGCCTGCGCAACCCCGAGCAGCCTCTACCAGGAGGTAGGTCCGAAGGTCCCGGAAGCTGGGACCGCGCGGAGCGGAGCGGACGCGGCGTCGGCGGTGTTGATGCCGACGGTGTTGCCCCACCACGTCGCGATCGAGTTCTCGCCGATGGTGCCGTTTTTGGGGTACTGGAGGGCGAAGAAGATGAGGATGACGGAGATCGCGACGCCCGAGTCGAGGCCGGCGGACAGGATGTAGTTGTACTTCGTCCACCACGAGAAGTGGCGGCGGCGGATGACGTAGTTGAAGATGAACGCGGTGATCGTCCAGGGCACGTAGTTGAGCGCGGACGCGGGCGGGATGTAGCCCGTGCCGGCGAAGATGACCGGGAAGTTGACGTACTTGATGAACGAGTTCGGCCACTTGAGCGAGATGGCGTACGCGATGCAGGGGAGGATGGCGCCGATGAGGAAGAAGAAGACGAGACCGTAGTAGATCTGGCCCGACGAGAACTGTCGCTGGGGCCCGATAACTCCCCAGATGATGGATGCGGTGCCGAAGACCTCGGTACTGGGGCATATGAAGCCGTCCTTCTGGTGGGGGTCGCACATATTGGGGATGTTAGTGAACATCCAGGACTGGACACCGAGCTGTACGGTGAGTCCGACAATCGTGGCAACGACCTGGGACCAGAACATCGGGCGTGGGCTGCGCAGAAGCGTGTGTTATCAACCTGGGACCTACCCACGAAAGCGATTGTGTGGTACTTACGGCACCTTCATGTAGTGGCCGAGCTTGAAGTCCGACGTGAACGCCAACGCCTGGGCCATCGTAATGTAACCAAACGTCTTGAACATCATCATCGCAATAGGGCGGCCGGGGAGTGCATAGCCGACGATCAGCTCCGCAATAACGTTCAGGCCGACCTGCTGGTTGGTGATAGCCTGGATCATACCGATGGGCACCGTGTAGACGAACGAAATCGCGAGCGCGAGCACAAGAGCCCAGATCGGCATCTGAGTGTGCCAGACCTCGATGGACACAGCACCGAAGACGAACATGGTGACGAAGATCACCGCATACCACCATTCCGGTACCTGAGGATAACGCGACATGAGGCGGGCGTGGATATCGGGCTGCTCCGACAGCGCGCGCCGGGCCTGGATCCAGATCTGCTTGCGGAAGTAGAGGAAGGTGTGCGTAATCGTCGCAGTGATGGAGGCGAAGGACAAGCCGTACGATAGCGCGAAGGTCGTCGAGAGGAAAAGAGGCGAGTACGCCTTGTACTTCTCCACGTCGAGCGTTGCTTCCGGCGTCAGGATCTGAGACACGTCGTAGGACCCGCCCGTGTTGTCGAAGGATCCGCGCGAGGAGATCGGGAGATACTTGGCGTACCATGTGTTGGTGTAGTAGAGTATCGGAGTGAGGAACCAGAAGAAGAACACGAAACCGGCAGCGACGTTCGCGGACGCCCACCAGGGCGTGGCAAGGGGCGAGCCGATGTACGCAATCTGGGACCAGTCGAAGGTGATGAGGGACATCCCCAGACCAGAGTAGTAGCCGAAGAGCTGGTTGACAACGACGTTATTGGGGGCGATCCAGCAGACCCAGTTGAAGAACGAGAGGGCCGTGAAGATGTATCCGGGGACGAAGTACCAGCAGAACGACCCGATGAACACATACAAGAAGAAGCGTTCACGGGAGATACCTCCACGGTTCCCCATACCCGCGTAATGCTGCGAATGCAGGGTGTTGAATAGAGCGCAGGTGACGAGGTTCGATGGCCAGATCATGGACGGGGGCGCAACGAGGAACCTGCGAGCAATGCCGCCAACCGAAAACCCGATCTACATGACGTTCACCATCCTGTCAGATCTGACACTCAGAGACATGGATATGCGAGACTTGAACCCACAAGCTGCGTGGACATGGTCACCATCCACTGGTAGCCGAAGTTGTAGGTCTGGTTGTAGTACACGCGCTGCACGGCGACAATATCGGTCTGCTCGGCGAATCAGGACAAGGACTCAGCGTGTGCTCACTGCATGCGACTCACCGCGTACGCGGACTGGTATCCGACGTTGGCCATGATGGTAATGAGCACATGTTCTTTGACGGTGAAAGGGCCGGGGTTGAGCGAGACGCCGAAGATCTTGACGTTCGGGACGGTGCGCGCCCATAGACGACCGATGGGGTAGGAGAGAAGCTGGGCGACAATCTGGACAGTGTTACAGGCACGAGGGAAAACAACAATCCGATCATTACACGTCATCTACTGCGGTACGCATAAAGAACATGTTAAACCACTCACACTAGTAACCGTGACGGAGGGATACCGGAAGAAGAAGAACTGGTTCATGCCGGGGAGGATGATGGACCAGATGAGACCGATAAACCACGCCCGGAAAGTATTCACGGGCATATCGGGATCGTCAGTGTTAGCGACGGCGGACCGAACCTCAGGGTAAGGAGAGTCGTCCTCTGCACAGGAGTCATAATGAATACTATAGGGTTAGGAGGAAGAAGACGAACCGAGCTCGAGGACATCCTTGTCGAGGTTGGGGTCATCGAACTCGGCAACAGCGGGGACGATGTCGGCTGCACGCGACTATAGTCAGTATGCCGGACTGGGACGTGGTGGGGGAAGCGAGAGCAAGTGTACCCTGCTTCTCAGCATCGAGCTTCTTGTCGTCGAAAGAGCTCGCGGAGTGCTTGTCCTCCCGGAGAGTGGCCATAGTGGGCGACGTGGCGACGCAGAGGGTCGATGAGCGGGAGAGCTTCAGGCGAGGTGGCTATTTAACATCTGTAGCCGCATGAACGTAGTCAGGTTCGCCAGCCCCCATCAGTATATCCGGGACATGTATCTGTTTCGGTAGTGATCAGGTCCGCCGCCCAGAGATGGAACCTCGCGCATGCGCATGACAGTTCTTGGGCACAGCTTTATGGCTGAGCTACCGCAGAGATAAGGCCCTTGCCCCAAATGGTTGTATCATATCATTCTTTCGAATGGCGCAGCACATGTGGTATCTCCAAGACTCGGAACCGGTCGAACGGAACGCACGTAGCCCTACCTCGCGGAGGAGGGGAGAGTGAAAAGGAGGAGAGAAGACATAGGAAATCATTTGTATGGGTACTCAGAGATTGATGCTGGTGTTTTGGGCTTCCTGCGCCCGAGGGGTAGCTGACGAGGAAGGGACTTTCTCTGGCCTCTCCGAGTCGGCCCCAATCATTGACCGTAGAACGGTCTCCGCCCCGAGGCAGGGGGTGGCTCCAGTGTGTATGTAGTTATCCTTGCCTCATAGCTCCGCCCTCCCTTTGGCAGCCATTTGTATCTTAATTTATGTGTCTCCCATAATCTCTAGCTCTCATAAGCCAGATACTACAGATTGAACCCTGCATGGAGTGGCCATAATGCTCTTGGGTTGGGCCAGCCGCTCCGTGATCTGGACTAACGGAGTGTGAATCATGATAACCGAATCTCGGCAGGGGACGTGCCTAGAAATCTCCTTCCGAGTTGGCCCGGTTGGGCGATGGAAGCAGGCGACCATCCATGATTTGTAGGAAGATCAAGGAGATTCAGAGAAGACAACTGTCGCTAATTTTGACGACAGTTCCAGCTTTTGCTTCGAAATTAGGGCTTCCGAGGTACACGGGTAGCAGGCGCTTCGGGCCATTCAAGGGAGAGTCGCCGCTTTCATAGCAGCAACTCCCGAAGAGCTTCTGGCTCCATGGTCACTGATCCTGCTTTGACAAGCGATACACGCACCTATGGATTTGTCGCACAGAGAATCCTTGCGGGGCAAAGCGGGATGGTCAAACGCCGCGTGGATGCTCTCTGACCTTCCTTGCTAGCAACGTCATAACCAATGCGCATGCACCGAGGGCTTTTAGCTCCAGCGGATTGGGGCACAACACTCATCCTGCTTGGCGGTCCACGCGGGAAGCCGGCGGGAAAGACCCATTCAAGTCGACCGCATGCAACACCTTGCCTGCCAGAGTTTTCTGCCGGGAAAATGTATAGTCCTCCCCGCACAAGCGAATCAGGAGCTGTGAGCCACTTGGAACGGAGGGCATGTGCCGAAGTTGTACATATGTATAGACGCCACACGAGGTTGAAAGTACTCACTGTCGCAACATGCTCCGCTCAATGCGACATATGCTTTCGTGTCGTGATTGAGCACGTCGGCGGTCCGCAATTCGAATGGCTGCTTGTTCCCCGAGCTGAAGCTGTCCCTACATCCTGGAAAATGAAGAGACCCGTGCATATTGAGCATTCCTACCATCTACTGAGACTTACTAGTACCATTGAATTGCCCCTTTTTGTGTCTAAAGGAGGCTGACATCGGAGAGAATCGGAGAGAGAGATCCCGAGATCAGATCGAGCTCCAATGAGCGCCCAACAGTCACCACAACATCCGAGTCCAAACGTCGATCCTGATCAATCTCAGTAGCCCCGCTGGAACCATCGCCATGAACGGCATTTTTCAGGCAAAAACAAGTGCGATGTTCGTCTGGATCCGATTCTTACTGAAATACACAGTAGAATAAATTCACGCGCCAGGTTGACGGAGCCATGATCTCGTACGGACACGCCGCCACCGCCACCCACTTCCCTGTGGTCTCGTAACACCCACTGTACGTCTGAGACCACTCCCCTGGGACGTTGGCACCTTGGCAGGAAAAAGGAGTGGCGCATCTTTAGGCCTCAAGTGTTACCGCCGGGACGGACACGGATATCGCTTCCATGTGATCGTCGTGTCCTCACGCCGATGTCGGGCAGATATCCACATGAACACTTCTCAGGCGTGCACACGACCTGCACGCGGCTGGCCCCTGGCGGCTCAAGGCCGCCAGTCCTCCTCTGCCGCATGTTCCGTGACTGATGATAAGGAAGGCGGCGCAGATCCGGTGCAAGCGCTGTTCTAGCGCAGCTGTTGCTGCTAAGCTTTCCATCGTCGTTCACTAATGCTAATGTTTCCTAGGGCACGGGAAGCCAGCAAACCATGATCTGACGGACACTCGTTTTTTGCGCTGGCGACGGGCACAGCGAATGAGTTGTTCACAACGCAGAACGGGCCAGGGTCAGGGACGTGATGATTGCACGTAGATGCATAGATTTGCGGACCGAGATGATGCACACGATCCTCATGAATGGCAGTGAAACGAGTGGCCGGCGTTGGCTTGGTGCAAGTCCTGCTGTCATTCACCATCACATCACAGAGATCATGCACAAGGGGAGGCGGATGACAGCTCTCTTGGCTGAGTTTCGTCGCGGCGATGGCGGATCACGCCAGTGAACAAAACGGGCAAACCACCCGGGACGCACACTTGAGATTCACATTGCTTGACAGAACGGGGTGGTTCATTGCGGCTAGGCTGACTCGGGTAGAGCGGCTGCTCGCTGTCGCTCCAACGCAACACCACGATCAAGGCAGTGGCTCTCGATCTTCCTTCTCCATGGGGTGGAGAACATCGTGGGCTTTGGGAGCCCTGACGGTATATTTTTCGATGACGGTCGATGCAAGACACTGGGCGCCGGAGTGGCGCGAGGAACATCGGGGCTCATGAGGGACGTCGGAAGCACGACCATCCCGCCCGGTGGGTTGCCGACATCAGCGGATCGTCGTCTCCCACATCTCCCTGTCCTTGAGACTCGGCTGCACAAACAGACCGCTCTCTCTTTCTGCCGGCCCAAGACTGCTCCCGGCTCTGATAGTGTCGCAGTGTACCGAGGCGATAACGAGCGTCCTACTAGACAGTACTAAGTTGCGCGCTGCTTGGGACAATCTGCCATGCGGTGCACATGATTGTCTACGGTCCCTGGATGGGATACCGAGTTGAATGAGTTTATTGAGGCGTTGATGCGCCCTCCGAGGGCACGATGAACTCTGCAACATGGCTCGTTTCGGTGGCGCAAAGCGCATATGGCAAGTGTTACAGTAAGTAGAGAAGCGGAAGTGCTGTGGACCAAGACGGGTAGACATAGGATGGCTAGCATCGATTTACGGCCGTTCAGGTTGCGTGCCCATATCTTCAGAGACACAGAGTTGTATAGGCAGGGACTGATCATGAACCTTGTACATAGACCCGTCCCACCGGCCTACATACTGGATGACTTTCCATAAGCTATCTACGGCTCTACGGACGTCCGTAAATCTCTAAACAGACCGATTTGGGCAAGGGGCAGTGTTGCCGACACCAGATCTGAACTCCGCTGATGAAATTTAGGATACGGACGTCAAAATCTAGGAGGGGGGTCCGACCCCCCTTTCTAAATCTCTAACAGGCCGTAGACAGTCCGTAGACCTCGGCATACGGTGCCGTGACCACGAGAAAGGAAGGAGCCATCATGACAAAGCGAACTGCATGCCAAATACAGACATGACATAAGCCACTCCAGTCACGTGCTGATGATGAGCAGAACATGCCGCCTGTTTAGCGCCCAAGATCCACAGACTGTTTCAAACCCCGCCTAGAAATCTACGGACGTCCGTAGAGCCGTAAATCCTTATGGAAAGTCGTCCACTTACTATACGCTCGCTGGCGAGGAGGGGGATTGCTGAGACGTCCTCTATCCAATCCAGGGCCCGCCCATCACGCGTTGCATATTGTGGGTATGTAGCAGTGACAAGCACGCCCTGATTTTCGTGTGAGTCCGCAACATTGATCTTAGCATGTATGCAACATAGGACCTGCGAGCACAGCTAGCTGGACAGTTGAGATGGGAGAGGACTCTCAGTTGCTGTGATGGGCTAGCATATAGAAGTGATGCATCAGTGTTTAGCTTGAGGGTCGTAGAGCGATCGACAGATGCCCCTGGCGTCCTGACCAGGTCCTTATCTGCGTGATTCGGCAGCTAGGACGACCCTTGGATATCTCTAGTGTCGTTGCACAACAACGCTCGGTCGGTCAGGCAACACATGGACGAAGGTCGCTTTCGAGCGTCGCGGTCTTTTAATCGTAGGCGACCGTCTGCTCGGAAATGTAATCACAAATTGAGCAGGTCCCCGTAATGTCCAAATGCCTCGGATAAGACGAACACACCCGAGCCTACCAAGCGTACCCCTTGTTCACAGAATGTACGCAAACGACGATGTTGTCTCTATCCTTCATAAACAAGCTGCGGCGATGACGTCCGCCTCGGTTCTTGTGAAAGATCGAGTTGCGGCACTGCTGGTGTGCGGAAAGGCGTGACGATAGGGAACGAATATGTACGCTGCTAGCCGTCACGACCATCCCCAATCAAGGTGCGTTTACAATTTCTCTGTTGCAATCTTCGAGCTCGTTTGACTGTAGACAACTTGAATGCGGATGAAGGTGTATGGACGCTGCCACTGGCCCAAACAAGGAATCATCAAGTAAGTAATACATACCCCTTGCCTTGCTCCCAGCTTCTTGTGCCTGTACATGTGGGAGCTATCGGGGTTCACAAGGGATAAGCGGCAACATGGTAGCGAGTTGCACTGACATCGCAGCAACCATGTCGCCTTTAGGCCAATTGTCCGCATCTCAACGCTCTTTGTGTGCTTGCAGCGGGCCGGAAGCAGCAGGACTATTCGTGGATAGTGCTCAGGCCGTCTAGAGAGCACCGCAACTACTGTACGTTCTCCCGGAAGTACGGAGGTACGAAGAGGCAGTAGAGGGAGAAACGTCGGGAGGTCGCGCCGTTCCCGTCCGTGCTAGAACGGCTCCAGTGTCACATCGTCTGGGGGCACGTCAGCATGCCCAATCCATCGTCGTATTTGCGATCGTGCGCCTCGTAGACCCCGAAGACGCCCTCTTCGCAGACAAGGGAATGATCGGGCAGGTGAGAACGTACCGACAGAGTCCGAGGAAGCATGCGTGCGGTATCCGCCAAGGTACAGGGGTCATTAGGGCAATTGGTAGAATATAAGTGGCGTGTTTGTAGAGGGAATGACGACGGAGAAGGTCGATAGTGCCATGAAATCGACCGGGCCCGACTTACTTGCGTTGCGTGGCCGCCAATGGATTTTCCAGCATGGCGGTGTAACATCGATTCAATTCACGAGGGACATTGCGCAAACTGTTGTAATTCTTGAGTCAAAATCTGTAGGCGAACGTTGCGTGGTCCGAAAGAACCTTGACTACCGCGTCCGTGTAGTTTCGGAGCTGCCAGTGAACTTCAAGTTGAAGTTGAGGATGAGTCGGCGTTGATGAGGTGTTGCGATTGAGTACTGACCATATATTTACTTGCAGCGTATGGCGCAAGACCGATCATTCCACATAACCATGCTCACTGCGGGGCAGATCCTAGCGCCATTTGTCGATCTGGGTTGGACCTACAACAGTGGGCCCGGTGAAACGTGCACCGGAGAGCAAGCCGCGAGTTAGCAAGATGGAAACCACGTGGCGGGCGCTCCGTCCGAGAGCGCGGTGGCCGATGTCGTGTCCGCAATGAGCGCAATGAGCGCACTCCTCGTCTTCCGCTACTGCTTGTACTGTCTCGACTCTCGACGACGACGCCGACACCTAGACTTTTGTAGGAGGTTCACTGCTTAGGCGGGGGTGTGTACGTGATAATACTTCTCTTGTCGTTTGTGGGCAATTCCCGCCATGGTCAGTATATTTCGCCCTACACCGCGCGTCCATATCGTCTGACCATCCCATCCGCATGTACTTCGGTCGGCACTTGTCATCATCTAGTCTGCACTCTTCAACTTCCAATCGCTGCTGCTCGTGATCCTGCTACTGATCTGCACGTGCACATATGTGCGCGCTGTCGCGCCTCGCCTGATTGACCGGAACAAGGAAGGGTACGTCGTGCTCGCTCCGACAGCTCTCAGTCTTTGCACTTCTTTCCGTTGCGACCTTGCTCGGAGTCCATATCCTATCTCACGTCCCTGCACCTGAAGTATTGCATGAAAGTCCATTGGGTTATGACACAACGGAGAGCGGCCAGGGGACATCGAGGAAAGGATCGGACCAATATCTCAGCCGAACCTCCTCGGTGCGTCCCATCCGGAGGACCGGAGTGACATTCTCTGACGCATCGAGATGTCTCCTTGTCTTCCGCGACGTGCCTTGCAGCACACTCCTGCTCTTGCGAGTCCAGCCTTCAAGCCCATTGGTTTTTTCCCGATTGGAGGACACGGCTCGATACATTAGGATCATGCTGCTAGTCGCAATCATTTCACCGCACCTTCGGCATGCTGAAACAGAAGGAACGCGGGTATGCTGACACGTGCTTCTTCATACGCAGATTCCTGGGCCTGTTCTGGATGTCTGCACGGATAGGTGAGTGCACGTATCTTCGTTGAATCGGCCAGTAGGCTCAACAATCCTGCTTCGCACCCTCGCTGCAGGGGAACGTCTGTCGCCCTATGTCGCGCTTGCATGTGTCGCTATGGCCATCACGCTGCTCGTACAATAGCCACTGGCCGTCCCGCGCTGCCGTCGTGGATGCCCCCGTCAATGCATTCTCTCAGTCTTCCCCCGCCTCGGATCTACCCCTCGTACCTGGTTCACCTCCCTGCATGTTCCGTCCCGCAATCTACACTCGGCCTGACAAGCGATCGGTACCCGCTTCATGCGAAAGGAGCGGGCGCTGCACACACACCCTGTCGCTCTCAGCTGACGTTCAGGCGCATGGCGCTGATCGTGGACCACAGCTATCATATGCTCCTCTGGACGCTTTTCCACCAGGCCATCGCCGTAGCGCCCCTCTAGTCTAGACCTATTATCTGCTTCATCAGAGCGGCCCCATCCCGTTTCCCATACCCCCCAAACCAGTGGCTGACCCCGACCCGGCATCCTCCTTCGGCCCCGTTGCCGTATTCGAATCGGGACATCGTCGGCTTCGCAAAGTACGATGGAAGTAAAGGCTTGGGATTCTGGAGCAGAGGGCAGGCCTCGCGACGGTTTTACAATGTGTAGTGTATGTATCCTATGGCAGTCTGGATGCGGATAATCTATGTGATGGTGTCTGTGAGTGCGTAGATCCACGCAGGTGTTGTGAGGCGACGACGTCGACAACCGGAACTTTAGGAGAAACAGTGCACTCTCGTTTTCCCTATGGGGAGCTGCGCCTCGAGGCCCGGAATCAGTGAGACTGGGGAAGATAATCATAGCTCTACAATACATTAGTACAGCATGGACAATACAAATGCTATCTGGGACACGCCATAACCAACGGGGTGGAACACACGGACGAAAGCAGCGCAGGAACAGGGCAGTCAATGAAGGGAGGGAACTACCTTGCCTTCCGTCCCGCCGGCGGCAAATTCTCTTCCTCTTGTTCCCTGTTCTGAGTATACAACGTTGATGTCGAGCGGTTCGCCGTCCGTTCGACGATGGACGTGCCGTCGCGGAAGCGCGTGCGGAAGAGGACGTTCGCGTTTGTGAAGAGCCCCTCCTTGAGCGACACAACGATGAACTGTGACCCCTTAAAGCGCGTGCGGAAGAGCTGGCCAATGTGTTGCGTGTGCGAGAGGTCAAGGGCGGCGTCGATCTCGTCGAGGATGTACATCGGGGCAGGCTTGAATTGGAGGAGGGACATTATCAAGGAGAGCGCGATAAGCGAACTGTGCGGTGTGCAAATGCGATGAAGGAGCGCGCCCATGACGAGAGAAACAGAGATGATGATGGTCAGCAACAGGAACAGAAACGTTCAAGTCGACGTGAGAGATGACATTAGGGAACGAGGGCCGGCGCCGTAGGACAAGGCATATGAGTGGGCGTAGAGAAACGATGTGCGCAGGAGACTTACCGTTGACCACCGCTCAGCTCTGTGAGGCTCTGCTTCCATACCTGGCCCAGACGGACCTTAACCTCTAGGCCCTGCATCAAATCTTGACCTTCAGGTGGTTGGAGCTTTGCGAAGTTCCCTGGGAGGAGCTCAGCGAAAATAGCGCCGAAGTCACTGACACGCAACAAACGTCAATGGCAAACCCTTCGAGAAGAGATGGATTTAGAGGACTAGATGACTAGATACGCACCCATTGACTTTAGTCCAGACTTTCTCGACAGTGTCACGCTTGTGCTGATCAAGAGTCTCGATAGTTTCCATCATGTTATTCCGATCCGTTAGGACCTGCGCAAGCTTCTTCTTGATCTCGGTCTCGTTCTTCTCCGTGCTGTCGATCATATGGATGGACTTCGCATTGACCTTCCTCTTCATGCCGTTTTGCTGCGACTGCAACTCATTGGCTCTGGCCCTGAGTTGGCCGATATCGGCTTTCCTGAAGTCATACGGCGTCCCCGGCTTTCCAAATTGCCTGCGAGACATTTTTCACATCAGTTCAACGCCCTTCCTGTGCATCGATCGTGAGGAAGAGGACCTACTCTTGCTCCTCTGCGATCCAGTCGTGCTGCTTCTCGAGCGCTGCCGCAGCTTTCACAAGACTGGCTTTCTCCCTGGTCAAAGATTCAACTTCAAGGGCACGCTTCTCGATCTCAAGGTCAGCGTCTGCGATAGCTGCCTTCTTCTCCTTGATCACGCGCTCGAGCGACTTGAGCTCCTCGTCATATCGGCTCAGGGTCGCGCGTTCTTCTGAAAGTTTCTGCTCGGCGCTGGCTGCCGCGGCCTATTTGAAGCAGTGAGTTGCGATAGGGGTATGGTGGAGACGGACTAGGTACCTCATGGTGCTTGAGATCGGCCTTCAGTTTGTCAAGCTCCTTGCGAAGCTTCTGCACGGCGTCGCGAGCCTCCTGTATCTGAGCCACTGAGAGAGTGATGTCGCTCTCCAATTGCTCTGTACGACAATTGTCAACGAGTCGAACGGGAAGTAAACGAGTGTCAAGACGTGCCGAGCTCGAGTCCAGCAGTCTGGACTTCCTTCTGCTGAATTTTCATTTGTGCTGTGTGCTTCTGGAGATCAGACTTATGCTTCCCAACTTCTTTCTACGATGAGAAGCATGATAAGAGGCCAGCGAGTGCGAAGAGATGGTCATGACCGACCTTCAACTCGTCGATCTTGCCCTCCTTGTTATTCTTAAAGTCAGCCATGTCCTTCTCGAGCTTCTTGATCTCCGCCTTGGCCTCCTTCTGTTTGGCCTGCGCAGTCTGGATGGCCGCTTGCAAGTCTGCGATAGCCTGCTTCTTGTGTTCGACTTCACCGCCGATCTGACAGATGTAGGAACAACACTCAGCAAACTTCCAAGGGCAAGGCATAACCGACTTACCCGCGATGCGTTGCTAGCTTCTACTTGCTTCTGCAGAAGCTCAAGCTCGTGCTCTTTCAGGCCCAAATCGCGCGCGAAATGCCGCCACCTGTCACGCACATCACACGAACGCTGTTCCTCGCGCTCCAGCTTCGCCAGCTCGTCTCGTGCCTGCTGAAGACTGGCCTCCGCTTCGATCAACTCCTGGACCTGGACCAAGACGCCGGAGCCACTCGGGGCGGACCCCCCGCTGAGGGTGCCCGAGGGGTCGTAGATATCGCCATCGAGGGTGACTGACTTGACGCCAACCTCCCGCGAGAACGTAATCTGCTTCGCGGTCTGGGCGTCGTCGCAGATGAATGTGCCTCCGAAGACGTAGAACATCGCGTTTGCGACCTCGTCCGCATAGCCGATGAGTGACAGCGCTAACCGTGCCCTCCCCCCTGAGATCCGCTCGGCCGCTTGGATTTTCTATGGTACGCGTGAGCAGTTTCAAATAGCACAGGGAACGCGATGCGTACTCACCGCGGGAGATACGCGGAAGCTCTCGATCCTATTCAAGGGAATAAGGGTGACACGCCTCTTGAGACGGCCGTTCTGGAGGAGCTGCTTGCCCACCTCGTCGCTTTCGACGACGACGTTGTATAACCGCCCGCCAGCGGTAATCTCCAGGGCTGTCGAAGCATTGTAGTTCACTTTGTCGAGAGCGACCAGCGATGCAACGAGACCTTTGACCTTCGCGCGATCGAAGTTCTGATGTGGCGACGTGTATTCAAAGTCCAAGTTACGCATGCGCGACTTCACGGCATCACGGACCTGATGAATGCGCTCAGTACTGCAAGGCCATAGGCGGCAACAGATATCGCACCTCGCTGAGTCGCCTGACCTCGTTCTTCGCGTCGCGGAGGTTGCTCTCATGCTCATGTTCCTTCTCGGCGCTCCATCCGGTTTCAGCGAGTTTCCGCTTGAACCCTTCGACGTTCGCACGCATGGCGTCAAGGTTCCGCTTAGCATCACTCGCTTCTCGCTCCACTTTCTTCCACTGCGCTTCTAGGTCCTTGAGCTCGCTCTCGCTGCGTTCGAGATTGCTGCTGGCCGACTTTTCATCTGTCTGCGCGACTGCGAGGCGTGCTTGTGCTTCACCAATCATGCCCATGTACCCTCCGCCGGTGTTGCCGGTGTTGCTCGAAGAAAGACCGGTAAGTAGGGTTTGTAGAAGCTCCTCGGAGCTGTTCAGGGACGCTTGAAGAGCCGCCTGCTTGTCTTTGACCTCAGCATGCGCCGCATTCAGCTGCTCAACCTGCTTCCGCTTGTTCTCCACACTCGCGCGAAGCTGTCAGAATGATGAGCACGAAGTATGAGGTACAGAATGCACGTATCAACTGACCTCTTCCAGCTCTTTCTCTGACGACGCGATCTTCCCCTCTTCGTCAGCGATGGTGCTCTCCTTGATTTCTACTTGCGTCTTGACCTTCGCAACCGTCTTCCCGAGTTCACTGACCTTCTCCTCCAGCTGCTTGAACTTCCCACCCTTCTTCAACTCTTGGTCCCGCTGCGCGTTCACTTCCGCCACGCTCTTCTCCGCCGCCTTTATTTCCTTACTGAACTGCGTCTTCTCATTCTCTAGCACCTCCTTCGCACTTTTTGCCTGCTCGATCTCCTTGTCCTTCGCGGCCGCGCGCTGTGTCGCGTCTGTCCACTCGAATGCACGGAGTGTCCGCCCGATGCGCTCGAGTTCCGTGCACGTCTTCTGCCACGCGAGATACGCCCGCTTTTCCTCACGGAGCTTGTCAAGCTTGGGCTTGATCTCCTCCTCGAGGAGGGCTGTGAGCTCCTGTACTTTCTTATCCTTTTTCGTGATAGTGCGGAGCGCCTTCTCCTTCTTCTCCTCGAACATGCGCGTGCCGGCCGCTTCTTCGACCATACCGAGGATCTCAGCAGGACGCATATTCAAGACCTGCGCACGCGTAGCGAGTCAATACCTCTGTATTCATCGGAACCGCACTCGTTGCTGAGGACTCGGCGCCCACAGACGAGGCGCATACGCGCATACAACGTGTCGTATCTGAACGTCAGAGGATCACGACGCACCTTCGTGATACGACCCTGCATGATGAGGAAGTTTGGGTTGTTGATGTTGAGCTGTACGCTCTGGAAGAGGGTCTGGATATTCTGCTGCGTCGACTTGTGTCCATTGACTAGGTATTTCGAGAGATTTGGGATGGCAATCTGTTGACGGGATATGGAGCAGAAGCTACAAGTCACTCAGGAAAAACGCACCTGTCTGGTGACCGTGATCTGCGCGTGGTCCTCGAAGCCGACAGGACTTGTTGAGCGGTCGGAGTTGTCGAAGACGATGGTAACACTAGCTTTGGTGACGCCCGCCTGGCCCCGCTTGTAAATTAGGTCCTGCTGGTTTTGTGCGCGCATCTACGGCACATACGCGGGGCGAAAAGATCAGTTTCTGGTACTTCGCCCTTCGAGGCCCTACCACCACCGCGTCCCCCTTCCGTCCCAGTCTTCCCCCGGATCACCTATGCCCGCCGACCACCGCGTAGGTCATAGAAAGAGGTTCGTCACTCACCGATGACATGTTCGTCAAACCCAAAACGAAACATATTGCATCGAGGATGTTGGACTTGCCAGAGCCGTTGAGACCAGTGATGGCGTTGAACGAAGGGTCCCATCCTGTGATGGGCGTCCGTACAGGGTAGGACTTGAATCCGTCTAAAATGAGCTCCAGGATGTGCATGACGGCCTTGCTTCCCGAATGCCGAGAGTGAGGAAGGGGAGGACGCCTTGGACGCAGGGGTCGCGGTGGAGGACGACGTTGGACGCGTTGGTGGCGCGACGCGACGCGTCGTACAAACTCCGCACGTGTTTGTAAACTCCGACCTGAATCCCGTTAATCCTGTGCCTCACCTGGACGGTGCACAAAGAATGCCTCTTCATTTAGTACTCCGCGCCGGTTTCACGTTCGTTTACAGTCCATCTTGACCCCCTACCACCACCATCTCGCCTGGAGCCGCTGATTCTGCCCTCGTTCTGTTTCTTTACAGATGCTGTCTGATTGGGAATCCAGTCTCACCGAGTTTTCCTCGGAGTCTGACGACGAGTATGTCCCCCGCGCCGCGCCTAAAAAGAAGCCCAAACAGACAGCTGAATACAAAGTGAGTGGCAATCCGTTTTACAGCCCTTTACGGCATCAACCCACGGTTTTAACTAACCATTTTGACCACGCAGGTTACGAAGTCCTTGCAACCTTACCGTACAACGACCTATACTGCACAAAGTTTGTACGGTATGTACTACTAGCTTGGAGTGGCACAAGTATGTTGTGGGTTTGACGTCTTATCTCTCACTAGATCAGATAATCGACAATACCATCGACCTTGATCCAGAGTACCAGCGAGGTACATATATGCGCACTTTTCATGCCATCTATGGCTTAATTGATTCTGTCTACCTGCAGATATCGTGTGGGGGGAAGCTAAGCAGTCGGGTCTGATTGATTCAATCCTGAGAAATTTCTACATACCTCCTGTTATTTTCGGTGAGTATACAGTCCGTTTGCGGATTTCGAAAGCACCAAACCCAGCTTCGTTGCAGCCGTAACTCACAACGAGGACGGCACACAACGCCGGACCTGTATCGACGGAAAGCAAAGGCTGACCTCTATCCAACGGTAAGCTTTCCTTACCTTTTGGCGCCCACGTGTGGCCGCGAGCTTTCCTCTATCGTCCTTGGCGTCACATATGCTCGGGCGACAGAGGCAAGTGAGCGAGCTTGATATGTATGCAATTTGCTCGACGACCTCGCGTACCTGCGGGTTTAGAGTGCGGAGGTGCTCACAGCTCTTGCCAGTAGCTTCCCACAAAGACAAGGGGAGGTTCATAATACGTGCTCACCGACACATCACGGCGGTGTCGAACAAACCGAGGCATCCTAGGGACGCGTTCAACTGGGGCCGTTTCGCGCTTCAATCCCATCTGCTTTCAGCCACTGTATCCCCGACATTTTCCGCATCATGCCGCCATTGGAGACCTTCACTACGCCTACCACCCACCTCAGGAAAGTATCCTTGCTGCAGGATCAGAGAGCTTGTCCAGCGGTCCGGGTCGTTGCACCAGGTGTTAACATCCTTGGTGGTCACGTCCAAGTTTCAGCTGATGCAACACTTGGAGTGATACGGCTACCAAGAGGCGGAAACATCTTTGGCGTGGGTACTCAGCATGAGCATTCTATACCGATATCATGCTGCGTATCGTGCCCAATACTTGCCTGTTGCTTGGAAATCATCTCCAGCGCACTCGCCAATGCAGGGAGCCAGACAGCAGGAGACACAGATGCACCCTTCTTCTTTCTTCAAGAGTGAATGCGCACATCTGTAACTCAGGACTATTCACGATTATGATTCAATGGCAGGTTCATGGATGGGAAGGTAGGTGACCACAATTGGATAACGTGGTCAAGTGATTCTTTCTGAAGGCGTTGCTGCACATGGCATAGGTTGCTCGTGAGTGTTGGTCGTCATGATTACTGTACCATTGCTTAACCATCGGCTGCAGATAAGGACATGTGAGTGCAATTGCGCGCGGCAGCCTGCCGACTGTGCCTCCGACTAATTGGCGTGCAGCGACAACGGCAAGAAATACTGGTACAAGAAGATCGATAATGAATCACGCGCCCTGATCTCGAAGCCTTTACGCCAAACGTTTGCGAACAAGCAAATTACTTGCATTGAATATGACGGCCTTACCGAAGATCAAGAGCGGGAGATATTCCAGGTTAGGCTGACTACTAGGGTGCCTGAGATTGTTTTATTCATTGTCATTTCAGCGAGTGCAACTTGGGGTGGCCTTGACCACAGCCGGTAAGCTGGCACTCCGCATTCACCATAGATTGCTTCTTACCCTACTTTCAGAGCGCTTGCAGGCAATCCCCGGACCACGGCCGGCTCTGATTCGGGAAGTACAGTCCATCGTGCTAGGCGAGGACGGATTTGGCTCAGACCTGGACTGGGGTCATGATCGCGGCCGGGATTTCCAGTGTCTCGCAACGATCATATGCCTCATCGAGAGCCACCCAAACATCACGTTTCCCGGATCCCCCAAGCTCGAGAAATGGTTGTCGAACGCGAAACTTGTGGACGACAAGACGCGCAAAGATGTGTTCGAGACGTTTCAGATCTTCATCACGCTCGTAAAGGACAAGAAATACAACGCCGCGTTCAAGAAACCATCTCGCGTCTCTCCCGTGGAGTTCACGATGACGGGCGTCCTCATCTACCTCTACAAGAAGACGTATTCGCTCATGCAGCTGTCGAGCGCCATCTGGCAGATGCGCGCGGACGTTCGCAAGCAGTTCGCGGACGTCCGCGCGAATGCGAAGGTCACGAAGGCCATGTTCCAATTCCTGGACAAGGGCGTTAAGGGCGTCGAGCTCGCGAGCGACGGAAAAGGCGATATTCCTGCTGCAACCGCGATCAAGACGATGGACTCCCCTGCTCGAGCTGCAGAGACTGACGAAGATACGCCTGAGCCAGCACCCAAGAAGAAGAAGCAGAAGAGGCGCAGAGTTCAGGAGCCACCCTCTAGCGATGACTCAGATTACGAGGCCGTCCGTCCAAAGAGGAGAGCTTCGATGCCAGAGCCTCAGGCGTCTACATCTAGCAGTGTAGTCCCGAAGGCGGCCGCTTCGAGGCCCACCGCCGCAAGGAAAGTTTCTGCGCCCGTCGCCACGAAGATCAAAGCCGCCTCGAAAGCAGCGCCAAAGGCCTCCACCAGGTCTTCCACAGTGTCACAGCCCCGAGATGGACCTTCGTCTTCTCAGAGTTCTATTCCTCTAGGAGGATTCGCGACGGCAATGAACAACTTCACCTCCAGGAAAACGAGGACAGCAATGTCTGCTGCTGCGGACTCTCTCCTTGCGCAAGCGCCTGTTGCAGAAATCGGAACCACTTCTGCAGTAGGGTCTGGTAAGCAAGCTGTAGAGCCACCTATGAGCGCTGTGAAGATGGAAATTGATCCTCCACGGCTGAGAACCCCGGATGCTAATGATGATAATGCCATGTCAGTCGGTCTGTCACCGCTTCCTTCAGGGCGTTCAGCTCACTGGCATTGTGGCGTTAGGGCTATTGACGACGCGTCGAATACGGCACAGGTGCGCCAAAGCTGTGGTCACTTACCATACAGTGTAGCGCTCCTCACACCAACTAACAGATGGATTCTACTCCCACACCCCGAAGCCTGCCGCGATCTGGCAAGCGACAGTTGACAGCCAATGTCGCTATCTCGTGGATGGAACCACATCCCGACTTAGGAGACATTGATACAGGCGCGATCGAGCAGATGTTGAAGCTCAACATGAAGAGTGCTCAAGCGACGCCTATTGGCTCGCCTGTAGTGCCTGCGCCTCCGCCGCCTCCCTCAATATCTGCACCGCCCATGCTGGGAGCGTTAGGCCAGTCCGCCAGCACCATCCTACCACGTCGGACAGCCGTGGACACGTCTTCAAGTGCTCAGGCCACACACATGCCTCCTCCCCAGTCTCCGATCCTTCCCCGGACCGACCATGTCCGTGGGCGCTCCTCAGACCGCTCGAGGGATGGAGACCGGGACAGGAGAGAAAGGAGCCGCGATCGCGATCGCGAACGGAGCAGAGACAGAGGCCAGCATGATTTCCGCGGATCTACGCGGACTGCTGCCGACAGGAACCGGAGTCGCGACAGAGATCATGATCGATGGAGGGAACCGCCCACGAGAGAGTGGCAGCTGTCTGAAGCGGAGCGGAGGCGTCGAGATAGGAGCAGGGAGAGAGACCGCTATCGTTATACGGGACGGCAAAGAGGCTATTAGCGAGGGTACAGGTTGGTAGTATGTTGCATCGGTCCGCTATGCTTGTCATGTCTCGAGATTGACGCCTCAACCTGCGCTCTCCCATCAGGAAGGGCGGACGTGTTCTACGCCATACCGTAGTATCCAGGACAGCCAACTATATCGCCTCGTCATGATCCATCAGTTATGCTTATTGTATCCCCTTGTGTGGTTTCAGAGCTACTGTGCATCAGTTCTATACCCGCGCGTATCTACCACTGGTACGCTGCACTCCACAGCCAGAACATCTTCACTTAGCAGAATCTGAGCTGTTGAGTATCTCGCCTCAATCCCGCGAATGCCTCGGCAGCTGCCAAGTCATATGACACGTCGGCCTGATCCTTGGTCCGATTGCATGAAGTACTTATAGAACTGACCTTTCCATAGACATCACTCAGAACAGCAAGCGTGAGTCTCAACCGGCGCTTAGAATGGGTATCGAATTGTATCACGCACGTTCGACCTACCTTGCGTACCTGGCATTGCAACAGCAGCAGTGCGCGCGCAGAAATCAGCTCAGCACCGATTCGCATCGCAATCACGGCTCTCGGGCCCCTTCTCGCGGTGAACGAGTATTCTTTGCCTTTCCGGACAGTGATGCACTATAGATCTGTTCGACAGGACGGCCGGACGCCCTCACGTCGTCGCAGCACCTCACGGGCATCCCCACTTCTCCACCGGTCATCCACATTGTCTCGTCCCACACACTCGAGTTTGGTTAAGTCAACACGCCTCCCGCGTTAGCCATGCAACCAAGGTCACGAAGGGAAAGTCTAAAGTCTCAGCGGACGCGCTCGGCGCGTTGGACACGGTCTCAACCAGAAAGAAGGCAGTCACACGAGTTAGAGGTGAGTCTTGTTCAATGGCAGTCGTCGAGAGACATGTCGTTGACGCATTGTTGGATCTCAGCCACTACCGAAGCTTGGGGACGTGGTCGTGGACATAGAGGTTTGGGCCCTTGTCATATTGTTTTGAAGGTCTCTTATGTTTTCCCGCATACAGGAAGTTGAGGCGGAGTCACCCAGTGCCAATGCTCTCGCTACTCGTGGCGCTTTGGCTGCAGATGCATGGATGAAATGTGCCGCCGCTTTGAAGGAGTATGATGAAGACAAGATTCAAGGATGGAAAGAAGAGATAGACACCCACCTCGTTTTCGTGAGTCAGCGCTTGGTTCTTTTCGTTGCTCAATGTGATAAGGAATGCTTGTGGGAGGGCAGGCGGGTTTGTTCTCTGCTATCTTGACGGCCTTCAACATCGAGGCATACAAACTGCTCGGGGGGAATAATCCCAACTCAAACTCGTCAGCGGACACAACGAACCAGCTTCTGGCGCTTCTCGTTCAACAGGCGGCTCCCACAAATTCGAACATCACTACATTTGCTACCAACGCTTTCAACGCTGCTCACCAAGACATCAGTTCCACTCCGCCTCGAACGGCGAAATCTTCATTGGCCATCAACGCGCTCTGGTTCTCTAGCCTCATCTGCAGTCTCGCGGCAGCATCGATCAGCCTCTTGGTCAAACAGTGGATGAACGAGTACAAATATGGCATGGCGAGTGCTTCACCCGAAGTCGCTCGTATACGGCAATTTCGATACGATGGGTTGAAGAAGTGGCGTGTCGAGGCCATCATGATGCTGATCCCCATCCTCCTTCAGGGCGCCCTCGTTCTCTTTCTCCTTGGGCTCATTCTGTTCCTCGCGCCGCTCGATAACTCTGGCGCTGTCACTAAGGCTGCGGGAATACTCATCTCGAGTCTGCTCTTCTTCCTCGCTTTGACTACATTGCTACCTACATTCGTCCCCGATTGCTCGTACCAATCTCCGCAGGCATGGGGCGTCTTCGTCGTCATTCAAGCACTGAAGAAGCCTATTCGCTTTGCTGTCCGCCGCTTATACTCCATCGCGAAAATTAGGGCCGCCCGACATGCCGACGGGACGATAAGCCGACTGCGCGTTCGGATGGCGAGAAACTTCGTCCAACGATTCAAGCGCTTCGCGAACAAGCCCAATACGTACAGTTGGAAGGCACGGGAACGTTTGTTGGTGGAGGAGCAAGGCCCACTCCTGGATCAGCATTGCCTCGTCGGCGCAGACGTCACGTTCTTGGACGACTCTTTCCTGCGTAACGTCATCCAGCCTTGTCTCAACGACATGGCCCCTATTCCTGCCGTTGAGTGCTACTATACCATCATGGCGCACCGCGCAGACCGTATGGAAAACGGGATCTCGTATTTCGAGACCCAAAGCGCAGGATCGAAGGCCGAATCGCTCGCGATACTCGCGGATATCACGCTTGATACACTTCGGAAGACCCGGACGGAACCCGGTGTCTCGATCGAACATGCCAGGCGCATTATGGATACACTGGAGCCTCTGCTCGTCCGCACGTTGCCTCATATATACCCCCACTTCTGCGAAATTATGTTTGGGTTGCTAGGAGACCAGGACACGACTGTGCGCAAGCAGGCCTTTGCGATTCTCTACCAACATCTGTCGAGGAACCCAGAGCTGGCGGAGCAGTGCTCTGCTATTGGTTGTAACGGTATGTCTCCCTGCCCTAGGTCATAGGCCAATCATGAGCTGAGATAGCACGTACTATCAATAGATCTCAGTGCTCTCGTAGCCTTCGTGAGCAACGCACGCACAGACGGGAATTACAAGCAATTCCTCGACGGGTGCGACCTCGTTATATGCCTCGCCACCCTCCGCACTGCGCTCGCCTCGCCGGAGACTCAGAGCGCGGTCCCGGGGATACGCGACCACCTGCGCGACACCCTCTCTCACCTCCAGACGTTCTTCGAGACCCCGCTCTGGAAGAACGAACCCCGCCTGCTCTACCCGATCTCGCGCATCCCCCCACATCTCGTAGCGCTGGAGCGGCGCTACCCAGGCATACTCGAGGACGAGCTCGTCGGCGTGCTCGAGCAGGTCACCCAGCATGCGAAGGGGAGGCTGAACCATGATGGAAATTGGGAGGATAAGATTATCATCTTGGAGACGACCCTCCAGGACCTGCAGATGGTGAGACTGGGTGGGTCGCAAGCATCGATCATGACGCTGAATGAGGACGGGATACCGCACGTTCGGCGACCGTCGCTTATGCGCAACGCGATCAGCCCTACTTTGGACGTTTAGGGGATCAGCTGGCCTGGGGTTCTAACGCATGGGTGACGCTCATGAACTTGTACTTGGACAGACTCACAGGCTGACTGGGAATAGTTACCAATCATTGATGTAGATCGCCATATAATTCTGCTAGTTGGTATCGCATATGTACGTTCTTCTCAGTGGCGTCGTAGTTCCAGGGAGGTTGCGATTGGGCTTAACTGGTTGCGTAGGCACACAGGAGCGCGCTCACTTCTACGGTTCCAACTCTGGTATGCAGGCATGTAATCGCGGAGTCTGGTGAACGACACTCAGTATGATATTCTTCATCACGCTGTTCGGCGCGCACGGAATAAGTCTCCTCAAGGGCTCTGCATGGTGCATAACCTCGAGGCTAGCTCCTCGCCACCTAGCACCAATGCCTGAAGATGCTTCATCTATGACATACAATTGACGCGCAGTTACACCACTACGTGAATGCCTGCGGGTGGAGATGGTGAGAGGCATCACTCGACTACGTGATTACGTGCTACGCAGCCTGTTACGCTTCGTCGCAAGGGGGAATGCGTAGTTCATTGTCAAGTAACTTCTAGTATAATCGTAATGTACGTGACCGGGTCATCATGCTCGGATTCCAACGTACCATATCACCCAATATCTACTTCATGCGATCATAACGCGTTTTACAGGTAATACCTGAAGCTCGGATGCCTGTGCGGGCCGATTCGCGGTCAGTACGGGATGGATTTCCAGCGATTGGGACGAGACACGCACCTATCACCCAGGTCGCCCAAGTCCTCTCCTAGTAGGTCATGCTCCTTCGACCGTGTCACCGTCTCGTTCGCAGAGCGATCGCGGCTCTCGTTGTCCGTCTTGTAGCTCCACCACAGTGCAGTGCCTGCGACGAGCGCGATCGCGTAGCACGCGATGTTGATCGCGTGTCCTTGGACGTACCGCGGCGCCCACTCCGCGCGGTAGATCTGCCCGGAGACCGTGCCGCCGATGTTCCCGAGGGAGAAAACAATGCCGAGGGCTGCGGCGCGCTTGTTCGAACTCGCGACGTTGCTGCCGAGCCACGTCCAGCAGACCGAGACGGGGATGAACCTGGAGGTCGCTCGTGGTCAGCAGAGCACGCGAAGGGGATGCGAAGGAGACGCGTCGACGTACATGAACATGACGAGGAAGAACATGATATAGCGCACGACGAGGCTCTCGACCGTCATGAGCACGATCAGCGCGACGATGACGACGACGATCGCGGCGACGTAGTGGTAGAACAGCCTGCCGTACCGGTCCGCCGTCCACCCCGCGAGCAGCACGATGATGAAGCCCAGGCCGTACGGCGGGCACGCCATGAGCGTCGCCTGCGTGCCCTTGTAGCCCAGGCCGGTCACGACCGACGGCAGCGACAGGATGACGCTGTACACGGGGATGTAGATCGTGATGTACACGAGCCCCCATAGCCAGGTGCGCCAGTCGGTGAACGCGGAGCGGATCTGCCTGCCGCTGAAGTGCTCCCCGGCCTTCTGGGCGCGGTCCGCCTCGTTCGCGAGCAGGACGACGCGCTTCTCCTCTTCGGTCAGGAAGTGCGCGGTCTCAGGGTATGCGGACATGACGAAGAACGCGATGAGACCGAAGCCGCCTGTGATGCATCCTTCGACGATGAAGATCCACCTGGGGCGCGGTCGTCAGTGGCGACGCGGTTCGTCAAGTCGCAGGGTACGTACTTCCACCCGGCGATACCATAAGTGCCATCAAGAGCGTGAATCGCGGTCGCGAGAAGACCTCCGAACGCTCCGGTGAGGGATACGCTCGAGTACAGGATGGCGAAACGTCTTCCGAGGACGGTTCGCGGGTACCAGCAGCTGACTGTTTAGTGAGATTTCGGTTAGAGGGCACACAGACGCAGACGATCTCATCAGTGACTACTTACGCCAGTAAACGATACCAGGCAGGAAACCTGCCTCGGCCATGCCCAGGAAGAATCTGATGGCCAGGAGACCTGCCGCATTCCTCACCGTGGCGAACAGAGCACAGACCAAACCCCAAAGCACCTTCCAAGTCTCGTTCGCATCGGATAATTGCCACGCAAAGACAGACACACTTACAGTCAGAGTAGGGATGTACCATGTGGGGCTAATTTTCCGCAGAACGATGTTCGAAGGTGTCTCGAAGACGACATAGCCGATGAAGAAAATGGAAAGCGCCCAGTTGTACTGACTACTCGTGAGCTTGAGCGAGGTCGCCAAGCCAAGCACTTTGGCATTTCCAATGTTGGCTCTGCAAGAGCAACGGACATTTGAACATGCGAAGATAGGCATACGCGGATATATCGGAACGCACCTGTCGATGTAGGCAGCCAGGTATAGGAGCACCGCGAGAGGCATGATCGCCAAATCTACCTTCCTCCAAGTCCTCCTGACCAGTTCGGGATCGTAATGATGGAGGTCTACCCGTGCTTCTTCGAGTGCGGTCGACTTCACCGAAGACGGATAGCTTGCGGCTGTTAGTTCCGCCTTGACGGACATGTTGCTCGGGGCCGACGCTTGTGTACGAAGCGAGGATCCGGTGGGAGAAGAGACTCGAGAACATGACTTATGTCAAGAGCGGTTTTTGTGGTCTCTTGGATGTCTCCGAGAAAATCGCCGCCGGCCTAACTTTTTGAGCTCCAAGCGATAAGAGACTTCAGAGAGCGTAGGGAGTGGTGCAATATTGCGCAGACGACGGGGTCCGATGTTGTGATTGAGTTCGCCAAGCGAGCCACGTGCCCACCCAGGTACGCTAACGTGCACTCGACATCCTTGCTATTGCTCCATACCTGCTCATCTGCAGTTTTTGCCGTTCTGTACCTTTCTAAACCACGCGAAACGCCACTTACTCTACCAGAGTAGCAGCTTCAGATGTGCCATTCGATCAGAAAAATAGCCTCTACCTCCTTCGAAACCATGGTCTTACCACTAGAGCGCGTCATCTGATACAGACGCAAGGACATAGACATTGTTTACTGGTCACTTCGGTGGTTCAAACACCAAAAAACAGGTGAGTCTACTCTACCAACGGTCCCGCCTACTTAGGGCGACACTCGATGCGTCGTCTTGCACAGGCTAGTATGTGAACCATGCGATCTTGCTACCTGCCCCTTTACGTTGCGAAATCCCGGAGTCGTCAGTCACCTGGAATTCTCAAAACTGACAATTTCGTTCTCTCTCACAAGCTGGGACACACATATTGAACAAGACTGCCATTAGACTCTTTTGGTAAACGGTTTAAAACGGGCTTCCCATTGGTGGGGAACGGGCGAAGCGCTGATTCAAAACCGCTTGCGAAAAAACTATTATCTTCAGTCAGCGGACATCCACAGTCTGCACGACTGTCTTGACCCCGTATGCGTTGGCATGCTCTCAGAACGTGGTGCAAAGAGATACGTTGCTCAGTGTGCACCGCAGGGCTATGCCGGCGTCGGGAGACGCTCCGGGGGACAGCCAACTTGCTGGGCTACCAAAGGCGACGCAATGCTGTCTTCGTGGGCTGCGATCTCCGGGCTGCCAGGCATGGAATGTGGAACCTGACAGGATGGACAGGCGTCGGAAGGGGACTGCGGCAGGAAGAGAACTGCATGCACATAGTACTGTTTCAGTAGAAGCTACGCCGAGGGGGCTGTAGCAGAGATGGGAGACCGCACGCAAGCCTAGAAGGGGACTGACAAAGTCCAGACTGCAATGACTGGATCCGAGAGTCGGTGCGCGCTGCGTGCTATTAGTCAAGCGTTTGAGAGCCTCGCGGCAGGAACTTCGGATTCCGCCGATGGCCGTAGCCATGGGTTGCAAAGCATCGCACAAAGTCCGTCTGCAGCTTCGTGGCGGAGATGTCGCTGGGTCTGATGCTAGATCGACGAGATCACATAGTGCACTACCGTGAATGTCCCGTTCTTCTCACCTCGAGCGACGCAAACGCGAGATATATATTGACCGGGAGCGCTTCGATTGCTATCTATGGACACGAGAGGTTAGGGAAGTACGACGGTTGTAGTACGTCCCTCAGGTACCAGGAGTAGAGGGGTCCAGCACTGGTCTCGCCTTGGAGTAGGCGGTCCCCATTCTCACGATTCGTCGGGACCGCGAACGCCGAGAAGTATGTCTCCCCGTTATCACCGAGGCGTCGCCACCGTCTCTTGAAACGAGAAGCAATGCAGTCCGAATCGCAAGGACAGGGATTGGATTGCCGGCCTAGATCGAAGAGAAAGTATCAGTGGGCATAAGGTAAGGGATGATCTAGATGCTGAAACCCTCAGCTCAAACGTTAAGGTAGCCAGCTAATTGCATAGACACGCGATCGGGAGGAAATTTGTTTTCGAGGTTCTAACCGGAGTCGCTGCGCTAATTCGCTCTTCCCATTGGGCTCGACTCAGGCCAGGAGAGGCTTGATGAGCTGAGCTCGACATCGGGGCTACCACCACACAACCTGCAATCTCACATCATAGACGGTGTGTCGGAATGGATGCTGAACGTATGAGACGTCGCTCGCATCCGACATGATAGTACATCAGCAAAAGGCGCATCCTATGGCCGAGCATGGCCATACCGGCGAATCCCGGCAAGCAGTGGCCGGCGCTCGTTTATCGGATGTCAAAGTCCTAACAGGTTGTTGCTTGCCAGAAGGAACCTGGCAAGCCATGGCATCAGCCACGCCGTCTCCTGGCCTACAATGTTGTCTCGAATAAGGCGCCTGCAGCTTACATGCCGACGCCACTTGGTCGCGATGACATGTCCGAGTCCTTGCTCGGCATAAATAGCTTGGTCCCAGGACGTGGATTGCCCCAACTCATCTTCCTCCCACTCTCATCTTGCCTATGTCTATCTCCCTCTTCCCTCCTCCGAGTCCTCTCTCTATGTAGCTAGCCTAAGAAAGTCACAGTAGGTCATTGACGTGCATGTATGCATCGGTATTCACTTGGTATAGGTAAGTCAACCACTAGAACTCTTCTCCTATAAGGTAGGTGGGCATCCGAGTTTTCGGTCGCCTCACTGGCTGGGCTCACAGACAGATAGGAAGTCTTTAAGCCATCTGTTACTCACCCGGGTCTGTTATCTCCCGCTGTGGGGCACGGACAACCTCTCATGATGTTTGTGTCATAATAGGGTTCTCATCCAGATCCGAGCTCGGCTTGCGGCCTCGTGTAATGCGTGTGACAGTGGCGTTGTGATTCATTATGATGACCATGTCCGCATACTATCCCACGCACGAACTTGCAAAGGATTTGGATGTTACACCCCCCTATATGAAGCTCTCTTGCCCCGTGGGCATTCAAAATTTCTGAGCAGGTGAGAATATGTCTCATTTACCTTGCTGCCAAATCTCAAAAGGTTTGAGTGAGGGGATGGAGGTATGGCATGCTTCCGGTGAGCAAAACTCGTCGAACCCGCGAGTTCGCAATGTAATGCAAAAGCATCAGTAACGTGCAGTCACAGTGGCAAAGTCGAGCTCCGCTCGGCATCAGGAGCTGTGTCAGTCAACCTCCGCGTGCATCCTCTGCTCGCTTATTACCAGAGTCTGAACCCGTCACCTCCTCATCGCTCCCTTTGTCACGCTCTTCTACTGTATCGTACAGTTGTACTCCTCGTCGCCACTGAATCAAGAATCGGGCAACCTTTTTCAGTATTGTGGTTGTCTTACAGCTTATCTTTGTATTTTTTGGACGGTTTGAAGGCATACATCAAGAGAGATCTACATAGTAAGGACCAGAAGCGCTCTTACACATGAGCCTGGTAGACACCATTTCTCGAGTGTGCTCCCTTTCGCCCATCCCTTGGCCACCAAAATTTGCACAATGTGATAATTAGATGTCATATACACATGTACCGAAAATGAAGCCAAACGGACAGGAGGTTGTACTGGAAACTGTGTTTTGCACTACTGTGCAACATTTGCAAGTTCGTGCATGGGATAGTACCTTGTAACCTGTACATACTACGTACTTGGCAGAAGAAATAATAAAATAAGGCCATCTCTGTTATCGTTCTAACTGCGAGAATGGTATAGCATATCTAATTCACAGCAGATGAACAGATGCGAACAGATGCCGGTGCGCTATGGCCAGACTCCACGTGAAGTAAGGTAAGCCCCGGTCATACTTTGAGGGAGATACGGCAAGGCCCACCAGAATTCACCATCCCTTTGCCATATCTAACGAATGCTACCATTGCAGACGAATCCTGTCCTCGCATTGCCTTCCTATGTGCTGATTTGCTGATGTAATACTCGTGTCCGAGTCGGATCCGGAATCAACGTTCAGGTGGCTGTGCTGGTGTCAACGAACCAGGATCGGACGCGGCACTGACGTTGGCACATCATAGGGATTCGATTACGATGTTACGGTACCTGTGGTGCTTCAAACCTGTGCCAATGTTCATACGGTCGGACAGAAACCACAAGTCGTCTTGTCAAGCATACAGAAGAGTTGGGCTGGGAGCGTTTCTGATCATGTCCTTCAAGTTTACCTAGTGGCGACTCCGAGTCGGCATCGACGAAGCGCCCCTTGAGGAAAATTTGCACCTTATCGCGTTTATCGTGATGAGAGCAGAAGTGAACCGATATAGCACCGTCACTAGAAACGCTGCTGCCGCTAAGAGAATCGAAGCGATCCGGTGAACAAGCTCAAGCGACGACCTTCGACTTCGTATACGTGCTTGAAGTCGGAGCATGGGAGCATTCATGCCGCTTGGAACCACCTTGAAACGCACGAAGTCAAGAAGGTGGCCTATCCTAGCTTGCCAGACTGCCCGCCCTCTGTCGTGGAGGATGGAATCGGGCATGGAAGTCCGGTAGAACGAGGCTGCGTGTAGGATGAAGGCGTGTCACATAGCCTATTTTGTAGTATGGTCCGACCGCATGCTGAGCTCTGAGTGATCATTTGTATGGTCAGCTGTAAGATCGGCCTCTTACCTAGCGTTACGACGTCATTCAAGAAACCATATGCCGTACAAGGGAAGCGGTCCTGGATGAGATATGACCGCATTGACCAAAGAATGGCAGCTTTACGTCCTCGTCTCCGGTGGAGGCGCGTTGGCACGCCACGTGAGTCTGCTCAAGGATCGCGGATGTGTTACGTTGCAATATGACCATACACCAGCAATCGTCTCCCTGCGTGGGACCTCCAGTCTTGGACTTCCTGCTATCAGTCATTTTAGCTCTACGAAGTGCGGCACGATGATGCACCGCAGCGCGCCTGTTGAACAATCAAGGCACAGCATGGTATCTGAGCCGCAATGAGACTTCCTCTCGGTATTCTTCACAGCCGTTCGAGCCCATACTGGCCGCCATCGCATGAGTGCTCTGATCTCGAGGTGGGAGTATCGAAGATGTCACATATCGTGTCATCGCTTTACGAGGTTAAGGAACGCACCATGGACGCACCTGAGCCGCGATGAGACCGTCTAAGAGTTCACAAGCTTGTAGTTTTCTAACTGGTAGACTGACATTCACAGCCTTACTGATGCCATAGTCCGTCTCGACAGATTTCGACAGAGATCCTGAAATTGTGCTCTTCTTTTTTCGGGCACGTCGGCTGGAGCGAAGGTCGGCTAACGCACCAGGTTACGACTATCACCATATGCCCGAGAGGCGCACAAAACCGATGGCAAGTAAGATCTGTACTAAGCGTAAGTCGACAAACCATCACCCGGGTACGTCAAACATGAATTGAGCTTCGGCTCCAAGTCCCTGTCCAAGGGGTGAGAACATGGAGGTACGAGCACACGTAAGGCACGTTGAAGTGGAAACAGCCGAAGCCAAACGTGGACGCACGCTGAGCATACGAAGGCAGTGGTCGAATCAATGGTCTCGGAGGCTATTCTGACCTTCGCGCAGTTCTGGCCGGCTCGACCAGAAGGAGTCCCGCTAACAGAAATAGCACTGGAGATCGGCATTTCTACAGCCAGCATTCAAGAAGCTCTGGTCAGCAGGACTTTCCACATTGGCTGCGGCGCATCCCGCAGCACAATCGCGCACGAACCTGTCATCCGTATGCCCGTCGTTACGGCATCTTGCGACGTTGTGACCCTCGAATCTCCAAAGCCGTGAACACGTTTATTTCGCATTGCGTCCCGGTCAAAACCGGATGTCACGAAGAGCCGACCGTCGACTTCCATGCGAACAGCTTGAGATGCCCATTAGCCTCTCGCAGGTAGATCACGTTGCAAAATGCCACACAGGGTGACTACAATGCTCCGCACAGTAGCAACGATTTTCTGCTCCAGCAATTTGAAGTGTGGAGTGCCTTGGGTGTCATTGGATGGGGGTGGTAACGAACGTACTGGACAGAGCATCGATGCCGCCGTATGGCTATGAGAATCCGCCAGCGCACGAGCAAGCTGAGTGGGACCGAGACTCACGTCGAGCCAAGATATAACTCGGCATGAGATTGGGAAGAGTTGAACATCCCGAACCTTTTCCCTCAGGTCGCTGTTCCCAGATCTAGGCACAAGGACCCAACGCAGCCCGAAGTTGCATCTGAGAGAATGCTGAATATCCTGTAGCGGTGGTCGGAGATAGGGCGAGGGTCAGATGAGTAAACAAGTCTCGTTTGGGACGGTGAGAAAATACGTTCCTGATATGGCTCGACACCACGACAAAGGCACCGTGTGAACGCTGCTACCCGGGACTGCGATTTCTACCTGCCAAGGATATCGCTGACGCATTCTCATACTTTACGGGAGCATATGTTCTGCACAGGTCACTGTCAACGTAGCTCATTCATGCCCCGGCGATCATACGTGTCAAAGAGAGCCGAGTACTAATGGCTGCAGTTCATCAAAGGAGAGTGTGTCTTTTCGACGCGCTAGCCACTCTATGTCGCTGACTCTACTCACGACATTTCTACCATATATCACTATTATAGGGCATCTGAGTCGCATTCCGCAAGCAACGGAGGCCGAACTCGACCCATACTTCCGCCGATGGGAGCAATTCGGCAACTGCATGGTCGGCAAAAGGGGACGACTTCTGTCTATGCAGCCCGAGCGTCGGGCTACGAACTTTCTTCGCCGCTACTCGCCGCGATGATACGCTTGCTCAGTCAGAATTTCTCGCGCGAGTGTGGATCAGACACTCGGGCCCTTTACGCCTCCCACTCCCCGAGTTTGGCTTCTGGCTCTCCCGGGGCCTAGCAACTTACACGGGCCGGGTATGCCTCGTATGGGTCTCGAGAGGAACCCGGCTGCCATTGTCAATCCCCTATGCTCGCATTCGTGTCACAGCGCTCAGACCTAGGCCGACCCGTGCTGTCGTCCTATAAAACGATGACTGCCCACGCCCAATAACGCTGCACCAGCACTCTGGACCCCTTCGACCACTCGCCCAGTCGCACAGCGCCCCTGTCCAGCGCCGTGATGCTTCATCTATACCTCAAGACCTTCCTCCTCGTCAGCTCGGCCACCTTATCCTTCGCTGCCCTGATTCCCCCAAAGCGTGCACCGGACCGGACACAGAAGTTATACACCGGACAGCTGTTCGAATATCTGGTCCGCTCTTTGGCGTATATAGCATGCGTACGTTTGTTCCTGCATAATGACGGAAGACTAGCTGATACGTACGTAACCCGCCTCTAGTTCGTGATCGTCTCGCCCTCCTTTAGCCAGTCCATCATACTACTTGTCCATGACAAGTATCCTCTAGTTGGACCGTTACTCTGCCCTGCCAACCCCGCGAGGCTCCACCCGCTCTTCGATATCCCGCCACGGTTTCTCGTGGGAACCGCTTTTGTTTACGCCGGGTCTCTCTTCCGGTTATGGTCATACCGTGCGCTCGGATCCCTCTTCACCTACGAGGTCACTATCAAGAACGACCACGCACTCGTCACCTGGGGTCCGTACGCCTACGTACGACACCCTGCGTACACCGGTGTTCTCTTCATCCTCCTTGGCGAGCAATTGATGCAGTTCGGCATGGAAGGCTACGTCCCCCACTGCGGGATTGCTCACACGCCCTTCGTCGTATTCATCTACATATGGCGATATGGCTCCCTGTTCACTGCATACTCGCTGTACAAGCGTTGTCGCGTGGAAGACGGACAATTGGTGGAGCGGTTCGGGGCCGTATGGGAGGACTACGCTGCGAAAGTGAGGTGCAAGCTGCTCCCGTACTTGCTCTAGAAGCCTGCTCGCAATCTATACAGGATCGTTTGGGCACGTTGGCTCCCCACTACGCACTATCTGCGCCTACTGACAGCCCTCCTATAGGCATATGAGTTTCTTGCATTCGTAGTATTGCATATCCTTCATCTGAATAGTTGAACTCCGCATCAGGTCGTTCATCAGCTACTAATGTCGGCCCCGCTTATAGACTTCGAGAGTAGTAATCGACCTCGTACGCACGTCCCCTGTAATCCTAAGCGAGACTTTGAGTTACTATTGTTTCCTACTACTGTGGTGCGCATTGGGCGCGTCTCCCTCAGCTGACATTGATTGGCTTTTCTCTGACCTCCTGACGGGTGGCGATCACGCTGATCTAAGTAGTCGCCGGTCTTCATCTGTCGCGGTGTCAACTATTCGGTGATTACTCGCGACTTGAGAGTGAGAGACTGCTTCAGAACGGAAGCCTGCCCTTTCGACACTTATGCTAAATGACAGGTTGGCAGAAGGCTACTGCAAGAGTTCTCACGACACGACAGACAAAGATCAGGTTGATAGACTCTGGGTTATGAGACAGGTATGGCATGTCTTATAACGTAGAGGCGCTAGAGAAAGCAGCGTACCTAGATATAGTACGCTTTGAAAGCTTCGCTATCAAGCTATTCCTCAGGCGGGTTCAATGTCCTTTTACAGTGCTTCGCAAAAATGATTGCAGTGCGAAGCGCGCAAATCTTGTTTGCTCCTGTTTGGTCACTCGTCGGCTACGGCAAGGATTTCTGTTTCGGGTTGAACTGGAGACTCATAAGGACTCCGTCCGTAAAAGCCGTGCTTGAGTCCGTGTCCGCTTTCCTACTGCAAAAATGCACGAGGATATTCTTTGCCTCCGAATGACGACCTTTTGAATATATCCGGTAGATTTGTGGCTGGAAATTCGACCATGCTGCAAAGAGGCTTCCGGCATTGCAGGCGTTTCCCCGGGTGGGCAAGCAGGGGCAAACAGGATTTTGCGCGCTTCGCACTGCAATCTTTTTTGCAAAGCACTGTAGATGCTCCGAGTCCCATGGTCTATTCAGCACTACTATGTCCGTTCGCAGAACTCTAACCTATCAGACTTATTTCGATGCTGTTCCCCTGCTCTAGAAACAGGCGGATTTCCCCTCGTGTGTACCGGCCACACGCGGATCGCCTTCATTCTCCTTCGCCCATAAATCCCTACAGAAGAGTTCGATAACTCCAGCGCTCACCGTCACGTGCGAGTGGCATGTTTACAATTGTGATGAGGTGAAGAGGGCTGGGAGGTGAGTGGCCGAACGAGTCAAATGCTGCACAAAATATTGCCCTGGGACGAGCCATCCAGTGCAATTAAGAGACAAGGTACGCACTACAATATGGAACAAAACGAGTGCCGGCGGTTGCCGTTGGGACCCAAGCGCGACCACGTGAGGACATTAATATTGTGGCAACGCGTAGATCGCGCGACTTTGTCTCTTGTCACTCACCACAATCCGCCCACAAGACAAGGTCAACATCTTCTGCCACCCTCTCTGCAGCCCCTACCGGGCATCAAATCATCAATGGTGTCTAAACCTCTCATCGTCGTAATTTGCCTTGATGAAGAAGGCGTCTCGGAAATCATCAACGACCGCCTGTACACGGTGCTCGCGAGAAAGGATGAGGTCCTCAAGGCGACATCCCTTTCCGAGGCACGCCGTCACCTCACGAGTACCATACGACCCCATGCAGTCATTGTCGCTGATGACGCCGTGACGTATCCTAGAAATCGCGAGGTGCTCTTGCGACTTGTCGAGTATGCCAAGGCGGGTGGCACTGTCGTCTATGCCGGGACTTTCAGCTCCTCGGTTCGTCACCAGGATCTCGACTCCATGTTCAAGGATGTATGGGGCTTGCCATGGCGGGCATTCTCTTTTGCCACCACGACTCACACCGTCAATCCTCGCGTCCAAGGTCTCAATCCGAACGGCCTCGTCAAGCGGTATGTGGTCGATGCGAACCACATCGATCACGTTGCGCTTGAGGACGCCGTTTACCTCCCTTCCTCTGTTGTCAAGAAGCTCCGGAAGGGGGGCCACCAGTCAGCTGGCCAGACATATCGGACCCCTGCGGCGTTTGCCACTGTCGGCCGCGGTCGCGTCGGATACATAGGAGACATCGATGGGGACGATGATACAACGAGGCTCGTGATCGCCATGTGCTTCTGGCCTGGCTCTCGCGCGCCAGTTCCTCCAGGTGACGGCGTCGCTGAAGTGGTGAGTATCCTAATGTCCGTGCAGGGCCTATAATTCATTCAGGCCTAGTTCTTGACAGGGCTAGCATTCACGGACGAGGACATGCCGCCCAGATCTTCAGCACCTCACAGGCGCCACATTCTCATCATTTCCTTGGAAAAGGAGCCATATACGGACAAAATCTACGCCCAGCTCTACAGCGTGCTCCGCAAGAGAGCGAACGTCACCGAAGTCGAAGAACCCAACGCCGCTCTCGCCGCACTCTCCGCCACCCCCCGTCCACACGCCGTCATCGTCTCAGACCCCGCCATCGCCAACGCCATGTCCAAGCACAAGAAGCTCCTCACGGGACTCTTAGAATACGCCCGCTCGGGCGGAACGGTCGTCCTCGGCATGCAGTACAGCAACCGCATCAAGCCCGTGCACTTCCGCCCGTTCCTCGCGCGCTGGGGCGTCCCGTGGGACCACGGCTCCTATTTCCGCACGACGACCGCGCTCAACCCCGCCGGCATCCCTGCGCCGCTCGAAGAGCATGCGCTGCTGCCTTCGGTCAGCATGAAGTCCCTGCACGTGAAGGGCGCCCCGCGCGCGCACGCGGTGTACCTCCCGACGGCGGGGTCGCACATAGAGTCCCACGTATTTGCCCCTGACCGCCTCTCCGGCGAGGAGGCGGAGGAGAGCCCCGCGGTGCTAGCATCGGTCGGGCAGGGATACCTGGGGTACGTCGGAGATGTGAACGGGGAGCAGGGCTCGACGCGCCTCATCCTGGAGATGTGCGGGGTGAAGATCCAGCCTGGTGACTTGGGTGAGAGGACGCACTCGACGGGGCTCAACGTGAACCCGGATGGGACGATGGTGCCGATCGTTGAGACAGAGACAGAGATTCCTGTGCCGCCGCCTCCGCCGCCGCGCGCTCCCCGTCCCCGCGATACTGAGGTTGCGACGCGTGCTGAGGCCCGCGAGAAAGTCCGCAAAGACAAGTGTACGCGTGCAGACGCACTCAAGAACGAAGTCTGTATCCATCTCATACCTCTCATGGCGTAGGCGGACTAACAGCAGCGCATAGGGAAACGACTTGTTCAAGAAAGAGAAGTGGGCCGAGGCTGCGGAGAAGTATCGCGCGGCCGCCCTGCTCGCAGGACCACAACCCGTCTATCTGTCCAATCTGGCTGCCTGCTTCCTGAAGATGGAACTATGGGAGCTAGCGGATAGCGCGGCGACGCGCGCCCTCGTACACGACCCGAAGCATATCAAGGCTCTCTATCGCAGGGCCCTCGCACGGAAGGGCTCCGGACATGCGGAGGAAGCCTTCGCGGGTGAGTATTCTCCCCCCTCATTAAGGTCTCATCACGCTCAAGGCGGCGTCACGCATGTAGACTTGCAGCGTCTGCTTTCAATCGACAGGTCCAACGTTCCTGCACGCAAAGAGGCCGAGAATTTACGCGAGATTCATGGCATCTCGCCAACCAAGACGCCTGCTACGAACGACCAAGACAGTGCCTTGGAGATCGAGGACGAGTCGGATTCGGAGGACTTTGCGCACCCAGGAACGGGCATCGCATGCAGATACTACAACACCCGTGACACCGGTTGTCGCAACGGCAAAAAGTGTCGCTTCAGACATTCCCCGGATTCGAAGAGCATCCGTGACGAACTGTGCGTAGTCTTTTAGCACCTCATCGCACAAAGACTGATGTGGCCGTCCGCAGCGGAAGGAACGTCTGCGTGTACTGGCTCCTTGGCCACTGTCGCTTTGCAGCGGAGGGCAAGTGCGTGTACGCACACGACGCCACGTACCTCCCCGCCCGAGGATGGTGGACGGACACCGCCCGCCTTGAGCGCATGCGCGCGGAATTCGACGACGCCATCAAGGCGCAGCCTCTGAACCTCGGGGCTAGAAACGTCTTAGAGAGCATTCTTGCGGAGGCGTTCGTCCCGCTCCCGTGGCGGAAGGACTTCTGGGCCGTCGCCTCGTACGAGGATGCCATGCGTGAGCGTGAAGAGGACAGCGAGAATTACGAGGACAGTGATGGGTATGACTCGGAGGAGGGACGTTGGGACACCGGGTTCGGCCTCACGGATGCTGAAGTCGAGGAGCTATGGACGCAGGGTATCAAGCCCTGGGAGATCGAATCTTACGTGAGTATAGTTCTCTACGGCTGTCTTCTGTCTGATGGGGTACTGAAGGATCCTGTAATGCATGTGCAGGACGAGTTGATGAGGATCCGAAGTGTTCTGTATAATAACAGTAGCTACTACTGACCCAGTTCATCTCGGTTGGAACCGTTGAATCCTGTGCTATTTCACGCTCTGGAGATAAAGGGATCGTTTATGTTACCACATTGCTGAACGAGGGGTGATTTAATACGGACCGAAGGCAAGCTGCGCAATTCCACGTGCGTTGCGGTGAACCCCCTATACGAACCCGCTAGAGCCAAACGCACCCGACCGGAAACGAACTGATACAGACACTTGACCAATGTAGTCGCCAGTTAGTAGCAACGTTTGCGAACCCGAGTCTCAGCACGCATAGGCGCAATCCGATTGGTATAGCAATTCACTAACGGAACAGCAAAGCTAATGTGTGCAAACAGCGAAAGCAGAAATACATTCATCCCAAGCGCAAACGCACCAAAAGAGCCAAAACCGAACCCGAGGCCAGCCCTTGTGCCGTTCAACCGACTTTCCAAGCCCAGCACGGACCTGCCAATACAAGCGTCAGCGAACAACCCTCCCGCGAAGCGCGCATGCAAGGACGTACCGAGGGGGTCCATGCGCTCATGCTGCGCCCCAGTCCACATCCCGAGGACGCCCATCGCAGAGGCGACGCCGCCGACCTGGATGCCCTCCGACACCCACTCGTCCATGTCGCCGCCCTCGACCGTCGAGTACTGCAGAAAGCCAGCGTCAAACGCCCGTAGTCAGCAGCGCGATCGAGCAGAGAGAGAACAAGATGCCTTTGAGCTGACCAGCGTCCAGCGCACGCTCCCGTCCGCGATGACGGAGACCGTGCCGCGCATCCTGCGGGGCTGCCCGTGCAGCGACGCGCCCGTCGTCTCGCCGACGACGTGGATCGTCGGGAGGTGGGCGTACTCGCGGACCTCGGACTTGGAGTAGGACTTGATGCGGAGGCGCATCGAGATGATCCGCACGGCCTCTTGCAGGTGCGGGTCCTCGAACTCGCCCGAGAGCTGTGGTTCGGGTCAGTGGGCGCTCTGCTCGCTCCTGATGACCAGGCGTGCTTACGTTGTGCACTGTGGATGGCTCAGGTCAGGAGGGGGTATTCGGGGTAGAAAGGGCGGAAGCAGGACTTACGAATGAGATCGCGATAGTCCATCCAACACACACAACGCCTGAAAAGTTTGACGGGTGAGCACGACGACTCAGGCGTACGAGGCACGCGAGGCACCCACTTCCAAACCCCGGTTACCCCTGCCCAGTCCCACCCCTCGACTTCCCCATAATCCCTCCCCTTCCCCTTCCCGTCCTTGCTCTCTACAGGCGACGGCGGCCGGTACGCCGTCCAGTCATACGGCGCGCTCGCGCTCCTCAGTCCGTCCAGCGAAAACAACCCACGGAGATCCTGTGCCTGGAACGACTCCCTCAGGTTCGCCTCGACGACGACGCGCACACCCGCAAGGTACGCCCAGTCCGTGCGCAGCTGCGCCGACGATGGTGGGCCCTCCGGCAGGTCCGCCTTGCCCGCTGGCGGCTCCGACCCACCGCCCGACACGGATCCCTCGTCCCCCATGGATCCCTCGTCCCCCTCCGCGTCTTCGTCCTCCGCTGCGAGCTCGTCCTCGGCGGCGTCCGCGGGCTCTTCCATATCCGCGCCCTCGTCTTCGTCCTCGCCTTCAAATTCGGATTCGTTGTCTTCCTCCTCCTCGTCCTCGTCCTCGTGGTCATGAGCATGGCCATGATGCGCGTGCGCATAAATCGGCGTGACCCGGAACATCGCCAATATCGGCTGTAGCAGCTCGTCGTCGTCCGCCGTCGCGCGCGGCGCACGCGGCTCCCTGCCCTTCGCGCGCGCCTGCGCGGGCTCCGACGCGGGGAGGTAGGGGCCCCAATGGCGGTCGCGCGCGAGGTAGCGCATATTGTAGACGCGCATGCGCGCAAGACGGCGCGCGCGCTTGAGCTGGTTCTCCACGCTCATGTACGGCCCCGCGCTGTCCGGGCCCGCATGGCGCGTGGGCGGGGAGAACGCGCGCTCGCTCGCGACCTGGGCCGAAAGGTCGATCGTCGGCTCCTGCTGCGCGGGTGGGGAGCCCGAGGAGGGGGAGCCCGCGGCAGAGGAGGAGGAGGGGGGCTGGGGGATGGGGAGGAAGCCGGTGCAGGCGATGATGTGCCCCGCGGCCTGCAGCTCGCGGAACTCGGGCTCGTCGAGGAACTGGCCGGCGAGGCCGCCGTACCACTTGTCGCCTGAAAAGGTCGCGGTGATTTCGGGGGGCAGGCCCTTGGAGAGGACGGACTCGAGCCAGGCGGTGTTGTTCGCGCGGAGCGAGTGGCCGAAGGTGCGCCCGCGCGTGTCCGTCGAGTTGGGCGCGCCGATGGCGTGCGGGAGGGGCGGGAAGGTGGGGTAGCTCGCGCTGGGGGTCGTCGGCGCGCCCGCGTGCGCCTCTGCGCAGTCAAGGAAGGAGAAGACGAGCGTCGGGGGACAGGGCAGGGCGGAGGAGACGACGGAGAGGATCGTCTCGAGCGCGCGCGTGTTCTGCAGCGTCTGCTCGAGTTCCGTGAGAGGCTCCGCGGCAGACTTGATCGCTGGGTCCGTCTGTCGTCTGATGCAGTCGGCCGCCCACAGGCGACGCCTGAACTCTCCGCCCCAGTCATACGCTTCTTCCTTGCGGTGCGCCTGGGATGTGCACTGTGTCCAGCCGGGCCCTCCGCCAGACGCGCGCGGGTCGTCGAATGTGGTCAGGAATATCTCGCGCCAGAGGTGGTTGTCGTTCGCGTTGTACACGAGGGCGTGATGTGCTTTGCATGTCTGTGCGAATGCGGCTATTGCTTGGGGGAACCCGCCTGCTGCTGCAGAGATGAGGACGCTCTCGATGAGCTCTGCCGGCAGCGAGTGCATCGACGGAGAGGTCATGTAGAAGGACGGGCGGGTACGACGCCCAGGACAGGGTGCAAGAGGTGGTGGTGGATGAGTAAGTCAGCGACGCCGACCGGGGGAACACTTGAGTGGTGGCTGATGGCTTCCGTTGGTGTGAGCACAAGCACAGAATGGATAAGATTAGATGCGGGTGCTCGGCGCGCCGCTAGCAAGCCTTGCTGTCTTCGGCGTTCCAACAGACGAGACGGATGTCGCTCAGCGTTGTGGAAAAGTACGAGTCGGATGGACGAGGAAGACTGGAAGCACAGAGAGAGGGATCAGAGGATGAGTCGAGGAGCACGCAGTGAATACGGCCTGCATCAATGTGGTCTCCGAAACGCCGGCAGCCGGACCTCTGTATATAAGCAACACAAATCGTACTCCGAGGACCGAACATGCGCCGGCATCCACTTGCAGTAGTGATCCACCACTCGTTCCGACGAACTTCGTAGGTGGGTCCTGGTCCCACTTGTTTTTCCGCGCTTCCCGCCATTCCGAAAGCCAAGGGGGCTGAATCGTCACGGCCTGCTATGTACGAGCACTTGATGTGAAAGGCGACAAGCAAGAAATCATAGGACAGATCTTCAGACTGCAAATACATTCTAGGTTACCGCTACACGACAGATCCCCTGTGCCTGTATCAATCATCCCCTTCCATTGCAGCGATCGCCGCCAACCGCTCCAGGTCCTCTACCAGAGGCACATCTACATCGCCAGCGGACGTACTGGCATCCCGCTGCTGCACTCGCTTCGGAAGAAGAGGCACTCTGCGCGTCCTCTGATACTCAGCCCCATGGCTGCCGAAGTACCGTCCGGACTCGAAGTTCCAACAATAATTGCCTTGGGGCCAGATAGCGATCTGGGTCATATAGCTCTGCAAATCCGCGTCGACCGCGGGTCCAAAGGATGGCACGCGCTTCAAGGTGTCAAGGAAGCGCCTCTGGACTTGCTTGTGGTAGTCTGCTGCCCAATCCACTGTCGCGTCTAGGTCCAGCTTGAGATGATGCATCACAATCGTCACGATGTTGTGCTGATCGTTCCCTGTCGCCTGCTCCTTGTTGTAAGAAGCAAGGTCCTATTGATACGTGACCCGGTGTCAACTCAGCGTGAAAACCAACATTGCATCCTAGCACCCACATTGTCGATCGCGATCAACTCTGCAGCGAGGTATTCCAGCTCTCTGATCGCGGGATGGTAGAGTGCCTCATCTGGGATGGAGAGACGCAGCTCGCCAATGACATATGCAGGACGGGCACCGATGGTCTCCCTGCGCAACAGGAAGTAGTCATGTACGGAACGGATGGTGGTATTGTTCCTGTCTTCCGCTTGGGAGACAAGGGTGTCCATGAATGCCTGAATGGTCTCCAAGAAATGTGCTCTCGCCTGAGCAGTCGCTGTGCGTCCCACTCGAGCCCAGAATCTGGAATATCATTCAAAAAGTGTACGTAAGGTAGGAGTTCAAGCTGAACATGTACTCACTGTCGCATCATTTCCCCAAGGATGACCTCTCCAGCAGGACGAGGTTTGTCGGGGTTGCGTATTGCATCCAATACAATTTGCCCATACTCTCTGACAACAGGGGGTCTCCCGACGTCGGAAAACTCGTCTATGACAAATAAAATGTGCATCAAATCTATGCCAGCTCGCAGATCCTCTGTATGTTGAAAGTCAGTGAGCCAGTCCGAGTCTATTGAAAAGTTAGGTGGTTGATGATCTACCTGGAAGGGCGTGCGGATATGCTAATCCCCCAAGTATGCCAAAATGGCCTTGCTCGTGCGCATGCTGTGACTTCTGAGAGAAGATCGGAAGGGACCTGAACCATTTGTCTGATTCCAGCGTTTTCTCATCGGTACAGGGGTGAAATTCTCGTTGCCACGGCCAGTCCGCCATGGTGTCCGGGATAATCATATACCTCTCGGCCTTCCAAGGGGGGTTAGCCGTCGTAGATTGGCGTACTACGACATCCTTCCCGGGAATACGTGAGGACATGATACACCAATGACTTGAGAGAGGAAAGAACAGAACGGTAAGAGGGAAGAGAGAGTGCCAATGACCATGTAGACATCTGAGACTGGAGATATTTATACAGACTGGGGAGGACGGCTCCTGCGCTGTTATGAGAGATCGATTCCTTGTTATGCAGCCATGACATAATCCTTCTTCTGTGGCGTCAACCATGACCCGGAGACGTCGATAGATTGCTTGCTCGCACATGCACCTAGAGCGTGCTGTCATGCAACAGCACTGTATACGGAGTAGCAGCCTTCCCGTCCATAGTGTATATCAACCATAGTACTACGTATAGAGTTCATGGACACACAGTTCATCAGCAGAAGCGCATCTTGTTCGGCTATGATCCTGCTCAAAACCGACACTTATTGCCACGACGTCCGATGTAGTGTCTACATACCCTTTTGCAAGGGGGCGGTTTATCGCGCCGCCGCCAGTTGCAGGTGGGCCGGCCAGCGCACATTTCCTAAGTACGGTGCGGAGTAGGGGTTGTCTCCACTCGCTACAAACGTTCTAGCCTTTCCATGCACAGATTTTGCATCTACGTACTCGGAAACTCTTGCAAACGGGTGTGTAGACTCAGGGCACCTACGCCCTTGCCTCCGAATATGCCAAAGCGAACTCTACGGGATCGTAACTCCATCGAAAATCTTGGGCACTATGCCCAGAAGAGGTTTAGAGTACCGTCACGGCAACCTGCAAGGAGCCGAGGAACCGGAGACAAGGAGAATGTGCTGCCATTGGCATCGGAGGTGCGCTTCCCGGCCCAGCTGGGCATCGCGAAGAAATATCGTAGCCACCGCGTCCTTCCAAACGACATTCTTGAGGAGCTCGATCGGGAAGGCATCACTCCGGACAACTAATGATCCCTACTCCATTATCTTTATTCGTGTTTATAACTATACTATGTGTGCTCCGCTATTGCTACATATTCCCCTCTACTTGTATACCTGTCCAGTCATGCCATTGACCACTCTCTCCTCTGCGCGACACTCCCACCTACTTATCGGCTTTAATCAACAAGTTAATATGTTTGGCGCCCTGCTTCACGTGCTTCGTAACGCCGTGACATAGCAGTAGATTGTGCACCGGGCCAATCTTAGTACCGAGTGTATACGTATGTATACGAGGAGCACGGGAAGTCGACGTCTGATATCTCACGATATCCTTCTGAGGTTCGTCCTGCCACTGAAGACAAACAAAGGCCAATAACAAGATGTCAGACCTAAGGCGCCTAAATTTCCGAGAAAGTGGCTGCTGGCTGGACGCCGCTTAGCAGACAACTTGCTCATCGTCCGCGACGTTGAGCTGCGAGGATGTGGGGCTCGAACATCTTCCAGGCGTGTCTCCGTACACGGCCATATCCTCGGCCTACACTCTCTCTTCCGGCTCGCTTGTGGTCTCTGCCAGCTCGGAATGCTGCTACTGCTGCCGCGGTCAAGCCAACGGAGTCTTCGGAGGAGCCTGTAACAAAGGTGTATCCGACTTATGACCTCACCCAGGAGGACATAAGGAGGCTTCGATTCCAGCGCAACATTGGTGTCTCGGCGCATATCGACTCTGGTAAGACCACGCTAACGGAACGAATTCTGTACTATACCGGTCGTATACGTGAGATCCATGAGGTGTGTGATCTACTCATGCGCATCCTCTTCAACTCCATTTTGAACAACTTTCGACTCTTCTGTGTCACATAGGTTCGTGGACGCGACAACGTCGGTGCCAAGATGGACAGCATGGAACTGGAGCGCGAGAAAGGTATCACTATCCAGAGCGCGGCTACCTTCTGCGACTGGGAGGCTACCATGCCGGCAACTGGAGAGAGGGAGAAGTACGCGATCAATATTATTGATACTCCAGGTACGCATATATATCACTCAACTCAGAACGCGACTTTTTGGGCGCAGTTGTCCGCTCCCAGTTGCCGCAAAACAACCATACTCTCCGGCCACAGTTGCGATGGCAGGTCAAAATCAGACATTTAGCTAGAAGTCCATCTGTTCCGTCCGCTCATGAGGACGTAGCTCTGTTTTTGTGTTGCGAGTGGTCGTTTGCGTCTCTTGGGTCTCCTGGGGCCCTCGGAAGTCTCGCAGGAACTCGCGCATCATGAAATCGGGCATTGCAGGCAGTCGGGAGGTCTTCCGCTCTCATGCCCGGTCGTGCCGTGGCAGAGACGGACACTGGCGACGGGACCGTGGCTTACGCTTGCGGATTTCTCTGCTATGTTGCCGGAGGGCGCGGGCTATAGGGCCCAGAATCTTGCATTTCCCTTCGATTTTCCGCTGTCTGAACTTATGGGAATCCTGTTTGGCAGGTCACGTCGATTTCACCATTGAGGTAGAGCGCGCCCTTCGTGTCCTGGACGGTGCTATTCTCGTTCTCTGCGCGGTGGCAGGCGTGCAGAGTCAGACCACCACGGTCGATCGGCAAATGCGACGGTACAACGTTCCTCGGATATCCTTCATCAACAAGATGGACCGGCCTGGTGCCAACCCGTGGCGCGTCATTGGTCAAATCCGCCAGAAGCTCAAGATTGCTGCCGCCGCCGTCCAGGTCCCCATCGGCGTTGAGGACAACCTGCGTGGCGTCGTCGACTTGGTCCGCTGGAAAGCTATCTACAATGAGGGCGAGAAAGGCAACAAGGTCGTTGAGTCAGACGACATCCCTGCGGAGGCCCTGGAGCTCGCCAAGGAGAAGCGCCGCGAGCTCATCGAACAGCTCGCGGAAGTTGACGAGGAGATGGGTGACCTCCTGATCATGGAAGAGGAGCCGACCACCGCCCAGCTCGCTCACGCTATCCGCCGCGCGACCATCAGTCTCAAGTTCTCTCCCGTCTTCCTTGGCTCGGCGATCAAGAACACCGCGGTTCAGCCCATGCTCGACGGCGTTTGTGCGTACCTGCCCACGCCAGCCGAGTCTAAGGTCACGGCGCACGATACCTCGCTCCCGGTCTCCGCTCCCCAAGTCGAGCTTACGCCTGCGTCTGCCGCCCCTCTTGTCGCGCTCGCGTTCAAGCTCGAGGAGGGGCGCTTCGGCCAGCTGACGTACATGCGTGTCTACCAGGGTACGATGCGCAAGGGTCAATTCATCTACCACGCACGCACCGGCAAGAAGGTGAAGGTGCCGCGTCTCGTCCGGATGCACAGTAACGAGATGGAGGACATCCAAGAGATTGGTCCTGGCGAGATCTGCGCTATCTTCGGTATCGATTGCGCGTCGGGCGATACGTTCACTGACGGTACTTCGAGCTTCTCCATGGTATGTACGCTCCTTTTCGATTGAGGATGGCCAAGATTGAAGAGGTTCGTAGACGTCGATGTTCGTCCCGGAGCCGGTCATCTCGCTTGCGTTGAAACCTGTCGGCCAAGAAACACCGAACTTCTCTCGTGCCCTCAATCGCTTCCAGAAGGAGGACCCCACGTTCCGAGTTCATATCGACAAGGAGAGCAAGGAGGTGAGGTCTTCTCGTATGCTGTCCTCCACACCGGTGTCTCACGCCCTCCCCTCCAGACCATCATCTCCGGTATGGGCGAGCTACACCTTGAGATCTACGTCGAGCGCATGAAGCGCGAGTACAACGTCGAGTGCACCACCGGAAAGCCGCGCGTCGCATTCCGCGAGACGATCACTCAGCGCGCAGACTTCTACTACACGCACAAGAAGCAGTCCGGTGGTGCTGGCCAATATGCGCGTGTCATTGGGTTTGTCGAGCCGATGGAGAAGAACGAGGAGACCGGCAAGGACATCGAGTTCGTCAACCAGGTCATGGGCGGCAACATCCCGTCCAACTACATCCCTGCTTGCGAGAAGGTGCGCTTTTTCAGATACTTCTACGAGACGAGTTGTTCACATGGTATGTACCCAGGGCTTCTACGAGGCGCTTGAGAAGGGTTCGCTCTCCGGTAACCCCGTCTGTGGTGCCCGCCTGGTCCTCAACGACGGTCTCGCGCACTCGGTCGACTCCTCTGAACTGGCGTTCAGGCTCGCGACGATCGGCGCATTCCGCGAGGTCTACAGCGCAGCGAAGCCGATCATCCTCGAGCCGATCATGACCGTCGAGGTCGTCGCCCCGAGCGAGTTCCAGAGCGCGGTCATCGGCGGGCTGAACCAGCGCCGAGGCACGATCGTCGACAGCGAGGTGCGCGAGGACGAGTTCACGGCGATCGCGGAGGTCGCGCTGAACGACATGTTCGGGTATTCGAGCCACCTGCGGGGTATCACGCAGGGCAAGGGCGAGTTCAGCATGGAGTACAAGACGCACCAGCCGGTGCTGCCGCAGGTGCAGGCTGAGCTTGAGGCCGCGTACAAGAAGAGCATCGGGCAGGTCAAAAAGTAATCTGGGTAATTTATGCTATACGGGACACACTCCCATAGATGGTCATTCGCGCATACCTCCGGTACTCACCACTCACGTTTTACGTAGCATCTCACGTAGTCGTATCACAACATTACGATCTTGTATAATCCCCCATTTACTTAGATTGACTGTATGGGTTAAAGGCGCACGCCATAGCAATATAAAAGCCTCAAAAAAGGGTAAAGACTACAACAATCCGCGCGTTCGTCATGGTCCGCAATACAAGGCAGTAAGAGGAAACACTCGCTCATGATATTCGTCCAACCGTAATGTAGTCTAACTGGTCAGGTCGCTCACGCATTCCCATGTGCCCTTCAAGTTCTCCTTCCAAAGCGTAACCTTGCCGTCTCCACAGCTGACTGCCAGAATGTTTCCTGCGAGCGACCACGACACGCGCCACACAACGTCCGGGAACTTGCCCGCGGGCGCTGCAGCCGCCCCAGGCGCCGAGGGCGCGCTCGTCGACGAGGGGTCGAGCGCGGTCTTAACCCACGGCGCGGTCGGCGAGTCTTTTGTCCAGATCAGCACGGTCTTGTCCTGGGACGCGGTCGCGATGTACGAGCGGGGCAGGCCGATGTTGGGCGCCCAGGCGACGTCGCGGACCCAGTCCTGGTGGCCCTCGAGCACCTCCTCCTCGACCCACGCCTGCGTGTCGTCGCGGAAGCCCCAGATCTTGACGAGGTTGTCGCAGCCGGCGGACGCGAAGCGCTTCACGGACTGCACCGCGGCCGGGGCCTGGCCGGGGACGGTGTTGGACGGCTGCGGGACGAGGAGCGAGCCGGGCTGGACGGCGGGCGCCCAGGAGACGGCGTTGCAGCCGATGGCGTGGCCCTCGAAGACGTCGGCGCCCCAGGTGCCGTCGTCTGGGGCGTTGGTGAGGATGTGTGGTGTGACGTGCAAGGGCAGGGGAGACTTACTTTTAAATGTGAGGACGGAGATGGTGCCGTCCGAGGACGCGCACGCGAGGATGGCACCGAGTTCGTGTGGGGCCCATGATACCGAATTGACTGCTGTACGTCAGAGGTGATGTATAGGTATAGAACGAGGGTAGACTCACCTGAAGCTTTGTGCAGTGTGTGCTCCTTGATCTTCGTCCACCCGCCCGCACCTGGTCCCTGACCCTGCTGTTCCTTCCAGATGATGACCTTCCCATCATATGAACACGACGCGAGGATCTGGCCAAACTTCGGGTGTGCCCAAGCAACTTGCCACACGGGGCCGGTGTGCCTTGAGGAGGAAGCGTTCGCGCGCGCAGTTCATGTGCTCGTGAAGTACGCGTACTCACCCTTTTAGCGTATGTCCATTCGCCCGCTGCGTCTCTCCGTCCACTACGTCAAACACCTTCACCGTCCGGTCTGAGGAGCATGTTGCGAGGCGTTTCCCGTAGTAGTCTAGTTGTGCATCGTGCTATTGGGTGTATTAGGTCGCGTCTCGGAACGGCTCAATGTGCCCGACACATACGATCATGTCCTCATGGGACGTCTCGATAGGGACGGGTTCCCCCGTTGTCGTGGACGGCTGTAATGATCACTTTCATTGGCATCAATGTGTAACTTCAATTCACACAAGACTCACCATGGCTGGAGTAGATAGAAGGAGTAGAGGCGTAAGGTAAGTACTGGTGGCGTGTTACGGTAGCGGCGACGTGGAAGCCTGGTTCAGTGATCTCACTCAACCGAACCGGTTCGCTTTCCCACGTCTCTGCGAGTCCAGGGAGTTTTGACTGTGCTCATCATCCATTCCATTGCCTTTCAGCCGGAGTACACTCGCCTCTATCATCGCTGGTATGGCCCATGTTCGAAATAGCTCCATACGAAACACTTTGGGATCAGAAGGTTGAAGCAGGACCCATGAGGCGGCGGTGAACTGTCGATCAACGACGGCAGGTAACTTTGGAAGAGTGGTCTCAGCTCATATTCGTATGAGCTCCTCAGGAGCTCCACATATCAGTCGTATGTTGTGAACGAGATGCTGCAAGCCGTCTTCATTGACATAGTATGTCTCTAGGTCTTCTGTTGCGTGCTAATGCAGACGGAATCTACATGCATGTTACTGTCTTGGACTCGTCTCCTCAGATCTTCACTGCCAAAACCTCCGTCGTTATCACCTCGGGTGCCTCGACCAGGAGCTTGTCGACGTTTGCAAACAACGCCTCGGCAACCTTCCCCTTCAGGTGCGCGTCCAGTCCTCCCTGTGTCGCGAAGAAGTCGACGATACCGAACACGTTCGTCCCCGGAAACTCGATGGCGTACCAAACAGGTGTATCTGGCTCCGCTTCCACGAGGGGGAGTGCGCCCTATTGCAGCGTCGTCAGGCTGTCCCTCTGGTGGACGCGTTCGACTCAGACTCACCTGCAGGAACTCTCGGACTGCATCGATCTGCTCTGGCTTCGCCTTGACTAGCACCCTGAGCCCAACCGTCAGCCCCTTCTTAAAATCGCTCTCCACTCCAGCAAGCGGTTTGATCTTGCTCGCGAGCAGGTTGAAGTTGGTGGAAGGGAGGTCAGGAAGTGCCGCGAGAAGGGTGTCAGCATTGGCGAATAGTGCTTTCGCGACCTCGCCGCTGATGTGCGCCTGCCGTCCGCTCTCCGCCGCGTAGGTGTCAAAGATGGCGTAGTTCGGCTCGGGAGTGTTGTACTTGAGTGCGAACCACTGCAGGGTCTCCGGTTCCTGGTCGCCGGCGAGCAGGCCGTAGCCGGTGATGAGGAACTGGCTCAATGCATCCCCTTGGTCAGGCTTCGCCTTCAGGGGTACGAGCTGGCCAATCTTCGCTGTTCAGAGCCCGGCAGCTCAGCGTTCTTTACACAATACGCGCCTCCTTCGTGCATACTTACGTTGAACGGACATGTTAGGCTTGGGAGGCGTAGGGTAGGTGTAATGCTTGGTCCCCCGGCCCCGTATATGTACCCAGCGTCGTTTCCCATCCCATTCCGGGGACATGGAATCTCCTACACCCTCTACCCGAGCAAGCTCTCGCGCTCACCAACGCCACAGCGGCACAGCGTGAGTGTGCTCATCTGTCATCCACACTTGCGTACTATCCTGACCACCAAGGAATCTGATATATTATAAGATCAGTGGCTATCGTCCGCCCTACAGCGCGATGCAACCTCAAGTCGGTTCACCGCAGCCGGCTTTCGTGTCAAGATGCGTCAGCTCCTCCCCCCGTGTCAAGATGCGTCAGCTCGTCCCCCCGACTGTTCGTCCTGTTCCCCTGCTCTCATCCTTAGTCAGTCCAGGACGCATGCCTCTCCGACCGGATGCTTCTTAGAATGTGCGCAAGTTTCCTCGTGCGCAGCCCCAAGCCTTTCTAGGCGCTGTCTAGTCCGGAAACGGGGCTCGAATTCTCACTATCGCCGTCCAAGACCACAGGACAAGAGAGACGTTGACACCCTGAGAAATCTCCGGTAGGCGGCCATCCCACACTTCGGCGCCTTCGTGGGGATTTAGCCACGAAGCCATAGCGTTACGGCACGCGTAATGGTTCCGAGCTGTCGTCGAGCCGCTTCGACGATCCACAGGGCGTTTATGGATTCGAGTCAATCTCAACGACGATGTATGGAACACATGGCCTTATATCTCTACTAGGTTTTACCCGGGGCCTTCTGCACGCAACGCTCCCTATGTACCACCTTGGCGACACACTGGAGTTTGTGAATGCATACGTGGAATATAATGAAGACGCTCCAGCCTGTGACGCGGCCGGCCAGATGATTTCAGGCGCGCAGACGAAGTCATGGATCTCATTCGGTTCAGCACCGCTTGCATACCGCAACCACGCTTGTAGAGCATAAACCGATTGGCAACACACAGTGATGGCGTCTGTTCCACGGGAAGTCCACCCTTGCAATCGTGAGGCATAGGCGAATATCGGTGCATAGTGTGTTCTAGATATTCAGATCAGCTAATCGGTCCGCTAGATCGCCCACTCTATCGGACGTTGTCACATTAGACAACAGGACATGGGTAGTGTCCTTCTGCCTATCCATCTCGTCTCCCGCTAGGTCTTCCTCGTCATCGTTATCCAGCACGACCCGACCACCCCGCTGCTCAAGTGTAGCAGATATCCTTTGCACGGCATCGCTATCCAGATCGTCGTTGGCAGCCAAACTGAGGGGTATGAAGTGCAGGAAGGTGGGCGAGCACAGCATCGGACAGAGCGCCATAGGGCTCCTCCTCGATATCATTGTTCTCGAGGAGCAGTGTCCGTAAACGCGGGACCTTTCCTGCGGCCAGCACCCCAGTCAGCGCCGCCACTGCAGGCTGTGGCAAGACGCAGTCGGAGAGATCCAGAAATTCGAGCTCTGGTGTACTCTCGAGCACGTCGATAAGGTACTCCCAGCCGCGTCTTGCAGGAGGCGCCTCGTTCTTCTTTGGCAGATTCGTGGAGCAGGTGTCGCGGAGGCTGAGGTATCGCAGGTGCAAAGCCCTCATTAAGTCCGCCAGGCGCAGCCGGGAGGAGGGCACCCCCTCCTCCCGGCTGCGCCTGGCGGACTTAATGAGGGCTTTGGCAACAGTTGCGCCGGCTTCTGGGCCGAAGCCATTGTCATATATCTTGATGATCTGGAGAGATCGGTGGTGCGTGAGGAGGGGGACAAGCGGCTGAACCACACGGGCACCGAAGGCGTTCCCGCTCAAGTTCAACTCGACGAGCTGTGGGCAGCTGCGAAGGCCAGTACAGATGGACGTGAGGGCTTGTGGGATCTCTTCGATCGTCCTGGTGCCGAAGATGTCTGACAGACCGGCGACCTGCGGCACGTTGTGAGAAGAGAACGACAGGTAAGATGATTGTGCATTATACCTTGAGCGACTTCATCTTGGACAGGTTTGTCCCCAAAGCTTCTGCCGCGCCGACACCGAAAGTGTTGTACGCGAGGTATATTTCCTCGATAGCTTCCAAGTCAACGCCGTCAAAGTGAGGGCTGACATCGGATTGCGTTTCGAGCCTAACGATTGCGAAGATCGAAGATTGTGGTCATAACGCCGCGGGTTCAATGCGAGATGGAGTGTCTGACCAGGGTCGTCTAGACTCTAGAGCTGTTATGTGGCCGCTGGCGAACCGGTGACCCACTGGCGCTGGACAACAAATCGATAAGCTGTTACTCCGACCATCAACCGCATATGTTGTCGAGGGCGAGCGCTGGCGTGGGCTCCGCCCACGATACTACAGGGCGATATTGAATGCTCGCCGCAACTGGGGACGTTCCCTGGGTCAAATATATCTGTTCGTAGTACGCAGCGGGTCCTGAAGAATTGCATACACCAAAATCACTCGGACGTACCTCCATGGCACATCTTCAATGTACTTGCAATCGAAACCGCGATGGAAGATCGAGAACATGAGTATATACCCGTACACGTACAACAAAGCCAACGTCCACCCGTTCCCCAGCACCACGTCCGAAGTCCGTCAAAGCCATAGGCATCAGTATCGCAGGGCGCTCACCGCTGGAGCTCCTGTTCTCGCTTGCGCTTGTCATAGCATTCCAGCGTGATGCTCGCCAAGAACCCAGGAATGCACTGCTCTTCTTCGATCCAGTACCGCATGAGCTGCGGCAGGTCCTCGGGGCCGCCGCCGCCCTGACCGATAAGCTGCATCTTCATACCTTCGCCCGCGCCCGTCGGCTGGAATACGAACACAGCGTTGAGGTCGTAGTGCGACGTCACGCGCACCTGGCCGTTCGGACAGAACGTCAACTTCACACCAAGGATGGACGCGGTCGCTTCCCTGAACTCTGCACTTTTCGCGTTGAAGATCTGCAAGATGCTTTGAGTCAGATCCTGCTCAGCGAAGAGACATACAGGATATAAAGCGCACCTGCTTCAGGCGAAGCAGCCGTTTCTCCTTCTGCCTGAGCTCCTCTTCTAATTCTTCCTTCTCTTTGTTCACTGCCTCGTAGCTCTCGCGGGGCACGAGTTCCACGTTGGCATCCTGGCCCGAACCGCGCACACCATTCTCCTCGAGATCCTTCAGCCTCTTCAGCAGTGCCTCGTTCTCGTTCTTGAGGCGGTCCATCGCGGCCTTACTCAGATCCTCCCACTGCTGCGCAGGGTTGTCGTGAAGGGAGAGAACGCGAACGCCGGGGGGAAGGTGTCGCCCTGCGCCGATCTCGCCCCGGAGCTCGAAGAGCGTCTGCTCGAGCTCCTCAATCTGCTCGAGTTGTTTCTCGCTTTCCGTTTCAGCCTCCCTTAAGGCTGTGAGACTCAATTATGAGACATGCCAAACGTTGAACGAGGGGTAGCGTCCGAAACGAACCTTTCTCGGCCTCCTCTTTCAGAGCGCGCTCCTGCTCGAGCAGCGCCAGGAGCCGCTGCTTTGCTTCAACGTCCTCCGCGATGACGGGGTTCGCGCGCGCGTCTTTCAGCTCCCTCTCCAACACGAATATTGTCTCCTTGTAGTCCTTGATCAACGCTCCCAGCTCTTGGATGGGCATCGAGGTATCGTTCTCCGATTTGACTTCCCCATTCGCGGCGTCCTCCGCGTTAAAACTCGCCTGTATACCCGTTAATAAGGGAGTGGCGTATCCTATGTTTCATGAGGACTTACCACCATGGCCTGCAAGAAGCTGACTTCGCGCTCGACAAGTGATGCTTTGTGCTCGCTTCGTAATGCCCGGTCCTTCAACTCACGAACTTCGGCACGGAGCTCCTTGACTGTCTCTTGTGCTCGAGCCTCGCGCTCCTGCAATCCAGAGAGTTCTTGCTCACGATGCCGGAGGAGAGCAACGTTCGACCCATGCTCTTCCATCAAGCGCACATGCGCTAATCGTAGGTTCGACAGGCTTTGTGTGACCGAGACGGGTGTCTTCGACGGGGTGGCAGGTTCGGCAGATGATGAAGCCCTGGGGAATAGGAGGACATTCAGTCGCAATGCCAGAGTCGGACAAAACCATGCAACGCACCATTCTTGCCTCTCCTTCCTCGCAGCATCCAGCTCAGCTTCCAATTTCACGACCTGCTCGCGCAACTCGTCCGCGCCGCGCAGCCTGCGTTCCAGGTCGCGCTTCTGCTCCTTCAGCACCTCTACGCTCGTCTGCCTTTCGTGCAGGATGTTGAGTTCCGCGCCCATCTTCGCGTTCGCGCTCTCTAGCTGGCGCACATACGTGGCCTGGCGGTGAAGCTCCTCCCGAACAACTGCCCAGTCCTCGTTCTGGCCAGCACCGAGAGTTACGCTGTCCTGCGCTGCGTTCAAGTCGTCGAATTGCGCCTGGAGTTCGTCGAACGCGCGTGCGCGCTCTTCCGCAAGCCGCTGGAACGCCTGCATCTGATTCTCAAGCAGACTGACTTGGCGGGTGAGTGTCGCTATTTGCGCCTTCTGGCCGGCGATGGTCTGGGACGTGCTTCGGGAGAGGTTTGAATGTTCCTCCTCCAAGTCGACATGTTGCTCTCGAAGAGTCATGAGCTGGCTGCGAAGGGAGCGAAGCTCGCCATCCGCTTTCCTCTGTGGGTGTGAACACCTTCAACATGACGCCCCAACGTGAACTGGGTGGTGCGTACCTTGTCCTCGAGGTGTTCCTCGCGTTCGCGCTCCTTCTCCTCGCGCTCTTCCTTCTCGCGTTCCGCGAGCCATCTCCGATCTCCTTCAAGCCTCTCTATTAGCAGGTCCTTTTCCCTCAGTTTGGACTCGAGCTCGAGCTTTGTAGTCTGCGCGGCGGCGAGCTGCCTCTCCAGAGATGCGTGGGTCACATGGGACGAGAAAGCCTGGGTACGCTGCTGTCGTTTCGAAGTGGAGAGTTGAGGGTCTGGCATGGTCGACAACAAACGTGATCAGCGTCGCCGTCCGGATCCTTGTGTTCGCCGGGTCACCACAAAGAGCACTCACCGCGCTCGAGTTCCGCAGCGAGCGAGTCGCGCTTGACGGCATTGCTCCGCGGTATGGAAGAGATGAATCGACTGGCGTTGACGGGCGTGGTGAACCTGTCAGCGTTGTTCATCGTGGCGGTCGGGGTCGGGGACGAGGAGACGCGTGCGGTCGTCGCGTGAGGTCAGAGGAAAGGCGCGTCGCCGGCGCCAACGACGCCAACGGCTCTAGATCTTGTACCGCATTGCTCTCCAACCAGCAACGCTCCGTGGCGACTTCTTACTGAACATGAGCGACGTTTCTGACCTGACGGACTTCGACGACGAGGAGGATGTCCCGCTTTCCAGCCAAAAGACCATGAAGTCGAAGGCGAAGGGCAAAAGCAACGCCCAGTCGGCCTACAGGATTCGCGGGGCGCTGCGGGCCCCTCGGGCGACCACCTATACCTGCCAGGCGTTGTATGGTGCGTATATACGCTGTATCACTCTGCCTGTACTTATGGCGCCACTGTTGCAGATCAGATCCATGCGCAAGACATAGACTTGCAGCCAGAATATCAGCGCGGTAGCGTATCCCTTGGTTAGGAGATAAGCCTCATCCTTACACCTCGTGCTCTAGATGTCGTATGGCCAGAGAGCAAGCAAATAGGTGTGTGGGATCGACCGTCATGCAGATATGCCGTGCTCAGCCTCTTCTAGGTCTCATAGATTCTATCTTCCGTAATTTCTATGTGCCACCAGTCATATTCGGTATGTGTCAGCATGTCTGCCTTGGCTTTCACTTGAACTTCCTGTCGCAGTCGTGAATACCATGGATGACGGAGGAGAGCGCCGTGTGTGTGTGGACGGGAAACAGCGCTTGACTTCGATCTATAGGTACGCCACACCCGTATTTCTTCGCGCGTACAGTCTGTTTACGTGTCGTGTATTCGTCGGTTAGGTTCATTGCAGGCGAAGTAAGCTCGTGCTGGTTTCCTCAGCGAAGGCAATGCTGACTTCGAGATTCGTGGCAGATACCTTGTGAGTGGTGTATTGACATACACTTATGCGCAGAGCTGATGCGCAGCTCTGAGGCGAATAGTTAAAGATGCGTGAGTATAGACTGCATGTGTCACTTGGCGTCTTCGATTCATAAGGTCCCGTGGACAGATTTTCGGGAGAGAAGTTCGTCTTCAAGGATACCGGCAAGATCAAAGCCCAAGTTTTACCGGACCACTACAAGAAAATTTTCCTCAACAAGCAGATCGTGTGTGACACGAACAGAAAGAACTATAGACAATGGCTAATGCACTCGTTGCCAGGTCTGTATGGAATATACGGATATAACACCAGACAACGAACGAGAAATTTTCCAGGTAATCATGCGCCACCACTACCCGCAGATCATCGCTAACGTGTCGTACAGAGAGTGCAGCTGGGTATGGCTCTGACGCCGGCAGGTATGCCCGATCGCTCTCATATTTGTGCGCTGTCATGCTGAAACGACTGTACAGAGAAACTTCAGGCCATCACTGGACCTCAGGCAGACTTCATTCGGTCCCTTCTCGACAAATATGTTTCGGATGAGCTCGCCAATAACCTTCCATGGGACACTAGTCGCGCCAACGACTTCAGGGGGCTTTCAATGGCTGTATACACCATGTCGAAGTGGCCTAAAGTGACGACCCTCCCTTCCCTGTCGGTGATTGAGGCGTGGCTTCAAGAGCCCGATGAGCTCGATGACGATTTCCGCGAGGACCTACATAATACTTATCGCATATTCTGCGCCATGGCCAAGGACCCAGTACTGAACAAGCCTTTCTGGCTCCCTGGAATCAAGAAGGTGGCGCCGATGGAGGTCATCGCTATCACAGTCCTCATCCACGCGAACAAGCTCAAGATGACTATGGCGCAACTCTCCGAAGCCATAGGCCTGATGCGGAAGGAGATCAGAAAAACGGAGAAGGATATCCGGCAGAATACGCGGACAATGAAACTCGTCCTGACTTTCTTGAAGGAGTTGAAGCCTAGCAGGCTGAAACCTGACCCCAATTCGCCAAAAGCTGTCGATTACCCTTCAGTATCTTCGAAACCGAAGTCGAAGCGAAAGCGACCTGCTGCCTCTGATGCTGAAGATGGTGAGTAGCTCTATGTATGCCTCGCAGTCTAAGTCTGACTGGCTCTATTGCGTTTGTACTCAACACAGAACCTCGACCCTCGCCCACTGTGCGCCTTCCCAAGACTTCGTCCCAACCTCCTCCCTCCACCACCAACACTCCAACAATACCTCCTCCATCTTTCTCCCCTTATCCGCCGCCGCCGACCGCGCCCGCTGTTCTTCGCACGAACGGTTCTGGACATCCGCTTCCATCGCGCCCACACGTCCCAATCCCTCCACAGATATCGGCACAACGGCAACATACGCTAAGCGAAAATTACACTCCGCGCGCAATGGCCGGTCCAAGTACGCAAGCCTATGATGCGAGTCGAGATCCTCGAAATCCTGCGTATCAGCTTCCACCGGGCGCGGGGCAGACATGGCCTCGAAGATGATCGGTCCATGATAACGCATCTACCTCTCTCTCGATTGCGTCGCTTCCTTCTCTTCGATTTCCATCGTCTTGTCGACCAACCTTGGTTCTGTATTTATACCGTGTTGCTGCAAATCATTACAGACCGTTATGGCAGAGATTATTTTGCGCACTCCAAGGCGTAAATACACAATTAAGGTACGAATGGGTATCGGTACGAACAACTGAAACAAATTTTGCATTTGCAAGTCCTCGTGCAATTCGGTTATCGACCTGAGGTTGCGCTCTCCTGCCATCAACTCCCTTGGAATTGCAGATGCAGTCCCGTGACATCTCGAATCCGCCTCAAGATCGTCGTGAGGGGTGTGACGAGCCCGTACGGCCCTCTTTCTGGCGCCGCATATAACATAGCCAGTGGTACCGCCATCGCGCCCCCGTCTCGCGCCGACGTTATAAGTGCACCCGCGTCCCCCCTTGCGGCGAACTTGAGGCTCTTCGTATCATGCGCAGGGAATACTGTCCACTCCCGCGCGATGTACCCCCCAATGATCACGCTTGCGGGCGCCCCGTTGACGACTCCGTCTCTGTATGGACCAAGCGGCCGCTCGACATTCGGGTCGCGAACGTGCATAGAGACCGACGCGCCGCGCTCGAGCGTGTCTGGCAGAGCATGCAGCGTGGCGGGGTTGTCGCCCGCCTTTCGCGCTATGCGCATCAGCGTCCAGGAGAGCAGGTGCGTGTGCTCGTCTGCCGTGGTTTTTGGGCGGTGCGAATGTCCTTGTGAGGAAGAGAGGTGGAGCTGAGATCGCGAGGCGTGTCGTTGATGCTCTGCGCCTGCGCTTCGTCAGCTGCGAGGACATGGGATTCAGAACGACGGGACTTACTGCTGCAGGGACGGATGAGCGCCTCCGCGGCGCATGCGTGCCCGACGTCGTATTCTTGGGGACGCGCAAGAGAGTCGACCAGTCGTTGGTACTCTGCTTCTTGCTGCTGCACTCGTCGCTGGATGGCTATCGCGGCGTCCCCTGGGATGGTCCTGCGCAGCTCCGCGTACATCCTTTCCCTTTCCAATCGAGATGCTCTGATCGCCTGCTCGACGATCCTCACAGCGGGGTTCGATAGCGGGCGACCTAGACACTGGATCGCAGCTTGTGAACTTCGGACGCGCTTTTGATGCCTCTCGCGCGGCTTCAATCGCGAGTGAAGCGCGAAGCCGGCGTGTGGCACGACTGCCTGTCCAGCGGTCAATCCGAACAGCGCCGTATCGTCGTCCGTTGAATGCAAATACCCCCCGAACGTTAACGCGCGTTGAGTGCTTTGACTGAAAAGCGGATCTCCAGGCTCGAGACGCTCGGGAACGGTCACCTTATCTGGGCTATACATGTCGAAGCTCGTCGCCGTCGTGAGGGGCTCCCCAATGTAGAGGTGGACGGGCACGGCGCTCTGCATCATGTGGACCATCTCGAGCACCTCAACGTTGAGCATCGTCGCGTGGAGCACGATCCCGACCGTCTTCCCCGCCTGGAGCTCCTCGCGGTGCAGACAGGGCACGATCGTCGCCCGGCAGCCGTTGATCTGCAGGAGCGAGTGGGCGATCTTTTTCAGCGCCGTCTCCGCCGCGGGGAGCGCGGGATGATTGGGGCCAATCGCCTCGTATCGCACCCGCACAGCGCGGTGGTTCGGGTTGTGGATGAACCTGAGGAAGCGGGGAAGCTGTACAGGGCATGTCAAACGCGAATGTGAGAAGGAGGACGCACCAATTGTAGCCGAGTTCTATGAGCTCATCCTCGACGCTGTTCGAGCGCGCACGGGTAGGGGGCATCGCTTGGGGATGTGCCGACGGACTCGTGCTCGAGATAGGTCAAAGGTGGGGGGCGACGAGAGTGATCAGATGGAAGGGGTGCCAGCTGGCCCTCTTCGAGTCTTTAGTATCAGCCTATCCATCCATGGGAGGACGAAATGAGCGCAGCGTGCGCTACCGGGAAGATGGATCGTGGGTCCGGCGTGCCTCCAGTTTAGCTTGCACGTCATCATTAACCCAGAGCATTGTCTGGCCAAGACCGGACTAGTCCGTTTTCGCGAAGCACGGGTGTCGGGCGATCTGTGCGCATCAGGCGTTCAGTATTCCCTCACCTCTATCCGGTCAACAAGATCGTACTTCTCGAACCCCTAGCCGAGGCTGTTTTCGCGTTCCCCTCCCCGTTTGCGGACGCGATCAGCTATGTAGCGGTCGCTGGTATTGTCTTCAGAAACCGACCACATCGTCGGGTGGCGGAGTCAGCGGTACGGAAGCTCCGTCGGGGAGGTTCCTCTATCACGGGGGAGTGCACTGCCACCAAATCCTTATTGTCTTTCGCTGCCACTTGACCGCCTCTAGAGTTCGGGTTCCCTCGCTCCTTCGCATGGGTCCCCGGACTCGGTCGCCAGAAAGCATTCGTCATTGACGTGCTCTCGACTTCCGATGAGTCTAGTATCAGATCAAGCTAGGCACAGATCACCAAATGCATCACCGAGCCTGACTCGCCGCTCGCCTGAGCAGGACTCCTTTCTCTAGCTCGCTCTGCACAAGACCCCTCTCTTGCCTTAAGATGATATGACATGATTACCGAGGTATTTAGTCGGCACCGCGGCGTCCGGAGCGGTTTGCTGTGCGGAATGCAGGTCGGACTTGAGCGACCTATTCATTTTCTTTGTAGATCTCTGGCTAGGAGCACATGCGACGGTGCCTAAGAGCTCACAAACCTCCTTCTCGGTGTATTATACGGCGCTGTAATTGGCAGAGTTCGTAGGGCATCGTGCTACTGGAGCCGCCGGCACAAGTCGAGAAGCTCGCCAAGGCCGAGGGTCACGTGCGCGCACGGCTGCCATTCAGGGATCGGGAGAAAGGCATGGTAGACTCGCCTCGCCCGGAGGAAATTGTATACGTATGCACAGGGGAATATTTACAAGATTGCAGCTTCATTGTACAAATACTTTCTGAATCCGAGATTTTAGGGGAGGTTGGTATCGCCGTCGAATATGACGTTGAGCCAGGCAGCGAGGCGGTAGCCCTGCTTCGCGAGCTGAAGGTCTATCTGAAGACGCGAAGCAACCGCTGAGTACTCTTTTTGCACCACGAGCGACATTTACGGCGACTCACGACTGGCACAGCCTTGGTGTAGTAGCTGCTCGTGCACAGATCCTCCCCAGACGTGTACGAAAACACAACAGACTATACGAAGGCCATCATTCCCTCGTCAGAACAGACATTCGATCGATGACAGGAAATTCCGAAGATGACACGCACGCAGCAGTTCGCGTTGGACTCCTGCGCCCAGACCAGCGGGCACTCGAGTGGGGTGATGGTCGCGCGCCGCTCCAAGTACACGTCCGCCTCCTCAGCCTCGGCGCGGGCTAGGAGGGCCTTGACGTCGTCCTCCAGCGTGTGCGACTTCTGGTAGAGGAAGCGCTTCTCGACGGGCTCCGTTGTCGACGTGCAGCTCAGCCATTTGGACGTGAGCGACTTGTACGAGCCAGTCTGCCGGGCAACGATGGGCATCCGAGTCGGTCAGCATCCCAATTGGCGCACGAACGGCAGGAAACGACGAGCGTGGGACATCGGCTGACCTTGATCTTAGCGACGAGGTCGGCGGCGTAGGTCTGGACGTCGCCGTCGTGGTTGTCGTCGATGTTCTTCGTAACTATGCCGGTATCTGCAACAGACTATGAGAGCTTCCAATCGTCAAAGGCTGTCTGGTAGCATACCCCATGCCTGGCGGAAAGTCACAGATGAGCTAGGATACGACTCTAATCGAAGCCCTAGCACGTACAGCATGCAAGTTGGTGTCTTTGCCAGAGCACTTGGCAGAGATGTCGTTACCGCCTACTTCGTAGGCCTCGACGTGGAGGGGCTGACCGATGTCGCCCAGGAACTGGATGGACGGCGAATGAGCTAACGATCGATGACGCGCGCTGTCCAAGTCTTACATGATCTGTGGAACATTTCCGATCAGCAATGCATGACCAATGGACAGGCGGGAGATGAGCATACCAAGGAACTTGAGCGCTTCCTGCCGCTGGGCCTTGCTGAGGCTCGTCTTCGCGACGCGAGTGGTGTAGTTTGCGATAGCAGTGAGGATGCAGTCTGAGTCACCACAGTCACGCGTCTCCTCGACAGAGCACGAGCCATTGAGGGGAGAGTCTTCAGCATCCACGAAGTGGAGGGGTGCAGACCAGGTGTACCCGGAGGTGTACTTGATGCTATCGGCCCACGTAGCTGCCGCGCCAAGGGTCTCGTTGTAGGTGGATCCAAGAGAGGACTGCACGAACGCCAGGGCCTTGGGAGCGAGGAACTCCTGGGCGACGTAACTGCATGGGCGGTCAATCGGATGAGACGATGCAATCTTGTTTGTTGAACCACTCACCCGACAGTCTCGTGGCCCAGATTTCCCCAGGCAAGGACACCTTGGGCAAAGGCGACGACGGAGAAACCAGCCAAGAGGGTGAGCATCTTGAGTGCAGTCCGACTTGTCAGGGCTTGATAGATCTGCTGCTGGGATATTTGGGGCGTCGAGGTAACGACGAGCTTCCGCAGCATCTATCTCACCTTTTATCTGTAGCGGCTACTTACAGGGTAGGCAGGCATGTACCACGGACGCACGTAGCACATGGTACCGCATGGTCAATGGCAGGCTCAACATTCAAGTGGAAAACGGCCATGCAACAGGCTGCTTCTTAAAGGCTTCGCATCACGACGTCCGTAAGCACACGTGCAAGACGGTAGCACAGCGGCCCCACGTTCGATAAGGGTGTTTCACGCGTTCATTCAAACGTTGACTGCATGGAATGTGTGGCGCTGCACCTCCATGATATAGGACGATCTTGCCGCATGATATACCGCTGCTAATGACGTCGCAAAGCTGGTCTGGAGGCAACGAGGGTGATATTGATACACCGGCGAGTGCTAGCCCGACCAGTATATGTAGTCAGATACCGGGACGAAGCACGCACCGGGCCATCGAATTGAACCGCAGATTATCTAGCGTTCATGCAGTCATGTTTCGGTGGGGTCCAAACGATGGAAGGTCATAGATAGAACACCGCTGGGTGAACGTCGGTGCCCGGGGACGATTTGCGACGGCTCGCCTGCACACGCTTACATAAGCGCCATGATCAAAGACAAACAGATGCAAAGGCGCTACCGCTCGGGCTCGGAGGAGCGCCTCTTTGAACTTGGACTGCTGAACTAGTACAGGCTCGCCCCTTCGCCGTTCCACTCGCAGGTATCTCAAATGGAATCATGATTCCAAGGGAAGGCGCACGCAAGGCGATTTTGTATGGAAGACATCTATTCCCTAGAGCATGCTCCGGGCAATTCAAGATGCCTCGGGACTTCGACCCTACCCCTCCACTTCTGCTGCCGTAGCCTCGTATTGCTCGATACTTCTGGATATCGATTGCTGGAAATCACGCACTACTCTGACCATGACCCTTCGGACGGTTGTGACGGCCTGGAGCTAGACAGGACGTCTTCGCTCTCGCGATTAGCCCAGTGCCTGCAAAGACCTTTTCCTGCTCGCGATTCCCATGTTATGGCGAAGGCAGCGTTCTATCGCGCCCCTTCTTCGTCTCGCTTGAGACACTCCAAGATTGACGAGTCAGGCTACTACTGTGAGTTCAAGCCTTTATCTACCTCACACATACCTCACACCCCTAAGGGCTTCGTTAGGGAGACCCTTGCATACAGCTGGTGCCGTCTCCGAGCATATGCGACATACATACTGAAGCTCGACGCACTCGATGTATAAGGTAATGACGAACCAACACTGTGGTATGTCGTGCTGTGTTCTACCCCCGCTTCCCAATCTTCATGAACTCCAATGGCGTAAAAGGACGACGCAGTGCATTGCGCCCGAAAGCCTGATTTCTCCATTCTCTACAAAGTTGACGTATATCTGCACACGTCCGCCTAACCAACATTAGATTGGAGAGCACTCCAGATGTGGATCTGACTCTGGATGCCTCTCTCCGCCGCACTTGTAATCGCTCCCCGGCTCTCTCATACTTCAGTGCCACACTCAGATCCATGCCCTACAGGGCTATCCCTCGTCCCTGGCCTGCGATATTTGTAATCTTTCTAGCTGCGTTTCAGCGATGCTCCGCACACTCCCATCTCACGAGCGCATGACCTTTCCCTCTTCAGTCATGCCGAGATTCTAGTGCATCTTGACATCGACCGCGAAGTTATCTACACACGTTTCGGCCACCCTTGCAGCAGCTTCAGGGCCCTCCAGTATCTATCGCTGTGCCATGGCTCCTCAGCGATGAGTGCTACGTCCTCTTCGCTTCTCCCGCTTTCGCGGACGCTATCGCGTCCCTGCTCTGTCTCCGAAACATGCGCGACCTCAAGCTCATCTTCATCATGGATGCCCAAGTGATCGGGACCTATGCTCAAGCGCCTACCGTTGTTGTCTTCACGGCTTGGGAAGCCGACGGCCCGGGCGCCCCGGTGCTCGAAGCGTCTGTGCGTCGCGCGCCTGTGTCTTCCACACCTACAAGTCTCCGCGGCTTGGAAACGCGAGAGTGGTCGTTGGGAAATATTAGATTGCGGGAACTCGTGGTGAGGTGAGTCGACGCGGACGACTACTTGGTCGCGGCTGCACTTGTTGATCGGATCTGGAGAGTCGCGAGGACTTGTGGGGAAGTTCACTCTTGCATACCCTGGAGCAGACTACGCAGAGATCGCAGTGTTCGAAGTGATCGTGTTCCTTAGAGAAAAATCCAATGCGTTCGGTGAGTTGTTTTACTGGCATTTTGGAACTAGCATCCGTTCACTTTGTCATTCACCCGCAGTCGTCGTGCTCTCGAAAAGCAGGGAAGAACGCTGTCTTCTAATGTGATATATTGTCTCTGTTCGAAGTCTGACGTCTGTGGTAGATATACCGGCGTGTGGCTGCCGGTCAAGTCGGGATATTATACACGACACTCAGCAGCGGTCATCTCGGGTTGTTATCTGAGTGCGGGTGCCTCGAACCTGATTGTCTTGATCGCATTGCGGTGGCTCAATGACTGTTCGGTGGCTGTTTTAAGCGATCTGAGAAGTCGTCCTGGATTTAGGTGCGTCTCACCTCAGTTGTTGAGGTGACAAAGTGGAGAACTGACAATGCAGACATGCTGCCGTCATGGAAGAGAATGTTGTGGTGCCAGAATCCATCATGATCGATGATCCCTGTTTCTGTGCCTCGGCAGCCAAGGTTTTGCTCGACAGCCAATTGCCGCAGAGGTTGTAGCGGCGATCCAAATGCTGTGCCTTCAACGTCGATGTGCTTCGCGAACTGTCCACCATACGACAGACTCAGGGGGCGCTGCTCGAAGGGAGGAAGGGCCTTCTCTATCTGAACGACAGATGAATACGTCTGTGGACGTTCTTGTGTCATTGTTCGTAAACGACGACTTATGTATCGTAGGAGCTTGATTCCATGGCACTTTGCGTGTCTTGCTCATTCACTGCTTCCTCATCGCTTGTTCATTCGTTCCACGAAGACTACAGCTCAACTCAACCTGGTATGGATGAAGATGACACCCTCGAAGCGCTCCGTCCCAGGCTCGACAATACCCTTGGGGCGACGTTCGTTGGGTTTGCCTGCACTTGCATGTACGTACCCCATCTTCCAGTTTTTGAACCTTTCTGAGAACTTCATATTGTAGCGTGTATGGCGTGACGTCGCTACAGACGTGGATGTATTTCTCATACCGTTTCCGTGACGGACCTTTCCTCCGTACCACTGTGGCCATCTTGTGGCAGGGATTTTTATGAACTCACATATGGGGAACCAGTGCGCTCATCCACTTATCCCTAATGTTACCAGGGTGCTGGATACGTTGCATGTCACTTTCTTGGCCACTGCAATGTACCACTATGCTGTTACCGAGTTCGGCGACTACCAAGGGGTCACAAAGCCATACTGGTGAGTCTGGGTATCGAGGTAACGGCTTAGCCTGCTGATGTTACGCCTTGAATGACTTTCTACTCAAGGGCACTCCTGGTATGCGATTTCCAGTGTGGCGGTCTACGTTGCTCATCGTTTGTCTTTGGACCTGGTCAGGCAATCGTCATAGTTGGTGTAAGCACACGGCCTACCCCTGAAAACGAATGCAAGACCATCTCTGATCCAACCTTGACTCCTTCGAATACAGGCATTGAGCAATGCTATCGTCCGCTGGTACGACCATGTTGCCTCTGTGGGCTACGGTTAACACGCTTGTGGCTTTCAGTGTCTACAGTATGCGTGTCTTTAAGCTGAAGAGTGAGTCTCCTGAAATGTGCATCTCTATCTTCATAACGCTATTGCTTGCGCAGGTTCTTGTCGCTGGCTTGTGCCTGTGATACTTGTGGTAAGTATTGGCACGATTCAGGGTCCATTGCTCCGACTCTATATTCATAGTCTCCTTTAGAACGTACTCTCATTTGTCGCGTTCGGTATGTATTCTTTTGTCCCTCTACCCTGTCGAATGTCTGTCAATGCTGATTCTATATGTAGCTATTGGGACGTGTGAGTGCACTTCCCAAGTTCGAAGCAACCACCTTCACCATTAAGCTATCATTGCCGTCTAGACTTCGTCAGCCAATGGTGCGTCGTGCCACGTTCAGACATACATCGTCTCAGCTGACAAGCATTTATCTCTGAAAGTATCGAATTGCCTACCTTGTTCGAGATACACAGTCTCGCCGTGCGTCTCCACCTGCTCGTATTGCCACCGCCGTAGCTCATCTTCCATCGCTTCACTTGAAGTCAAGCTTCCGTGCTGGTTTGGTAACAGACATAGCTGCAGATGTCGTTGTCACCGCTTCGCAGCTCGTGCTCTTCCGAGGGATTCGTATGGGGCTGCACAGGTAGGCCCCTCTGGAACAACTCAGTGCGAAGTCATGAGGGCTCAATTGGTCTCTCCAGGTGGGATTCCGTGATTACGATCCTCATGAAGTACACCGTCAACACCGGCCTGTTGACAACGTAAGCCTTGTGCCGTCTTTCTTCAGCTTATGGCACCTAAGCCATGTTGGACATCCGAAGCTTCTCGGCGGTTATGGCCTTGATAACTGTAAGCTAGATATCCTACCGGGAGTCTACCTGCGTTGCTGATACGTGGTTGCACAGTTTGCAGAGCTCCCTAGTAATTCGTTTGTGTATATGGCATTCTACTTCATTCACAGTAAACGTGAGCGGTGATGCTTTTTCTTCTAATGATTCTAGGCGCTGATGGCGCGGAAGTATATGTCAACTCACTCCTTGCCACGCTAAATGCGCGAGCAATCGCTATCAAGCATGTATTGGAAGATCAAGAGATCTCGACGGAACAACTGCTTACAACCGGTTTGGAACTCGCCATGTCGAACACGACTACGACCGCGCCCCCTGGTCAGGTGCATCACGAAGGCCACTGGGACACCGGAGACCGCCCGTAATATCGCGAACAGACCTTGAGATGAGGCCTCGAACAATGACACCATAGACACCTCAGGCTCGGATGGACGGTGAGAGCAGTTGCTTTTTGCATAGGCATGTGATGCGCTAGCAGCCTTAGCGAGAAGGCTTGCATGTATGCGATCTATTATATAAGCGGAAGACGCATTCCATTGGCCGAGGGCGGGGACACAGACCGCGAGGCAGGACCGAAAGCGAGCTTGAGGATCTCAGGCGCCTACTTGGGTCATAGCCGCAGCGCACGTGAATATAGCAAACGATGTGGTAAGCGCCTGCGAGCAGAGCTCATTGCGCCTTCCCTTCGTAACCATCGACTACGTTGATACCCGCTGCAGTTCGTCTCCTCCTTCTGCTTAACACTGCCTCCCAATATTATTGCAGCATACTCTACCTCCCCAATATCTGGAACACCTTATGCCTGGCTCAGCTCTAGAAATAGATATCGACGGGTTCTGCCGCGCATTCCAAGCGTCCAAAGAATCTCCTTCCTACAGGCGAAGTGTCCACCCACAGCCGTTTCTAACTCTAAGGAACGCAGATGATATGCCTGAGGATGTTATCTCTGAGAGTCTCCTGAGTCTGTCTCCCTGTTCCAGAGGCGTGGTCTGACTTCATGAGTAGGTCCGGGCAATCAACGACTGCTGCGTCACTCCCGGCTCGGTTTGCTCGACTTACGACCCTCGTCTATCACCAAACAGGAATGAAGCGATGAAAGACGCAGCGATCTTGCGCAGCGAGCATCTCTCTGCTGCACCTTCATGGTTTGACCGAACAGTGCCGATCGTGATAACTCGCCACTATACCGGTGGCGATCCATTCGACAACGGTGAATACAAAGACAAATATGGCGAGATACACGAGGAGAGGACAGCGGTTCTGAATCGCCTCACTGGAATCGCAGAGCACCTTTTTGCTGCCCAACACCGCGTCTTCCTCTTCATGCTCCTTCTCATCGGCCGCAGGTTCCGTCTAGTCCGGTGGGATCTCGCGAGAGTCATCACCACTTCTTCCGTCGATTATTTCGATAGCTCATCCACAATTTGCGATATCTTATGGCGCCTGTCCCTCCTTGACGCCACTGCGGTACGCTTCGATCAAAGCGCTACCCGTGTTCAGCTTGGAGACGTCGACTACCTGCGAATGGATCTCGCTGCTGCCAAGAGCCCCGCCGAAATAGATCATGAGGAGTAAACTCTCATTGCACGCGAAGCGTACAGACCCATCATTTTGGATATCCCCGCACCCTCTTCCGCTCTACACTATCTCCCGATTGGCCTCGCTATAGACTCGACGTCACTGATCGCGACACTACCCGTAGCTTCCTCGTCGGCAAGCCTATGTTCCGGGCTGGCGGAACAACGGGGCGTAATACTCGCGGATATGTCGCCTTGGACTGCGAAACCTGTCGGTTTGTGTGGCTGAGAGACACGTGGCGGGATGCTTATGCGATTTCTGAGCGTGAAGGGGACGCGCTCCGGAGGCTAAACGAGGCAGGGATAGAGAACGTACCTACACTTATCTGCCCCGGGAATGTCTGTGGTCAAACCACTGTGACGACCGAGTGGTGGGAGCGCAAGAATCTTCCGTCTAACCAGTCGTCATACCCGTGGTCCGACCCTGCGTCCCATCCGTCATCTCTGACTTTGGCTGGCTCAGCATCTATTAGCAAACGGAAGAGACCTGAGGACGTCGCAAATGTCGCGGCACCGTCACAGCCTGGTGGGCGACGCGCCCCAAATACCCCGACGCACTCCAATTTCCCGCTCAGGCAGGATAAGCACTACCGGAAAGTGGTGGAGGAAGTTGCACTTCCGCTTAAGAACATTCGGAACTGGCCTCCGTTGTCTTGGACGCTATTCGAGGTGAGACTTTTGGGACGTGTCTCTCTTCCTATGCTGATGTATCACTGCGTAGCCCATCACCAAGCGGCTACGAATCCCAAGACTCGACTTCTACATCGTGACATCAGCGGCAGAAACATCCTCATATATCCCAAGGTGAAGCGCGACAGTGACGGAACAAATCCTGCGATCGTCTGGACTGGTCTTCTTGTCGACTGGGAGCTGTCGAAATCCATTGACGATGACCAGGCGCCATCGAAAGCGAGTCAGGCGGAGCGCATGGTGAGTACCTCTCATAGCAATCTCTTGGGAAGTGCTGACGGAAACCTATAGGGAACATACCAGTTCATGTCGGTCAACATCTTGACGAATCCTTTGACGCCTGTCCAAGTCTCGGATGAGCTCGAGTCGTTCTTCCATGTCCTCCTCTACTATTCCCTCCGCTATCTTCGCTCCAATTGCAAATGCCCGACATCGTACATCGAGAAATATTTCGAGAACTACGCCGGCCCCGGGCGCTTGCATACGTGCGGGTGGAAGTCGTGGGCTATCGAAGTCGACTACTTCCTGAGCAACCAATACCCCGCGTGTCCGCTCCTATTCGACAGTACGATGTACGAGATACTTGGCACTATTATGAAGTGCTTCCAGGTACTCTACAAAGTCAGGAAGGCCAATGGTCGGAAGACAAGACCTCCGCCGCTGCCGCCGAAGCTTCCGCCACCCAAGCCTCCAGCTCGGATTCCTGTGATTCGCTTCTTCGGCGACGACGCCAAGCTAGCAAGAGCCAAGATGCCGGCTCCTCCACCAGTAGATGACACTCCAACCTCGGAGGATCGGGAACGAGCGAAGAAGGTTACGGACCACCAGTTCATGATCGAGCACATCACGAAGACGCTCAGTAGCTCTGAGTGGCCAGACGACGATTGCGCACCCCCACCTGCTGTCAAGACGCAGACTTCTGTCTCTGGATCTCATGGCCAGAGTGCGAGTACCCGGACCTCCCGACCTACGTACGTGAGCAACAAGCGACGGCGGATCGCTGGACCGGAAAGACACGTCTCCCTTCCTGCGCGCCTCCATGCGTCAACACGGCGCACGCGTGTCAAGCCGTGCACCCTCCCCGTGAGCGCTGCGTCATACGATTCCTATTCCCTTGGTTACGCTTGAGTGATGTCTTATCATCTTTCCCTTCTCACTCTCTCCCGTGTTGCCGCTCGCGCTCTTTCGGCGTCCCCACCCCTTCGTCGAATGTATTACGTCTTCATTTCCTTCCTATCTCTTGTCCTCTTGTGCACTGTGCCGTATTGAGAGACACAGCACCGTGTAATATCAGCGACGTCGCAACTTGAAGAGAACCAGATTTGGCACTTGGCGTCTGTCAGGACATATGCAGTAATGTAGACGCTGATCGGAGGGGCCCTTCGCCACGTCATGAAGAATTCTTCCTGTGCTGTCGAGATCCGCTGCTTGCCTTGCTCTCAATGGCTTACATACTAGGCATCTACGGTACACTGTAACACGAAGGAAGCTCAAGAACCCATCCCATTTCGCAATTGGGCAGCTGGGAGAAGCGATTGTTTACCATGTCGCGCCGGTGCGACCCTCATCTGTTGCCGCACTTCGAAGCCGATGTTCATTCCGTCACTGATCGCTATATGACTTCTGAAAGGCAAGTCATCAAAATACTCGCGATTAGGCGTATCCTGCATATCGGTTCCAATCGACCTACTCCTTCAGGGACTACCTCAAGTCTCAGTGCCACAAGCGACTCCTGAGCTACCCGGGTAGGTCCGGCTCTCTCACATCGACGCGCTCTATTTCGTCGCGATGCGCCCGACGATTCATCTGTGCCTCCAACATCTTCCATATGGAACAAATCGCTGCTAACCTTGGCAGCCGGCACGCGCATTCTGCTACAACAGTCGTCCTATGGGAACGAAATATTCTTGACACTGAATATATAAGTCCGTACATCATTCTGAGATGTTTTCAGCTCGAATTTAATCAAGGACGCGGGCTCCGAGAGGGGGACCTGCGGCACCACCAGAGGTGTGCGGGCTCAGCCTCTTCTGCTTGACCCCAGGGTCAGACCTTTTCGAGGAGGAACGTGAACATCCTCTCGCGCTGAGTGGTCACCAGCCCTTTTGTTATCGAACACCCCCGTACCCTCTTGCACTCTATACTGTCTCCCGAATGGCCTCGATGTGGACTCCGGATATCTGATCGCGACGCTACCCGCAGCTTCCTTCGTTGGACAAGCTATGTTTCGCATTGGCGGAACAACAGGGCGGGGTACTTGCCAATACGTCACCTTCGATTGCGTGCCGTATGCTGATTCCTCCTCGCTGAACCACTCTCAGCTCAGATCTTGAAGAACGGTGTACCTTACTGCTCATAGGTTTCGGGGATCACTGTTATACGGACCGCCGCAGCGCTACTAGCCTTACATGTGAGTAAGAGGCAATATTATGTCCACACCATCCCTGAGTTGTCATCACATCCGAAGAAATATGCTATAGACATAGTAGCCACTAGGTGCATGTCGTCGCGAAATAATCATCCATAAGAATGGCATCTCAGCTCCCAATATGGCCTCTCACGCAACCTACACAGAACTGTGGTATCCCGCTTGTCAAGAATCGAGATCATGGGTCGGTGAGTGATTGAAGGTGCATGTGCTACAAATATTGGCTGCCAGGTTGCTGCACGTGCCCGTCTCTGCGCCCAGGACCAAATGATTTGTGCAACTATGGGGCAAAAAAGGCCAGTTCTACCTTTATCATTCTGACTATATCTACTGTATGAGACTTATTGCGAGGATGAGGGTAGACACTCAACTTGCCGAGAAAGGAAAGTCAGCGATTATGCCTATGAGCACTGACCGTACGCAGTAGTATTGTTCCCCATCGACACATAATAATCAGCACTCGCTTAGTGCACTCGCTTAGTGGAATCTGGGATTATCAGAATCACGTTGCAGATGCCCACCATTCTTCAACTTACGGAGCTTTAAAGAGCGATCACGGGCCGCTACGCAGGTGAGCCTCCTACTCTCCACCCATGCCATCCCCCATGGCTTCGTCGGCCAGCATTGCGGTCTCTCCCCGCAAAATGGACACTAGCGCTCTCTCCATCGGCAGACTCTCCGACCTCAAACAACGTCGTCTCCAATACACCGAAGAAATGGCCAAACATACGGTCCAGTTGGAGTCAGTCACGGAATACCTTGACATCCTGCTTCCTCGTACCAAAGACATCCCGGAGCTTCCTAAGTTGTCCCGAAACCCGTTCAAATCTCTGAAAAGAGCTGATGCAATGGTGGAGAAAGACGTTACGGATCTTTTCGTAAGTTCTCTGTATCGTAACCACCGTGCATCAATTGACGCCTGGAGCAGCTCGAAGCCGTTGAAACTCACCATCTCTCTCCAAATCTGGCCATGCGTCGCTCTGAATCCAGACCTGATTCCATATCACTCGACGTGACCAGACAGAAGGTGGACGCCGCTTTTTTCAAACCCGAAGACGCGCCAAACGATGGACGCCCCCATTGGATCGACCAGTATCTCCCTGTGGAATTCAAGAATCGTAAGCAGGGTAACAAGTTTGATCCCTTTGATGATCGCACGCATGGCATCGTTGAGGCCGATGCGATTCTACGCAAGCAGAGTAGAGGCCAGGTCATTTCGTACGCTGAGCTCCTCCTTGCTCTGCAGCATCGCACCTTCCTCTTCATGCTCCTCATTGTCGGTCGCCGTTTCCGCCTCTTGCGCTGGGACCGCTCTGGAGTCATCATCACTAGGTCCACCGACTATTACAAGAAGCCGGAACTCCTGCGCGAGTTTCTGTGGCGGGTCTCCTACGCGTCGCCGGATGCACTTGGGTTGGATCCCACCGCTGTTCGCCTTCCACGGACACCTCGTAACATAAGCGAGCTGCAAGGCATACTCGCGGATCTCGAGAAGCGTGCAGTGGACCACACTCCTCGCCAGCTGGAAAGCCCGTTCCCGAAGAATCACGTCTTCCGCTATGTCTTAGATCTCTTCAAGGGATCTATCGCGGTCGAGGAGTGGCCACTTTACCACCTATGGATCTCAGAGCGTTGCTTCCTTGTCGGAAAGCCTGTATCCCCTTCCCATGGGGTCGCTGGTCCCGGTACCCGTGGTTATGTCGCTTACGACGTCAAAGAGAAGCGCCTCGTGTGGCTCAAAGACACATGGCGTACGTGGTACGATGGAGTCGAGGCGGAGGGTCAGGTTTTGGGCCGATTGAACGACGCTGGAGTTAGAGGCGTTCCTACCGTCATATGTCACAGTGATATTGGAAACCAGGTGACGACCACGGGAAGGCTGTGGGAGAAGAAACACCCTCTCCCAGATGCTCATCCACACACGGATCCACCGCCTTTGTTCTCCTCCTCCACAACTCCCCCTTTCCCCGTGGCATCTGGCTCGGTAAACCGGAGATCCGAGACCGGGAAGTCGCGCGGGAAAGACAACAAGAAGCGGAAGCGCGAGAGCCTCGATACCCACTACACTACTCCTACGCCACTTGAGCCCCAGGATGGTTACGTTCCGAGGTTCCGTGTTGATTGCCCTATTGAACATCGCAAACATTGTCGTATCGCTTTCGGAGAGGTCTGCTTCCCGCTCAAGGAATTTCTGAACGCCCAGCAACTGGTACACATCATCTTACAATGCATCTACGGTGAGTGGCGCCTTACATTGTTCTAAGGGAAGTTTGTGGCTGACTTGTCTCTCTGCTAAGCGCATTACGCAGCAGCAGCGTCACACAAGCTGCAAGTTCACGTTCTTCATCGTAACATCACAGATCGCAATATCATGATCTATCCTAGACTGAAGAACACGAAGCCGGGCGTCGCTCCGGCAGTGGAATGGACCGGAGTTCTCATCGATTGGGCCTCTTCCAAGCCTATCGTTGGAGACAATGAGCTGCACTACGCTCGTCAGCCAGTATTCATAGTATGTGAAGCCTTTCTCTGTCTCGAATTATTTTGATCAGTGTATTTTAGGGGTGTTGGCAGTTCGCATCCGCCAATCTCCTCACGAACAGCTTACAGCCAGTGAAGAATGCGGACGAGCTGGAATCTTTTCTCTACGTCCTCATATACTATGCGGTACGATACCTCGAGTCCAATTTATGCGACTACGACGTAGCTTCGTTCATCGACCAGGCTTTCGATTGCTACAGCGTCTATCAGGAGAAGATCATCGTGGGCCAGCACAAGGCGATACTCCTTCGTTTGGGCAAGCTCGTGTACAGCTCCTTCGACGTCATTGATATATCCTTCGACAACCCTCCCTTGGATTCATTGATATCTGAGCTCCTTTCATGGTTCCAGGTCTACTACTCCGAGGCGAAATTGTTACCCACGACTCCCTCGATACACAAAGCTACTGCTCGCGAATGTCCCGGATCTCCTACTCCCCCACCCAAGAAAGTCGCCAAGCGCTTGGAGCCGGCAAGCAGCTCGATCCGTAGCCATATCACACACGGCAACAACAGGTCGAGAGCAGCTACGGCGGGCGGCGACCAGCCGCCTCAGTCGAGATCCGATGAATCGCCATTGGAACGGCCGCCACCACGGAAGATCACCATACCATCGCACAGAGGCATGATTTGGCGATTCCTTCAAGTGAACGATGATCCGTCATGGGTGTCTCAGCCGCCCGTGGGAGATCGCGTCCAATCGGCTAACTATACATCCAACGTCACTCTCTTGGATACTATTGAGGCAGCAACTGTGAGACCTGGTGCTAAGCTTCCTCTTACCGTGCGGAAGAAGCTCTAGAAGCCCGGAGGGTAAGCCGCAAAATCGGACCTCGTCGGCGGTAGCCCTCTGTCATTTGTAGTAACGAGTATATGACTCTCTATCTCTTGCCATGACTCCGTCCACCACTCGAACGTTGTAATGAGTACCATATGCCTCGATGTTGTCGAATGTCTACTTGTGTTATGAACCCACAGTCAAGTTCTTTAGCTATGATCACTGTATTGTAATTACTCTACTACAATCTCGTGATCAACGAATTAAGTTCTCTGATGTACAGTCCTGGACGAGTCTCGAGTCATAGTCTTATGAGGGCGATCAAGGTCCAAAAGAGGCAAGTCTCAGAATTATGCACCTTGACGGAGCTCCCCGTCTTTGCTGCCCATTGCCAGTGCCCATAACTTGAATCGAGCTAGAGGCTGAGCCAGAAGCGCCTACACCAGTTGGGCGCTTCTTGGAGCTTTTTTGGCGCTTATTCATCCCTAGGGATGAGTTTGGCGCGCGTCCGTATGTTCGACTTGGACCAGAACCACCATTGTGCGCCGCTTTTGGCTCCATTACGACTACTTCCTCTCGTCTTGAGTCCACCGCCCACATCACATCTCCTCTACCACTACCACGTCTCTGTCCCAAGTTTCCGCCTATCGTTATCCTCGATGGCGAAATCGGCTGCCGAACTTGGCCTCGACCAATTCTGCCAGGCATTCCTTCCGTGCAGAGAATTCGCATCTTGTATGAAACCCTTGACACAAGTACCTCTCGGAGCACTCCAAAAAGCCGATTCTCTATCTGAAGCGAAGCTTTCCAAGCTTTTCGTGAGTCATTCTCTCGCTTCTTTCCCATATGCAGCTGACGATTACAATAGATCGAAACTGTCAATACCACCCACATCCTGTCTCATGCGACCGTGTCGCGCTTTCCGTCTCCGGAAGAGAACAGAAAGGAGGCCGTAAGAACGGACGCCGCGATCTTCCGTCACAATTCAACGTCTGTGGTTACGACGCCATCTTGGACCGACCAGATCGTCCCAGTGGCGTTCAGCCCCTACTTTCCTGGTGGCGATCCGTTTGATCGCGCCGTCTATGACGATCCGTATGGCGCGATTGAGGCAGAACGCAAGCGAGTCTTCGATCGCATATCGACCATAGTGGATGTCCTCTTCGCCGCACAACAACGCGTTTTCGTTTTCGTCCTTCTCGTCATCGGACGTAGTTTCCGACTAATTCGATGGGACCGCGCCGGAGCTATCGTCACCTCATCCGTCGACTACTACACCAACCCAACGGCGCTTTTGGACTGCCTGCAGCGCATCTCTGCCCTCGACGACTCCACACTCGGGTTTGATCCAAGCGCTAGTCGCGTCCTCCCCGGCGACGTTGACTTCCTGCGGATGGACATAGCCGCTCTTGAGCACTCCACCGACGAGGATCATTCCGAGCGCGACCTCGACCGCGAGGTATCCGGGGACCGCATGGTCTTCCGATATGCACGCACGCTGTTCCGCAGTTCTCTGGCCACTGACTGGCCACGCCACAAACTCCGAGTACCCTGTGGTTCGTCTTGGCGCTACTACCTGGTCGGAAAACCAACATTTCGAGCCGATGGGGCCATAGGGCGCGGAACCCGTGGTTACGTCGCTCTCAACTGCGAGACGCGTCGCTTCGTGTGGCTGAAAGACGCCTGGCGCGCAGCATACATGATATCCTGCAGGGAGGGAGATGTCCTAGAGAAGCTGAATGAGGCGGGCGTGGAGAACGTGCCGACCCTCGTATGCCATGGGGATATCGATGATCAGGTGACTGTCACCGCGGACTGGTGGGGACGCGACTCGGAACGGCCATCCTCTGCTGCACCCTCGACGTCTTCTAGCCAGGGTTCTCCAACATCGTCAGCCACCCTTGTGGAGTCGGCCTCGTCTGGCAGTAGGAAGCGGAAGAGAGGGGCGGCGGACGAGGCTACACTTCCGCCACCCGGAGATGAACGAATGCGCAACCTCGTCACGCGCTCTGATCACCCCTTGCGACAACACCAACACTACCGCATCGTGGTAAAAGAGGTTGCATTTTCGCTCAGGAATGTCCAGAACGGACGGCAGCTGGCATCCGTCGTTCTCGATACTGTTCAAGGTAAGCGGCGTCTATCGACATTTGGGATCGCTGACTTACCCTGCGCTCGCAGCACATTGTCAGGCAGCCACAAACCCCAAGACGCTCCTTTTACACCGTGATATCAGCGCTGGAAATATCCTCATTTATCCACGAGTTAGGCACGGGAAAGATGGCACGAAACGTGCGATTGTTTGGACAGGCATCTTGTGTGATTGGGAGCTTGCGAAGCCTGTGGACGACCAACGTGCCCCATCAAACGCTCCGCGCACGTCCCAGATGGTCAGTGTTTGTTCGTTTTCCCCTCAGTCGCTCGACCATGATGGCTTATTGCTTGAATTTAGGGCACGTACCAGTTCATGTCGGTCAACCTCCTATCGAACCCTTCAAGTCCAAGTGTGACGATCGCGGACGAGCTGGAGTCGTTCTTCCATGTCCTATTCTACTATTCTCTCCGCTATCTCCGCTCCAACTGCGAGTCCCCGGATTCGTACATCACCAACTACTTCAACAGTTACGCAGGCCCCGGCGGCCTACACTCGTGCGGATGGAAATCGCTCACGTTCCAAGTAGATGACTTCCTCAGCCTCCAGTTCCCTCATAGTCCTCTGCTCTTCAACAGCCCAATGGACGACCTCCTTGAAGCGATCTTGAAGTGTTTTAGGTCGCACTACAAGCTTATACGAGACGATTTGCGAAAAGCGATGCCTCCACCTCGTCGTCGCACACCGCCCCCTCCTGAGTCCCCCGGCAAGAGAATGACGTTCTCTGTTTCCGATATTGTCTTCTTCGGGGATGACGCGAACGAGGTCGACGAGGACGATGCATTCGACAAGTATCGTCCGGCTGACAACACTCCGTCGGAAGAGGACCGGGCACTCGCAAGGAAGATCATGGACCACAAGTTCATGCTCGAGTACATGACGCAGACGCTCCGGGATACGTGTTGGCCAGAGGATGACCGGATACCCGAACGTCAAAATCGGCCTTCGACTGCTGTTAAGCCGGTCGCACCCGCCGATACTTCTCGACCGCAACATGGGAGCCATAAGAAGCGGCGCATAGCTGGTCCCGAACGTACACATGCCACCCTTCCAATCCGTCTTCATGGATCGACACGCCGGCTGCGGAGTAGCGCGCGTACCGCTCCCGTCTCTGCGAGGTCATGATGTGCTCGCGCTGTGGCTCAAAACATGCGCCGTTCGTGTGCAATCCTCGGGAGACTCCTCTCCGTGCTTGCCTGGTTTCCCCGTCTCTGCTCGTCTCCCCGCGATCCAACCCGATTCCGCACGTAGTACCCCATCCATTGATCATAAAGTCGGGACTCACCTCTACGGTGAAGCCTTCCCGTTCGTCACCAATCTCATAGTAGTGCATGAAAAATCAGACGTGATACGATACTCAGAGCCCGGCCCTTTCGCTGTAACTTATGTTTTACTCTCCTTCCCTTGTTGATGCTTGTCGGTAACACTGTAGTAGTAGTAAGTTCATCCCAACTGACGTCGGATTCTTCTCTATACACATTGATCGCCCTCCTTTGAGGGCGAGTCTTTCCTTGCATGTCTGTTCTTCAAACGTTCAACGTTCCGTTGGCGCCATTGCGTTGAGCGCTTGTTCGATCTGCGGCTGTTTGGTGATTGTGGCGCGCGTCTGTATTGACGTGTTGAACACCAACATGCTATGGTGCGGTTCAACTAAACGCCACCAGTTTTGCACAGAGCTAAGCGCGCGCTTAAGTGGTCACGTGACTTCCCTGAGCCTGGTGGTCGTCGAGAGGTTGCATAGGCCAACGTACTTGTTATAGTAATGTACATAGTAGTGAACGAATAGGAATACAACATACTATGACAACCACATCATCTTGCTGAACCTCCTGTACTCAACGCCAACTTATGAAATGCCTAGACGCAAGAAGGCCTACCTAGCGGCAGCAGCTGGTACGTTACATATAGACTTTTCCCTATAAATTCACTTACTCACTTTGCAGGCCGTATATGCATATTCCTGCCTAAATTCCATTGCGAAAACAACTTCATCGAGTACTTCTGGGGTGCGGTGAAACATTGCCTCCGAGAACACTGCGATTACACCTTCGACACTCTCCGGGAGAACATGCCGAAAGCCTTGCGGTCTGTTTCAGTGGAACTGATCCGGAAATGGGAACATCGTGCATGGAGATTCATTGATGCATACACTGAGGGTCTAGGAGCTCGTGAGGCGCAGAAGAAAGTTGAGGAGTTCAGTTCCCGTAGGTATAAGTCTCACCGTCGTGTACCGGAACAGCTGGCGCAAGCAATGGACATTGCATAATATTATGTAATACAGTATAATACTACATTAGGAATTAAGCGCTCAAGTCACATGATCTACCCGACTTGGAAGGGGTCATCTGGGCCAACATTGGTCCAATTGACAAACCCTTACAGTGAATATGTTCCCTATGGGTAATACTTGCAAACGACAGGTTATCAGATATTTTGACTGTAATGTGAGGGAGCAGTAGGACGACGGGGAGACCGGCGCTTACCATGTACAAAATTGGTGGCGTTTAGTTGAACCGCACCATAGCATCCTTCCTGGTCACTCTCCAAGTCATTGTCAGCAGTATCATCTCTCCTCGGCATCTCCTCATTGATTCACTGGAAATTCACGTCTACAACCACCAGAGTGTTCTCTACTCTGCACGGCCACCTTGCACAACCACCGAATCAGTCATGGCGCGATCTGCGGCGGTTATCCTCACAGGCGACGACTTTTCCCGCGCGTTCCTACCTGCCGCGAAGGCTCGCAATATTCAAGCAGAGGGCCTCCAGAAACATGTACTGACTACACTACATGATGCCGACGTGCTGACCCAAAGCGAAATCTCAGAGCATTTCGTAAATCCAGTCGCGGTCTCCCTGTTTGATAGTCCCTAACGTTTTCATAGATAGAAGCTATGAACGAGCGCATCCTCGTTCCTGGTGTGAAGATGTCTACATATCTGCCGTCACAGACTGGACAGAACAAATCGACGACCCAGGCAGGACTCTTCCGTAGCGAGCAAATCTCGGCAAGCAAGCTACCTTCCTGGACTGCTCAAATTGTTCCAGTCGTTTTCGCTCGTCACGTCGTTGGTGGTGACCCGTTCAGTCATGAAACTTGTAATGATGTGTACGAAGAGATTGATGCGGCGGCGGAGCGCCGCACAATACTCAACCAACTCACCGCAACTGCCGAATTACTCTTCACTGCCCAGCATCGTGTATTCCTGTTCTTTCTTCTCGTCATCGGCAGGAATATCCGTCTGCTGCGCTGGGATCGCGCTGGGATCATTGCTACAACATCCGTCGACTACCTTGAAGACCCCCAAACCCTACACGACTACCTGTGGCGTATTTCCCTCCTGCATGACGCTGCGCTTGGATTTGATTCCAGCGCCACTCGTCTTCTCCCCGGAGACGTCGACTCTCGGCTTATGGATTTCGTTTCGCTCATGGATCCCAATGACGCCGATCACACGGAACGCGCTCTTGACGGGAACGATATGAACCGCCTCTCGGTCTTCCAATACGTCCGCACGATGTTCCGCACATCTCTCGGCTCAGATTGGCCTCGATACAAGATCCACATTAGAAGCAACGGGAAAGTGCGCAACTTTCTCGTAGGGCAACCAGTCTTGCGTGCAAGTGAAGTGTTTGGGTGCGGAACTCGCGGCTATGTGGCGTTGGACTGCGAGACTCATCATTTCGTTTGGCTAAAGGACATGTGGTGGGCGGCGCACATCATCACGGGACGAGAGGGAGATATCCTTCAGAAGCTCAATCGCGCAGGAGTAGAGAACGTCCCAACCCTCGTGTGCCACGGGAATGTTTATGACCAAATCAACATCACTGGCCACTGGTGGGAGCGTGGGCAGTCACAATCGTTTCCGAGCTTCCCGCCATCGTCACCCACACTCAGTGGCTCCCCATTTTCTGGCAGCAAGAAACGTAAGAGAGAACAGGACGATGCGCAACAATCGCATCTACCGACAGATGGTCCCTTACGGCAGCACCAACACTACCGGATTGCGGTGGCAGAGGTCGCACTTCCCCTCAAAAAGTTCCGCAATGGAAGGCAACTGGCCTCCATCGTGCTAGACACCATCAAAGGTAATACTTAGATGAAACGATCATCCCATCATTATCGACGCTGATATATCCTGTCGCAGCACACCATCAAGCCGCCACCAACCCAAAGACCCTCCTCCTTCATCGGGACGTGAGTGGCGGTACCATCCTTATCATTCCGCAGGTGAAGCGCGACCAGAATGGAGCGAATCTCGCAGTGGTATGGACCGGCCTTCTCAGCGACTGGGAATATTCCAAGCCAGTGGACGATGAGAGGGCTCCTTCGCACGCTACGCAGACGGATCAACTGGTGAGCTCCACGCGGTTAGAAAGTTATGTTATTTCTCCTGACTCCATTGACCAGGGAACGTATCAATTCATGCCCGTGAATCTGCTCTCGCGCCCCGCTCAAGCTGTCCGGATCTCAGACGAACTCGAGTCGTTCTTCCACGTCCTCGTTTACTATTCTCTCCGCCACCTTCGTTCCAACTGCGCGCACCCAATTTCATATATCGACAACTACTTTCACAACTACGCGGGCCCCGGGTTCCTGTACACATGCGGCTGGAAGTCATTGGTCATGGAGGTCGACGAATGGCTCAGTACCCGGTTTCCACATCGTCCACTGCTTTTCCGTAGCCCCGTGGACGAGCTTCTTGACACGCTCCTGAAGTGTTTTCGGGCGCACTACAGGGTCCTGCAAGACGACCTGCGCAAAGCAGCTCCGCCAACCCCTCCACTGCCGCCGATGGACCCCGACAAACCTGGCCAAGGGCTTGCGCCCATTGCGATACCCAAAATTGTTTACTTTGGAGAAGATGCAGAACACCCTCACCGTGATAGTGATGAGGACGACGAGGACGAGGACGATAATGACGAAACACCGACGCCAGAGGATCGAGAATGAGCCCAGAGAATCCGTGACCACAAGTTCGTGCTCGATCACTTCGAGAGGGTGCTTCATAGTCCCGACTGACCTGAAGACGATCGTATCCCTTCGCAGCAATCGAAGAGCTCGGTTCCGGGCAGCCTAGACGGTAAACGCGACTGTTCACGGCCACATCCAGCAAGCAACAAGAAGCACCGTATAGCTGGCCCCGAGCGCATCACCTCTCTGCCCACTCGTCTACATGCTTCGTCACGCCGCACGCGCCCTCCACCGTATACCTTACCCATGAGGGTGCGGTGATACCCCATCCGTCGATGTCAACTCGGTTGACGTTGCATACACATCTCTACCCCTGCAAACACCCTTCGCGTGCTTGCGCTGCAGTCGTTCTTCAACGGCCCACACAGGTATGGTGATATGCTGCCGGTCCTGCTTGTGGTGCTCCTTTGTATCTAACTTATTACATCTCGGATTTCCTGCTATACTCCATTTAGAACCTCGCTCTGTAACCTGTATTCCAGTTTCGGTCTGCTGTATTTCCTGGGTATCGAGCCTTATGGGCTTTGTTTTGTGCATCTCCAATGCAGCTCTCTGTGTCACTGCTCGCAGGGCCCTGACGCCATGACTGAATGTGGGGTTGTGCTGCAGGTTTCCTCTCTCGACCAGTGGGCTGCTGAGCATCAGCAAAAGTAGTGTTGCCGCCAAGCCAGCTAAGCTAAGCCAAGCTGACGAGCTGGATCACGCTGGATCACCAAGCCGGAGTAAGCTAAGCCGAGATCCGGCCAGCTGGGCGCCAACTCCCTGGCCAGGCCCCAGCCACGGCTTGACTTGCAAGCTCACATTCCAGATATGGCAAGACGTTGCATGCGCCGACAGCGAACTGAGCATCATCGTTCCTAGCGTAGTAACAACATGGTATACATGCACAGAACATAACACCACGTGTGCATGAGTTCAATATATCTCCCTGAACAGGTGTGAGCTGCCGAAACATGTCTGAAGGCCACAACGGAATGGCTGAGTATGCATGTCAGAAATAGTGAATCCAGTGTGAACCTGTCAGCTTATCTGCTCACTTAAATAGGGCGACACATTATTCAACAGCTCAGTGTCCAAGCTGGATTAACTTGAAGACTGCATATGTAATGTAGTTCAAACACGGCTGCTAAAGCCATTAAGACAAAAAGCAGGATACACAAGAGTCTATAATCTCACTCGTCAGCAGCATTGTAGTGCACATTCCCGGGCTGTTTCGTGCTGAAGGTGACTGCTGCCATTACTATTATGAGGATGGCCGCTGTGCTCAACGCGTGACTCATGAGGGGTCAACACATCCATCCAGGAAATACCAGGCCATACTATGGCAGCCAAGCATCTCGAAGTGATTCAAGTCGCAGCTGTCCCGCCGGGACCTCCCGGTCCTACAAGATACCAGCTTTGGTAAGTATGACATCATAAATGGAGCTAGCCCGAGAGCTGGCTTGAAAACAAGCTGATGATCAGCTTGTTTCTAGGCGTTTCGGCTTACACTGCCAGATGGGAGCCAGTGGCCAGCCAGTGGGATTGATGGGATGATGGGATTCCAGTGGAAAGCCCAGTGGAATTCCAGTGGCCAACAAAATCGATGGAAAACCAGAGGGATCACTTGTGGAGTTCCACATGTTGGGCGGTTGTGGCGCGATTACATATGCATATAGACCACATGATGTCAGCCTCAGCAACGTTTTGTATAGTATAGTAGACTTGAGAGCGCCTCCAATACCATACAAGCATGGCATCGAGTCGACAGCTCATTAACCCGCAACGTACGCATACAATATAAACACAAACCCTATCCTGACATGATACAGTTTTCACATATAACACCTACAAGGATCAGTGGAGGTGCAACGTCTGCGATCAACCCCAGCGGTTTCTCTCGCTCTCGCTCGCAATCCGACATGAAGACACCGCTGACCACGTTCACCATGTCCGAATGCGGGACACTGTTGAAGATTTCCTGCCTGAGACCACCATTTCGCCCTTGGATCATGTCCGCAGCGACTCTGTGCCTACCAGGTCAGGTGCTGTGCACCGCACGAGCTCCTTTGCGCCCCAAGACACCCAGTTGCTATCAAGCGAGCCGTTGCAGGACCTGGGCTGGCCACATGACTCCACCTTGTCAGAGCATCCAAATCCACGCTCCATTCAATACGCACATCCGAGGGCGACATCTCTTCATGGCCCAGCCATACACCCCGATATGCCCGACCAGATCTACGACAATTGGGGGGGACTGTTAGTGCACAATCGTCCAGAGCTTGTACCAGCAGACGAGGAACCTATCTTCACATTATCCCCCGATACTTGTAACGTAGAGCCTATTGGCGCAGATGAAGCGGCCCAGCTGGAAGCGGAGGGACCATCAAATGATGTGGGAAAATCGGGCGGATTGAATGCGCTGCAAAATCTCATTGGTAATGTGCACTAGATTTGTCTTGAAATTTATAGCATACTCACTTGATTGTCAGATGAGGGACCACATTATACAGTGGTACATACTGAACAACGTAGCTATCGGCCGTGGAATGACAACACTGTAAGTTTACGACTAGTATGGGCGTCAAAGGACTCACCATATCGGCAATTGGTAGCACTGCACAATGAGCGCACTACGTGCATTCCCTCGTGCACTGTTCTCGGAGAGTGAACTCGAGGGGTGTCGGTGGTTTGCGCTCATGAATGGGGTATCAAAATTGCCATCTGTCAAAGCAGTCGGGCGTCAGCGGAAGAAGATCACAGACATTGCGGGGTCGAAATCACGTCTTTTCAAGTCCTGTTTGGGAAATCTATACACGATGGCCAATGGGCATCCCTTCTGTCCACCGCGGAGTTTGCGTACAACAATGCCCCACACGAGTCAACCGGCCTGTCGCCCTTCTTCATCGAGTACGGATACAACCCAAAGATGGCCCCTGACATTCGTGAAGAACTTGCCTTCCCTTCCCTCGAAGACGTATTCCACAATCGTGCAGAAGCAAGGGAACAAGCACAAGCGTCACTCACCATGGCTGCCGAACGGATGAAGTGGTATTACGACCAAGGCCGTGTGGACCCTCCCTTTAAGGTTGGCGACAAGGTTTTGCTCAAAGGACGTGACCTCAAAATCCGCAACTCGTCGGCCAAGCTCTCGGCCAAGAACTATGGGCCGTATGAGATAACGGAGAAGATTGGACCCGTCGACTTCAGAGTCAAACTTCCGCCACAGAACAAGGTCCATCCCGTCTTCTATGCTTCGAAGCTTATCCCCTACCATGAAGACGAGATCGGCAACCGTAATCCGGAGAAACCTGACCCCATCGAAGTAGAAGGCCACAACGAGTTTGAGGTCAAAAAGATCCTAGACTCTCGCGTCAACCGCGGATACGTACAATACTTTGTCAAATGGGCCGGCTACGATGTTTCTGAAGCAACCTGGGAACCTGTACGCAATGTCAAATACGTGAAGGAACTACTCGATGAATTCCACGCCCTTCATCCAAACGCACCGCAGCCAATCGCTCTCAACAATCCACGACCAGTTGTCTGGGAGTTTCAACGCAATATTTGGTTTGAACGCTTCGCAGGAGCTCAGATCTTGAAGAGGGGGTAGTGTCACAGTTTTCTTGTGCCACGTGACCTAGGGGTCATATGAACCAGGACAGACGCCCACCTTTACCACGAGCAACTCGTATCGGAAAGTGGAGGAGCCAGGATCGAACCCAGGACCTTGTAGGGTCCGGGAGCGCCCATCCTCACTCACTGGCAGGTGACTCACGCGTCAGCAGGGGCGCTTACTCATCGGAGGGAGCCCGGACTTAGCATGACTCAGGTATCAGTCATGAGGACATCATGTGACAGGTCAGGAGGCAGGACATGAGTCAGCAGACTCTGACCAAGCAGGGACAAATAGGTACCTGGTCTGTGCACCATTGCATTTGTATAAATAGTAGGGAGT